CAATGCGAAGGCTCAGGGATGAATTGAGGAGTGAGGAGAGGACGGCGATGGACGAGTCTCATTCGATGGCGAAGATACTATGAATAGAAGTTGATTGTCGGGGAGAGATGGGTCGGGACAGAGTCGAGATACTGCTCTCGAAACTCGTTTCGGATGGAACAGCAACCTATCTGGGGTCAATCAGCCGAAAGCCAGGCTGGGAGACAACCTGAACCAGGCACTGTTGAAGCTTGTGGATTGGGTCCGGCTGATTGCTCCGAGATGAGAGTACGATGCGTCTAAATAACTGTACGGGTTGCCGGGCAATGCTCCCTAACTTGGGCAGATGGAGCGTCTCCTCCGGGAGTGTACGGACTACATACACGGACGAAGTTATTAATTACGGGGTGCATATCGAGCTGTCGCGTGCAGTGTTTGAGCCCAGTCTGAAGAGAACGGAGCATCAACCGCACATCGTGTGGCAGCCGATGGTCTGCATCCACAATTTGTCCCGACACTATCGGACAAGGTCTTGGTTCTGGAGCCTCAAAGGTTCATATTATTCTCTTCAAAATGCGCCGACAATCAATCGCCCACGCCCCAGCCTGTGGGTAGGTACGAAGAAGGAAGCGATACGGAGTATATAAATATCAATCAATCATGAGCCGGCAATGACGGACAGCAGGATGTGGGGAAAAAGAAACAAAGGCAGATAAAAGCAAGCAAAGTTGGTATTTTTGCCTTGTGGTTGTGTTGATAAAATATTGCGTGGACGCAAGTGGCAAGCCATGTCGATCCGCGCCGCCCGTTGAAACAGAGGATGGTAGTTCGAAACGAGAACTATAAGGCACGTACGGAGTACTTGTGGAGAGACGAGGAGACGGGATCGAAGATAGATCTTTGATAGTTCCTCGTTACCTTTCTACTGTGCAGATTGATGTTCGAATAATTGCTACAGATGTGTATCGACTCCGACTATATGTACCCTATACATACATAGAACACCGCCCAACTTTCCGAGCGGCGAACGATACCCATCCAGGCTACCACCGTTACTGCTGCCATCGTCATCTGGTTTTTTTTGATGGCATACGCCAGAAAGGCAGCCAAACAGCTTCCACAACTATCATATCTCCTAGCCGAGGTCGCCCGTTTCTCAATATCGACGGATCGAGACAGAAACACCTTTAGCTCCCGTCTCTTCGCCGTTTCAGTCCTTTGAACTCTTATTCCACACATTTTGGCCTAATCAGGATCATTGTGGCTCTGCATGTCCTATTTTCATTAGACCCGGGACAAGGGTGCGAACCTGGTATGAGCGCGGAGATCCCACGCTATTGTGTTTGCGCAGTCCCATAACATCGATCCTCCTCCTTCGGGTCTAGATAACGATGCTTTTGCTATTCTGGTCAATCTCTGGCGTCAAGCTGAGTAAGGGACATAATTAGGTGTATTTGTCACGTCTATCAACTGCGTGGCTTTAACTTTTCTCAAATCCCATAGAGCGAGGCGGTCGTTCGTATCCCTCGAAGCGATGGCTCTGGACTTGTGCATCGCCATCTCCTGGTCCCGTCTTCTGATCCGGAGGCGACGGTTACTGTGACTGACTGTTGTAGCGATGCAGTCTGGCGCAGAATGGCAACTACAGAGTCCTTGCTAGCCAATTTAGTGTCGAGCCAGGGCCGGGTGGGTGCCTGGGACGAGCGAGCGGGTGGTTCGTGCCTTCGAGCTGCAAGTCAACCTCAACCATGGGTGGTGTTTATGCTTGATACTCATGATGCCTGATGCTTGTCTCTCTGTGTCTGCCCTCCACTTACCAGTTGACCCCTTGATGCCTGTACGTCTTGCGTAAGCAGCGTCCTTCGCTGGCCACCAAGCAGACGAGAAGAGATTGCAGGGGCTGGCTGCAAGTCCATGTACCTTGGTGGTAGTGGTAACTTTGAATTCGCCGGTCAGCTTTCTTTCCTTTTTCCAGCTCGCATTTGCTTTTTGCTCTCCCTCCCTTACTGTTTCTGGTATCGGCTTGGCTGATGCTGCTGTCCAGAGGAGTTATCATTACTCTGAGAAGATGATATATTTTAATAGATGACTTGCATTTGAACGGGAGCAAGGATATGGGTTATACGGACAGCACCATATAGCGTCGGCCAACTCTTCCGCTCCAACTGACTGCGAGCTTTTGACGTATCTCGCCCAGCCTTTCGTATCATCTCATCTCGGGGGTCATATTGCCATCGCCATCAGCTCTGGTCCGAAGCAAAGTCTCAAGAATCGAAATGAAATGCCGTGCTTAGCTGATGATTATCAAGCAGCAAGCTCTATAGTCTCGATATCAGTCAAGACAAAAGCTAGAGCTCCATCTGCTAGCCAACCTAGTATTTCTCGTTGTGAATATCTTAATTGTTGTTTGCTGTGTTGTTGGGGGAAAAAAATAAAAATAACAATAATGCAACGGAAGTCGCCCTCGTTGCGTGTTCAACCACATGGAGAGGAATGGAGACAAACAAGTGATCCACTCACTAGTACTCCAAATGGAGTAACAGCATGTTGATGATAAGTATTATATATAATTTTATGCCGCAGGAGAAAAGGGACCTGACATTGACTGTGTCAAGTTGGCTGTCGGGATCGCCTGGTAGGAGGAGATTGTGGGCGTTTGGGATGGCCACCGTCGTGGCACTCTGGCGTGTCGATGCATGCACCTTCGTATACGCTGTACCCATATATTTGATGGTCCAATTACTCTCTTGGTAGATTGTAGACGCCGATGGAGAAGAGTAAGTCGTAGTATAGCCAGGGCGGAGAAGATGGAGTTACAGATGGAGCTCTTCCCCTTTCTATCGACCCACTGAAGACGGGAGCTAGTACTCTGTATCAGCTTACTTTTAGATGGAGGTTTTCTCTGTTATTGCATGTTGAGATAACCCTAAGTATGCATCTCCATACCGGCCAACAGTGACAGAAGTAAGTGTATAGATACGGAAGAACTGAGAACTGCTTGCCAGTGATAATAATTTCCATTTCGGCGGCATATTTCTTTGCTTTTCCCTCCATTCTCCCCCTTTCCCCTAGTTTACCATTAAGTAATACAATCCTTGCCATCGCATTCTCTATCGTTTTCCCGCCGCATTTCTCGGCCGCTATCGATCGAAGATGGATATTCATCTATATCATTTATTGATTTTTCTTCTTTCCCTCGTCGTTTTGCGGCCTCTTGCTCCCTGTTCAGTCTGGTCTGGCTGCTTGGAAGGGGTGCGGGGAGGCGCCCATCCATCCTCGTATCCTTCTTCGCAGCGGCACGATAGTCAGTCGATAGATAGCTTACACAGATGGCGTACGCTAGTAACTGTACCTCACAGTGGGAGAAACTTGCCTGTACTCCGTTAAAGCAAGCCTAGGTGGAAGTAAGTAATATTCGTCGTATGGACGGGCCACCCTTGACGAGAAAGATGTGAGGACATGGTCAAGAGACAGCATTCCCAACAGGCCGGCTCGTCAGGTGGATAAGACGTAGTTAGTACGCCCAGCCAGTTGGAGCCAGACGTATGTCCACACTTCGTAAGTGCGTGAGCTGAGTCCATACACATTCACACACCACGACGTTAGTGGATCTTGATATCCCGCCTGGCGCTCGCCGGCCTCCTCAAACCGCCGTTCTTGTTGGTGGAATATCGATGTGTACACTCCCTCAGTGTTTTTTTTTCTCACTCGCTTCACATATCTGTCATCCCACCGCTTGCTTCAGCCTGCCACATGGCCACTCCCCCTTTTTTGTCATTCTTTTTTGCTTCTCGCCTCGACTGGGGACAGTGGGGGTGACTGCCAATGAGGTAGCAGACAGGCTTGCTGGGTGGGAGACAATGCAGATGCAAGGCAAAGATGGCTGCAGCTATACCATGCACGCAGCCCGTAACGTATGCGAGATGAAATGTACTTTCTCGAAGGGCACATCCTCATACAGTACCCAGTACCTTTCTGGCAGAACAGAGAGCAGAGTGAAGGGCACGTACGACGAGCCAAGGAAGCACAGGGGCAGGGACAAGGGCCAGGGACAAACTCGCTCAATCGATGACAGAACAAAATCATGTAATCGATAATGGACGGAGACAAAAAGCCAGGCAAACCAACTTGACCTGTTGGTTCAAGGACGAGGACGAAAAAGAGCGACGTACTCCCTCCTCTCGTAACCCCCCGCTCCATCTGTGCCTTTTTTTTTTCGAATGTTCACAGGAAGGCAGAAGAGAAAAGAAAAGAAGAAGGGAAAAAACGAGCTCACAAAAAACAAAATATGCCTGCCTCCTGCTCTGGCTGTTCTTGAATCAGTTTATTCTGAATCCCTCGATTGGCTGATGCACTCACACGATGAGAGAAAGAGGCAACTTCAACCTCAACCTGTGCCGCTTTCTGCCCGTTGAGGGAGGATTTCTATGTACGAACTCTGTGCATATCGTCTTCTCCCTTTTCGGTTACTCCCTCCACCAAGCAGCGTTGAATCCAGCACCAGGCCAGCAAGCCAGAGAGCAGAGAGCAAGCCAACAAGCTAACAGGCCGCCCACAAGGCCCAGCCGAGTCTGCACAGGGCAAGTCACCCTTTAACCAGCGGATCGGTGCTGGTCCTGTCAGTGTCTCTTGTCTCTTGACCATGTACGGGCTAAGTCAGTGTATGATATGTACAGTAGTACCAGACACATGGGGTTCGACGCCACCGTTGCATAGACAAAAAGGCAGAGGCCGCGGAGACATGCAGCATCCCAACGGCATCGACTGTCAGGCCAAAGTGTACAAGCTCTGCCTGTGCTGTGTGCCTCTTGTCTCTGTCCATCAGGTCCTGTTTCTGTGACAATTATTATTGATAATCGAGGTATCCCTGTTAGCCGTCTATCGATCGATCTGATCGATCGCGCCGGGTAGCGTAGGATTCCGCTATATGCTAGCAATGTACATGTATATGGCTCCATATCGCCCTTATACTCCGGTCTCTCGCTGTCTGCTGGCTTGTCGAGTCGCCTGCGTGATTGTTGATGTCCAGCCAAGCGCCATCCGGGAGCCATGCTGAGTCAGCGGTATGGGTATGTAACGCCTGTACCGGTATGTAAAGTGTTACTCGTTTTATACATCCGTTTGGGTCTAGCGCCGCCAAGAGATCATCCGAAAAAGTGTTAACCTTAAAAAACGCTTGACCCACACTTAACTTAAACCTTATTCGCTCCTAACCTTCTTTTTCTCTCCTTCTTGGACATCAGAAGAAAAATAACACTAGAAGGGAAAAAAAAACAAAAAAGGCCCTCGCCATCCTCCTCGCTGTCTCGTTCTTCTTCGTCTCTCTTGCTGTCTCTTCGCTGCCTCCTCCTCCTCCACCCCCATCCGTCTCTTCTCCACGTCCGCCGCCCACACACCAGACGAACGAATATCCACCTGCTAGTCTCTTAGTCTTGTTGCTTTGCTTTTTCCTTCCCCCCCCGTCTTCCTTTGCTCTCTCATCCCTCGCCGCAAACACCGGCGCCCTGGAAGGTTAGTCAACCACTTGGCTCCTCCAAAAGAAACATACACATCGAGAATCTCGGTGGTGCTTCTCCTGCGCGGTGTTTCCTTTTTTGATACTCCGTACAAAAAAAAAAAAAAGAGAAGAGAAGAAGATATAGAAGTCAAGCCAGACGCAGGGCTGGGTCTGTCTGCTTCGAAAAAGGCGGCCTTGCTTTTTCCACTGTGGTTTCACCCTCGTTCTTCTCCTTCTCTGCCACTGCTTCTTCTGCCTCTTCTCTTTTTTTGCCCTTCTCATTTTCTTTTCTTTTCTTCTTTGCTTTCTAACTGTAAGCTTTTTTTGCTTTTGACTTTGGCTTTGCTTTCTTCTCTTTTGCCCTGCCGCCGCTACGAACTCACAGGGAGAGAGCAGTGAGATCGCTTGCTGCCGATTACTGTTGCTATCTGGCTGCTGGGCTCGCTGCTATTTCATTTGCTCCCCTCGTTTGTTTCATGCTTCATCACTATAATATTATATTAAGATCGCTGCTCGCACTCCTCCGGCCTCGACCTGGTCTCTCACATCACTCCCCATAACCTCTATCAAAAAGGCCCATCAAACACTCGACTGCGCATTCGCATCCTCCTTCCGACGTCTCCATCTCCTCCCTTCATCCGTGCCGCGGTGCATGCTCCCGTAGAAATCAGCCAGACAGCCTCCTCCTCTTCCCTCCCCATCTCTCCCTTTCGCACGCACCGCTACCATGCCTCGCACACGTAGCTTCCCGTGTTCGTGGGTCTCATGCAAAAAGGTATGTCTGACCGCAGATGCAACGACTCGGCCTCTATGCCTCTCTGATGCGACTAGAAGATGCATCTTTTTACACCTGCTAACATTGAATGGACCGCAGGTGTTCAATCGCAAGTCAGATCTCTGCAGACACTACCGGATTCACACGAATGAGCGGCCATATCGATGCAACTTCCCGAACTGTACCAAAAGCTTCATTCAGCGCTCGGCGTTGACGGTGCACTCTCGCACTCATACTGGAGAGAAACCACATGTCTGCAACTTTGCAAACTGCAGCAAAGCATTCTCAGATGTACATCTCTCTTTACTTTTTGGGGGAGAAACAAAGCAAATTTATCTAACGTCCTGCCTAGTCGTCGAGTCTTGCTAGACATAGAAGGATACACACTGGTCGACGGCCGTACAAGTGTCTGGAACCAACTTGTGATCGAAGGTTCGTTTTACTATACTGCCAGGGGGGAGGATGGCCGTTGAGAAAAGAATGCGCAAATTGACTCTGTATGGTGTATAGCTTCTGTCGCAAGACAACACTCACAAAACACCAAAGCCGCTCACATCAACCAGAGGCCGTTTCGCCATCTGCGCAATCATGCGAATCAGAGCTCTATTCTCAACAGGCGCAGCATCCGATGTCGATGATGTCACAGTCGCCGCAGGTACCGCAGCACCAACTGCAATCGCAACAGCCTCAGCCGCAGGAACAGCAGCTCCAGTCACAACCACAACATTTACAATCTCAGCCGCGGCCACAGCAACATTCCCCTTACCAACAACAACACTCCCCCATAATAGCCGTGCCTGTGGCGGACTACTTCCACCACGCCCAAGCCCAACCAACAACTGTCCATTCCATCCCTATCTCCGCAGAACAATCTATCCTTCCCCCACAAGTACACTATGTCACAACGGGCATGATCCCATCCCAGATCCCCCGTTATGACATCCCGATCACAACCTCAGCATCCGTCTCCACACCAACATCTATGGATCACCTCGCATACAACCATCCCGTTTCGGTATCTATGCCCCAGCAGCAGCGGATCCAAGCACCGCAACCTGTACCAATCCCGCATCAGGCAGACGGGGGCTTCCAGGTTCTCCCTGTTGTTGCAGGAGGAGCTGGCGGACAGTACATGAAGGAATTCGATCAAATGAAGCATGGCCAGCAAAGGTTCTTTGGATCAGCATACCCAGAACAGATGAACTGGGAATTTTTGGGCTTGAGTTAACATAGCGCTGGCTACCATGCATAGCGATACAACGACGATTACGAGGACTTTACGCAAAACAGACTAATGCAAATGAACGAGTTATTCATTGGAAAAAAAACAAAAAACAAATGCATCAAGCGCAGTCTGCACATACCGACCATTTTCCCGATCCGTTCCAGTCCGCCCCCCCCTTTTTCTTGTTCATTCCCCGTCTGCGAATACCCCTTATCGCTTTTTGTTTTTGAACCTTTATGGACGTCCTCTTTTTTTTCTACCTTTTTTGGATCCGGAACGGGCCGGGAAGTCAACCAACAAAAGATCAAAGGCTAAATATATAGGCCAGGACTCTTCACTTCTTCTTTCTACTTGTTTTACTCCAGTTTTATCTATCCCTTGAACGGCCCGGAAACCTGGAAACGGCCTGGCGTTGTTTATGTTGGCTTCTCTGCATCATTATCATTTATCATTTTCCATAGCTTTCGTTTCCGTCTGGCGCTGAAATATGTTGCTATCTGTACCTACGGTCGTGGAATGGCTGGCGATGTCTTCCTGCCTCGATATATCTATATATAGATATCTCTTTCTACCATATCCACTGATACATTTTCTTCTCTCCTTTTCCCTCTATCTTTTTCTATACAGCGAGACTTTACCTGGTGGTTTAGCTAAGCTCTACTGCTGGCCTTCTCCTTTTTCTCGTTGATACCTCTGATTTATTCCGTTACTCATCCAAATATCCCCTTATTTAATTATATGGTGGAGGAAACGAGGACGGGAGGAGACATGAGGATCCGCTCTACGGGCCGTGTCTGCTTCTACCGAACTCAACGGACCATTGAACCATGATTGATGGTTGTGGCCTCGTTTTGGTATATATCTATTCTTGTTTATACTTACTTACGCTTTTGTCTATTCTTCCTTCACTTCTTCCTTTCTTTTTTTACTATCTCTTATATATTTTTTCCTTCTTAAAATGTTTATACGGAGAGACTTTCAAATGAATGGGAAATTAATTGGACTTACAAGCGGTCATATATCCTTGCAAGACACATATTCCTTACTTAGCATAGCATAGCCAGCATGGAATTTTGACGCTTGATGTCATGTCTCTTCCCATCAGTGAGACGTTAGACAATGTACGCTTCATCCATGCTACTACCCTTTGCTTTTTCATGGTATATTATATTTGACGCGACCACTGCGACCGCTCTGCGCTCTGCGCTCCCCGTTAAGGTTGATCGATCTCCCGTTCTCGAAAGGAAGACGACACACAGTTCTATGCATATGATCACTCATAATATAAAAAGGCCCGCGCCCTTCCCTTTGCCCAACCGTCTCGGCCACCTCCTGTCCGTCTCGCCAGCCAGTCCACGCCGCAACGCTCGACTTACGCGGTCTCACAATCGAAAGCAGTGTAACATGATAGGCCAGACAGCTTCGATGGTGCCAGGTAGCACGCGCACATACATGCCACACACCCTGGCACTGACTGCTCTGTCCCCCTTCTGGTTATCAGATTATCCTCTGTATCAGGTTGCCAGGTAGAACATACAACATACATCGGAGAAGTCTCTCTTTGATACCAGGATGGACCGGTGGAAAGCACCCCTATATCCATTTCATACATGGCTCTCCGCAGATACCACTGCGTATCAGTGCTACCTTTCAAATGAACGTTGCACGAGCCGTACGAACCTGGTTTCTCTAGGGGCTAGAGTTACATACATCGATATGTCCTATAGATGCTCTGTATATCCTTGCAGTGCATACTTCGATAGCCTCGACATACACGCCTCTCCGCCACAAGGATGGGCCGCCTGGAAGTTCCTTTGACCTTTGGGCCGTCTCTGCCGTTACACGCCATGCCAACTTGTCTGCCTGTTTGATAGCCATCGATCGTAGCTTGGACGTTATATGTTACACTGCACCAGCTGCTAAATATGCAAGGCAAGCCCAAAACTGGAGAAACACGGCAGAGTCGGTGGTTCAGAATAGCTTGCCCTATCGAGGCCGGAGTGCTACCTTAACCAATAGATGTATACGGAGGTTACACCCGATATAACAGAAAGAACGGTACAAACGGCGACCAGATTGAAAAAAAGGAATGAAAAAATAAGACAAGAACAAGGCAAAGTAATCACCCTACGGCCTGCTGGGATAGACCGGGCCAGACGAGCAGCTCATCGAACAGGAACAGGATTGACTGGCAGCCAAAAAAGAGCTAGCCATAGAATAAGAAAGGAGGTCAAGAACTACGTTGCGACTTTTCACTTGATCGGTTGTATTCACCAATGAACTCACCACATATATTCACCAGCTGATTAGCCCCCGTTCTCGATCAAAACCTCCCCTCAGTTGCGTATCAGGTTTAACAACCTTGCCCTTTAGCACAGTGTACTTGATGATACCTTCACAGTCTTCTGGACGGATTCTGGCAAGCCATATGCCCTGAACAGCGCCCTCGATACCACCATCAATCCCATCGCCGCGATCGTCATCTTCTCCCTGGCCTTTTCTCTGCGCCTCTTTTTTATACCACTCAAAATCTCTCCTCCGATAGACCATCACGTTAGCGGAGTATTTGTGTCCTCCCACATGCGAGATGAAGTATATACCTACCCCGCCTGGCCTTTCGTCATGAAGATCCCGGTACAAGCCCAGTGGACGTAAGTGGCGTTCAAACTCACGTCGTAAGAGGGGAGCTGACTGGCCGCATCGTGCGTCGCGGGTACGCTGTGAACAGAGCAGTATCACCGCTGCATGTGGACAGGGCCGAGAAAGAAGAGGTGTGGGAATCTTAGGAGCAGCGGGCACATCATGAGCTCCATCTGCGTTGCTCCCACTTATAGAGGAGGGCTGGCTTCCTCGTTCTGCGTCTTCAATTGGCTCTGTATCTACCATGGGAGTGTTGTTCGGTAGTGGCGATTGATTCAGCGGTGTGGTCGTTGTGGCAGCCTTATCGATGAAGTGGTGAATCAGGTCTGGCGCAAGCGCGGGTGTGACATTCTCCACTATCGTAAATGCAGGTAATATCAAGGCTGTTGTCGGTTGCTCTCCCTCGGGATACATATGGTATTCATCCGGTACTGGCATATTAGAGGCGGATAGTTTGAGTGTCTGCATCATATGGCCGTATTAGCACGTCATGATATCTTGCCTCTGTCCTACGGTGTATAGACACATACTCCATTTACAGGCTTCACCCCACTCTTTTCGACAGCTTCCATAACGCTGCCTTTTTCGTCGGCGACATCTCGAACCCAATCTGTCTTACCCGTCGCAATAAGGACGTGGGTTGCCCATCCTGCGACGTTCCCGTATAATTTGTCTTCCAAGTCCACAACAAATTTCGCAGGGTACCGGATCGTACAGCTTGCGCAATCTCTGTCACAATCTTCTCCGTCTAGTTCAGGTCGGACTTTGGGGAATAGCACATCTTCACTGGCGGTGGTAAAAGTTATCTGCGTCTCCGCTTTCAGCTCATTATCTGCATCCGCTTCAGCCGGAATATCATTAATTTGGCCATCAGTTGATGTAGTTAGATTCGACCGAGACGAAGATGCCGATAGAGAGAGTGACGAGAGTCCTCTCTTTAGGAATGACTGCATAGTGGACTAAATTGTTGATATCTTTATTTGTTGGGCATTGTGGGGTTATCAGATCAAAGATTGAAAATTTATCTTATCTGATGCGTCTTAGACGACCCGAGCCTCGCTTCGGCGGAAAAATAGGCGCCGGCTATCATCACGTGTATAACTAATAACTTTACGTAAGCAAGTAGCTTTTCCAATGTTTTCCTTCTTTTCTTTCGTCTGATATCAAACAGCTCCTAATAATTGATAGGACTAAGTATGGATTCTCAAACTTTATACTTGAGCAAACACAGTGGAGATACCCGTCAAAAATACCCCTGGCATTAGTTGAATTCACAAAAGGAAGACAGTGTGGCGTGGCATCAGACCCCAAGTTGCAGATAACCAACTCACACTGCATATGCAGAACTAAGTGGATCAGCCTGGTTGGGGACGGTTTGGTCCGCAAAAAGAAAGTAGCAGAAGCATCTATTCGGGCGAAGGGAACTCTGATCCTGGCATGTTCATGTATGCCTCAAGTGACGACATATATCCTTCCTTTTACTTGCCCTCAGCAAGTACACTTGCACATTTAACGCATATGGCCGAACCGAATACGGCCCGCCCTCAAAGTGTCAACTAGGCAACGGTCAATTTGCTGTTTCTGATGTTATTTCAAACATTCCAAGTTTTACCACAAAGATCCTTACGAGCACCCGGCCATGGAAAACTGTTGTAAAAAGGTGGACTACGGAACAGCACCATTTCTATACGGAAGTCTAGGTAGGCCCCTACACTCAATCTCCCCAGCACGCCGGGAGAAGTGGTTGATCATAATAAACCCTTCCACCCCAATATCTTGAGTGGGTATTTCCTGTTTTTTAGAAACAGTGGGGGAAAACCGGGTTGATAGAATGTGTATTAATAGTATCTAGTTACTAAGAAGTGTCTGATATCTCCATGACCTGTTTCTTGACCTGTTCTACCGTAGAAGAATTCATGAAGAATTCTTACCAGCCCCGGGCTTATTTCATCTGGTATTGTTTGTTGGCATGGAATTATATTTGCCGTGGCTCCTTTGCTAGCCGAGATGCCCTAGGCCGGATAGTTGGGAGAGTATTAACCAAAGCTTGGTATTCGAGCCCGAGCACTCCGCATCAAGGAAAAGTGGAGTGCCCATCCGGGAATCTCGCATAAGAGTAGCTTGGCTCCCCATCTCTCTTGGAGCTGCTTAGCTTGGGCACTGATGAATCTTCGGTAAGATTTCTGGCACCATTATATGGCATTTCTAATAGAGACAAGGGTGACAGCCAAACCCTTGGTTGTACATGTATTGAGTCATTGAGACTCATGATGGACAAACAAAACCACCTGGGATTGGTGGTGTACAATTGGCTTTTATCCACCATATTCATACATGGGAAACTGTGCGGTGAATGACACTCTCTCCGGAGTTAACTGAAGCATTTGAGCGTACTAGTTGTAAAGATCTGGTGGATGGGGTTCGCCGTGCCCGCACACTGCGTGTATCGTTTGTTTCAAGACGGAAGCTGCTCTTATCAGAAGCCGAGTAAATTGAAGAATACCACGAGCGAGATGGTCGAAGTCCCCTGTTCTCTGCAACTGATACAAAAGATTGGTCGGAACTTGAAAAAAAAGGTCTATTTCCGTAAGAAGAGCCTTGACCGACAACTGATCCCCCCGGGTCAGACGAGTCCGTTGACTGTATTTCCGAAATAATGGACGGATCAATTCCTTTCATGCTCCGTAAAATTTCAGCGAAGAGTCCCATCATTTCACGAAATTCGCTTTCCTCTAGCGGCCGCGCCGAGAACCGCGAACACTCGTACAACCGAAGAAAATCCCGGATTAGGTGCGGTGGGTCGATCAGGTTTAGGCGGTTGAGGTGGTTCAAGTAGTCACGAAGGCACATATTTGATGGCCTCTGCAATACCTCGACAACACGTTTATCTGGGACTTCCTCTTGACCTCTCTCATTCTCCTGAAAGTTATTAGAAGCTTGATGAACCAGTCGCGAGGCTGGCCTGGGGTCCATAGGAGCTAGAGATACAGCTTTCGCCTCTATCAAATGGGGAAGTTCTTTGATAACTACCTCAAACTCCTGGTTTGGAAGATCTTGACAATGCGGTGCCGTCCAGCCCGCATGTGAAATCGAGCCCCATGGAGGATCTTGATCTCTTGGAATCAGAAGGGACTGGTCAAGATGAGAGGTATCGTCCTGAGTAACATCCCTTGGCCGGGCCTGTTGGGCAATTACAGAGCTCCGGAGGAAGCCTTCAACAACGAGCCTTCTGACCGTCGCTGGTACGTCTGCTTTTTCGACGGGGATCCATGGCTTTGGGATTGCCGCAAAAACGCCGCGGTTTGTGAACAAGCGGCCAGCATATATCACGAAAGAAAATGATAGAGTAAGTAAATACACTATACTGACGGCAAAGATGTTGCCTAGACTGTTGCTTCGACGGGACTGATAGATTATGTCTGCAGGGGAAAGGATTGTCAAGGCTAGGAGAATAATGGAAAGGAAGGAAAAGAGAGTCGCGGAGACGATGCGAAATAGGCGCCTATAAAATGACATGCTGAATATCAAAATTTATGCAAATAAGCCCCAAGGGACTATACGTAGGTTGCATAGCTGAAAAGATGCAGGGCTTCGTGCTTATCATTTTGTTGTTTGTTCAACCTTTTGATGTTTCCTTTGCCCCTTAAACTAAAATACATGATTACATAATCAAAACTATCAAAGCTAAGCCATAACTAAATGGACTCAATTTGATGATAAAAGAACCTGGAAGATCAATGTACCATTGGTAAATAGATTATATTTTTACATAAAGTAGGCATCTCTAATTATTAGTAGGTATGACTCAATTCCCTTCTGCACGGGCGACAAGTCCTGCATCCAACCCAGTCGGTTCCCACGTATCCTTGATCTTCTTGTTTTGAGCCCAGACAACGTCTCCCTTCAGATATACAAGAACACCACCCTTCCCATTAGCACTAGCCGTAATCCTAAAAAGAGGGAGACCACTTTGCAAATGGGCTTCACGGAGGGGAACCATGAGAAGACCCTCATCGCCACACCATTCCTCAACGATATCTTTGAAGGAAGGCTCCTCAATATGTACCTTTTGAGGTTTCCCAGGTTTTTCATTTGCATGCTTGTCACGGTGTTTGTGGTGCGACGGCTTTTGATGAGATGATGACGAGGAAGCAGGAGGTGGTAGATCCGTCTTTGCTTTGTCTCCAAGGTCGAGGGCCAGGTTCATCATTTCAAGGCCTCGGTTCCATTCTGCTGCAACTTCGGGGATAGCATTGATTTCGTCTGGTATTTGTGATTTCCACCAAGAGAACCATTGACCAACTTCATCATAGTTTGGTTCTGAGGTGAGCCATAGGTGCAAGATAGCATGCCATTTTGGGAAAAATTCAGAAGAGAGCAGAAGACCCAAAACGCTGGGTTTAAAGAATGGCTTCCACTTCATCACATCTTCAAACGCAGTTAGGTCCTGATCTTGTGGATTGACGTCAAACTCTTCCCGCAGATGGCGGCCAAGCCGGGGTAGAAGATGATTCTGCAAAGCTTTATCAAATTCAGAGCCCAGAACGTCTTTCCACACTTCAATTTTGTGTACAAGGCCGCGAACCAGATCCCAGGTATCCAACAACACCCGAAACTTCCTCTTCGCATCCGACATCAGACCAGTTGGCGCCTTGGGGTCAGTATGGTGCTCGTCGAGATAACGTAGCCAGTCAAAGAGCCACCATGGGAAGTGTTGTGAGGAGCCATTGTTCTTACTACTCTTCGGCCTCCAGGACTTTAGTGCTGCGGTGAGTTTAGGAACAATTACCTGATTTAGTATATTTGAATATACAAATCCAGGTAGAAGGTCTTTCCATTCTTCCATAAGTGATGTTGCAGGACCAGGGTCATGAACTTCCCATTCATTCATTAAAGCGGACCGAACCCTGGGGAGCCACAAAGAGTACATCATAGACTCGTATGGTGTAGTTGACTGACGGTATTTTTGTGTTTCGATATTTGCCTTTTTCGTGCGGGACATGAATTGATGTAAGCGGCGGAAATTTGAAACTAGATACTTTGGATTTGACAGAGGAGCCCAGTCCTCCAAAGACTCCTTCAACAACGGATGAACGGCAGCGACAGCAACTTCCGGAAGTTGGCATTCATCAATCAGGTCTTGATAGTTTGTTTCAATCTCTTCCAATTTCGTAGTAACTTCTTCCCATCTTTTGTCAAGGTCCTTGTCTGAACTCGTAATTTCTAAACCTTCGATAGCATTTGTCAAAGCGGTTATGTTCTCCAATTTGGACTGCTGAACATCCATTTCATCAACGATTTGGGCTTCCTCAAGTTCAACAAACTTCTTTCTCTCGCTGAGGCCTTTCCATTCATCAGCAAACGCTTCGAGGTCATGACGGGCACGTCGAGCAATTTTCCAAGCTTCTCCTTCATTTGCATTAACAAATTCCATTGGAGTCATCAGACCAGCTGTTGATGTCAAGAGCTTCTGCTCCTTGCCGGTGGCGTCAACTAAGGATTTCAGCACATTGGGAACCGCCAGTCCAGCCGCATCGGCTTCAATCTCCCGTGCTGTCCTATACTTCGGCTTTGCTGGACCTCTAGGTGTACTGGCTCCGCTTCCACCGCTGGTCCCTTCTCGCAACCTTTTCTCTTTGAGCTTTTTACGCAGCTTGCGCTCTTCGTCGGAGCTCGTTTCCAGAACCTCTCCTCTCCTAGCAGCTTCTCGTTTGGCTTCGTCTTTTGCCTGTTGTGATTTCTCCCTGACCGCACCTAGACCAACTCCCTGGGGTCTGAGGACAGTTTCCACAGGATTGAGGATACCCTGCCCGCTTGTACCAAGGCCCTGGCCTTCCACATAGCCCATCTTTGCCATCATGCGGGCTGCAAAGCTGTTGGCTACCATGGGAGTTGACTTTCCTCCGCCGCCTGACTTTCCATTGTTTGTTGCGTTCTTCCATGCTGGGCGAGCTGCTTTCGACGCCATGGTCGGAGGTGACGGTGAACGGTTGGAAGCAGGCGCAAAGCCCTGGAATCCGAATGACGGTCTCGCGTAGGCCTCTTCCTCTTCCTCCTCCGAGTCCACGTCACTGATCTTCCGTTTCTGCCTTGCAAAGGACGGGCGATATGTAGAATCCATCGAGCTTGTAACCCGGTATCGTTCGAGGTAGGACTAGGTATATAACCGGGAAAAGATAGTGTAGTCAAAATGGACGTCCTAAGCTCTGCTCCCATCCCCCACGAAGTCCTTTGACTTGCTGGTTTGTGATAAGTTGATGTGCCTGACTTTTGCTCAACGTCGCGCTTCTTCGTCTGCTGGATCAAAAATAAAGTTCGGGACTGATATCGGATAAACTGTATCGCCTTATCTCCGAGACGCCGATGACATCAGTGATTACTAATAGCGACATTGACATCAACAACAACTTTTGCATCTAAAACTTGTCAACATCGTTGTTGATATCATCATTTACCACCGAGGATCACCGAGATTGGAGTATATATAAGGCCTCAATTCTCCTACCCTACTTCAATTGAGCCGACCAGAACCGAGTATAGGCCAGAAATCTGCTAAACATGGCTACTTCTACTCTTTTCAGACCAGCTGCCCGTGCTGGAGCTGCAGCATTCCGCTCGGCCGGTCCCCGGGGCCTTGCAGGTGTTGCTTCTGCTCGATTCATCACCAAGGTTACTTTGCCGGACCTGCCATGTAAGTGTGAATGCATGGGGTAGATCCTTTTGACTTCATGCGCCTTTAAGTTATCGACTTTGTTTACATCCTTCCTATTGCACCCAATGGAAGCGCCGGGTTGCCTGAATGCTGCTTACATTCTATCCGGATACCATTGGACAGCCGTCACTGACTTGATATTTCCATAGATGACTATGGCGCGCTTGAGCCAGCCATTTCCGGCAAGATCATGGAGCTTCATCATTCCAAGCATCATCAAACCTACGTCAACTCCTACAACGACGCAGTTGAGAAGCTCGCCAGTGCCCAGGGCAAAGCCGATATCCAGACCCAGGTCTCCTTGCAGGCATTGACCAACTTCCACGGAGGTGGTCACATCAACCACTCTCTGTTCTGGGAGAACTTGGCCCCCAAGAACTCTGGTGGTGGTGAGCCTCCATCTGGTGCTCTTGCAAAGGCTATTGATGAATCTTTCGGTGGTCTCGAGCCGTTCCAGAAGACCTTCAACACTGCTTTGGCTGGTATCCAGGGAAGCGGTTGGGGATGGCTGGTGAAGGATAAGCAGACTGGCAAGATCCAGATCAAAACTTATGCTGTATGCCGAGACCTTTCCCTTTTCCTAGTTCTAGATGCTGACTTTCCGTTACCTATTAGAACCAAGACCCCGTCTCCGGTCAATTCATCCCTCTTCTCGGCATTGATGCCTGGGAGCACGCATACTAGTCAGTTTCCCTCCATCTGTCTCCAACGCATACACTTACTAACGAGTATACGTACATAGCCTCCAGTATGAAAACCGCAAGGCTGAGTATTTCGGCGCCATATGGGATGTTATTAACTGGAAGACTGTTGAGAAGAGATATGCCTAAGGAAATCTCTTGTATATGTACAACAGCTCCCGGCTGTATACAGCGGCACTTCGTTACCAATTCTTGCTGAGACAAGTTTCCCAAAACAAAATATTCCCCTGAGCTGTGTCTATCTCTTTGTAACTATATATACAAATCCCTGCGGTCTTAAGGCATCAATATACCTCGCTTAAACAAGCCATGCTAGAAAAAAAGAGAGCCCAGTTTAACAGTATAGATAGCTATATCATTTCATCGTCTAACCAGAATACGTCGTGATCCCACCTAGGTTGGGAAAGCATATCTAATTTTATCCCCATAGCACATTCGTTTCACGCACTTATACTTGTTTCTTCTTTTCTTTTGTCCTCAATCGTTCACTCCTTCCCTATAAAACGCCAGGCTAAGAAAAATCGTATTTGTATACATTCCATGCAAAAAGGCATGTACGAGGATGGATAAAACTCATATAACCTCCAGAAGCTGGAATAGCATCATAAATAAACACCAGGAAGGTCAAAAACACAATACAGAAAAAAATACATACGGGACAAAATGGGTATGGGTATTTGAAGTGTACAGTTGATGGTTAAAGAAGTGTGTGTAGGCTATGCTATGTCAATGCACAAGGGAGTACGTGAATACAGATGGGTGGTAGAGGGGTTGGGGGGTCTTATGTATTTCTTTCATCTGCGCGGTCGGCGGACAGAAAAGCGTGAGCGTCGATCAGACGGTTCCTCTGCATGCATTGAAGCAGAGAGTGGGTTCATTTCGGTGGGAGAACTGGAGAGGTCATTGGTAAATGCCAGTGCAGAAAGAGGTCGAGTACTTCCTCGAACAGGCGTTCTCTGTGTCTGTGCATGCGACGGAGCCTTCTGTTGATCGTGCTGGGGATGAGCGTACGCTGATAGAACAGAAGTTGCCGTAGCAGGCGGAGTTAGAGATGGATCAGCATCCTTGACGGTACCGGAACCTTTCATCCAGCCAAAGAAACCGTGCGAGCTGCGCCGTTTATGGTCGTTTGTTTCTGAGGTCTTTGGTCTGCGGGTTGTGCCTCCTGCGTGGGTGGTGGGGGAGGGTGTCTCGTGGTGGTCATTTTGTGGAGTTTTAGGACCTGTCGCCGGTGAATTTCCGGCAGACGAAGCAGGGCCTGCTATGGAATTGCTTCGGACCGCAGGAGAAAGGGTAGGAGTTTTGTTGAAGAATGGAGGACGCAGGTTGATACGCCGACGAGGTTGAAGTTCAGAAAGGACACGAGCACCTCGATTGCGGAAGCCGTTGCTCACAGGAGTGGTTTGCTGTTCATTGCCTGCGGGTTGCTCCATTGGCTCTGAGGATAGATGCTGGGCGGGCTTGATATCTTTATCTTCGTTGGAGGAAGAAGCAGGCAGTGCAGCCTCTAGCCAATCCTCGGGCGTAAGGGACGGGGCATTGGACACCTTTCGAATCTGTTCCTGAGAAGACTTTTCGCGACCATTACGGCTCCTGTTTTTGGGTATAACTACGCCCAACTCGTTGACAGCTCCGGCATGAAATGTAGGGTCAAAAGTCCGGGTAGCTGGACGGTGAGTATACGCAAAGGATGGAAACATGCTTGCCATCTGGTATTCTTCGTCAGTAATAAAGGCTGGCTGAGTTGAGTCACTCCATGTCTCCAGACCGTCGGACAGAATCGTTTCTGCAGTGCTAGGTCGTGTAGTTGCAACGTCGTTTGCTGACCGACGGCGTCCGAGCGTGCGGTCAATGGAAAGTGTTCGTCCAATAGTACTTGAACGGTCATATCGGCTTCGCTCGGCAATGATGCTTGTGTTGGATTTGTTGCGCATATCAGCATATGTTGTGCTCATTGTATCTGGAGTAGGAGGGAGTCTGGCGGCATGATACTGAGGAATGACCAAAGATGGAGGTTCAAAGTTAGAACCTTTTGAAGGCTGTTTAGCCCCAAGCAGAGCAAATTGGTTGTTCGTTGGCGTTCGTAGAATTGCATCTTGCTGACGGGCTTCCTTCGGCTTGGATATTCTTGTCGTTTCCATCCCATCAGGTTGCATCCAGTGTTCAATACGTGAAAGGCTAGTTGGTTTCTTAGATGTACTGTGAGAACGGTCTCGGGGGGATCGCGAGTCTTCGACGGGGATCTTTGCAGTAGCAAGGTCGGTATTGACCTTCAACTTCGAACGGCCGGGTCCATATGCGTCTGAAGGGCTTTGTGGCGGATCCAGATAGCTGCATTCACTCAGTGCGCTTAACCTAGGAGACTCCATCTCATGCGTTCCATCATCCGTTCCTCGTGTGGAAAAGGCATTGAATGTTGTTCGAGATTTGTCTGAATCCGTCATATATATATTCCTCAATGCGCTGGTACTGTTATCCTCGCCCTGAAGAAAGGAGGGTTGACGCTGCGGACGTCTAGCGGCGCCTGGAGGAGGAGGAGTGGGAGTCTGGGCATGGACCTCCATTTGGTTGGAGTAGCTACGGGGCATTGATGGCCGCTTATCCCTGCGGGAAGATGTGCGCTCGGGGACATCCAGAATTATCTTGTTCTTGGGCGTGAGTGCCTGGGGAGAACTAGATTGGAACACAGCGGCCGTGCTGTCACTGGAGCAAGGTCTGGCGGTCACAGGGCGTTCTTCTTCCCTCTGAGCTTCAAGGGCTTCCAACTTCGCTTCTAGCTGGCAGATGAGTTCAACTGCTTCATTGACGGCCTGGTCTCGTTTGTCGAGCTCTGATCTCAGTTCCTCGTTTGATTCTCTGAGTCGGTGGTTATCCTCTTCAGTGGCGCGGAGTTCTTGTAACTCCTGATCCATGAGTTCCATATGCTGGACCTGCTCTTCGAGTTCATCCATCTTTTCCAATTTCTTCTCCAGAGCAGATACCTGCTGCGTGCGATGGAATACCTCAAGCTTCAGGTCGAAGTTGAGCTTGTTCAATTTTGATACATACTACCTTCCAGTTAGATAGACTTGTTTATGATGGATTCAACGAGCTCGCTTACCTGGTCCATCTCTCTGAATCCCATCTCTCGGGGCTGTTTGAGGCCCGCCGACAGGGCATTGTTAATCTTGCGCTGCTTCTCGGAGGACGAGTCCTCTTGTTGGTCTGTAGTTGCAGCAGTATTAGAGGCCTGGGGACTGTTCTCGACATGATGCTGTTCACAGGCAGAGCTGGCTCGAGGACCACGAGAAGCGCGCTGTTCGTTGATGAGGTTCTGAAGGAGGGTCGATGTTGGGTTCACAAAAGGAGATCCAGCCGCGCTTGAGCTCCCTACAGCTTTGTTAGCAACCCGTAGCCGTTAATTCTTCGACATGTATAGCACTCACTTTGCGCTCCATCTGTGTCTTTGGCCTGGCCGGGCAAGTGCCTGTATTCTAGAGGAGGGGATAGGTCAGTATTATTATGCATTTAGACGCTCCTGTCGGAATGGCTGGGGGAGTACAAACCAGCAGGTATATGGACGCCATCGTTCAGCGTATGCAGACGAGGACTCGGCCGCACACTCTGAGACTGCTCGGCGGCCATCTGCTTGCCTTTTGTCCCGTCAGTCTCCCGCATCCTGCGGCTCGGGCAAAGACTTGAGTGCGTACTGTTCATGCGCCCCGAGGGCTCCAGGGAGCGTCTCTGTCTCGCATCCATGGCCGAGCAATCAATTGAAGCCGTGCCAAAGACAGGATCCGGTTCAAGCGACGGTAGAGGTCAGGCTCGCGCAACCATCGAGGACAAGCCTTTCGGAGAGAACGAAGAGGATGGAGGAGGAGATTAGGACGAAGGGAATGAAGCTGATAAGCGACTCGAGTCTGCGTCTGCGTCCCTGTGTGGGTGGCGGGGGGCGCAGGAATGCGATATCTGTGACTCGTTCGAAAGCGTGACAGGGATAAACGGCGTATTCTGGTCTGCGAGAGGCAATGCAGGCTGCAGGAATTGGACGTGTGAAGATGTTGTGTAGGCGTTGTTGTTTGTTTTATGAAATGTGATGTAGAAGAGCGAGCGGAGCGTTTTGGTGGCTGGCAGTTCACATCTCGGTGTTTTCCCCCCTGAAAGGAGACGCCCGTCAAAGAGGCAGCGGCGGCGATAGCTGTTATTACACAGGGACCTGCGCACAGGATTCAATAATAAAAATATGTACAAGCAGACGGCCGGCGACTCGTACAGCCACCTGCACGAAAGGAATACAACAGTAACAGCTCTTTAAGTAACTTCTTAGTGTGTGCATCTGCGCACTCTGTGCCGACCCAGCCTCCTAGAGAGAAACACCGAAGCTCGCGCTAGCTAGCTATTTATCTAACTAACTACCTAGTCTTAGTTGCCCCTGGCAGAGGTCTCGCAGGAGCTCGTATGCATCCAATCCCGGTCGATAGCCAGCCAGGGCAGCGCTCTCACGTCGAAGCAGGGTTAAGCTCGCGGGAGCCGTCCATGGTTGGTGAAAAACCTGCCCGCTGCCCCCCTGTGTTCCTGAGCGTTGCAACGAATAACAGTCTGCCGTGCACTCCATGGGAACTCGTTCAACCTGCTTCACCCAGATGTATATGGAGTAACGTACGGAGTATAGTTACGTTTCATGTTTCATTTCTTCTTTGCTTCCCCCGTCCAGGCTCTCATGCTCTTGACGCTCTCATGGGCGGCCCGGAAGACTGCAGCAGCGGAAGTCAGTGATCCGTGGTCCGTACGTAGTCAATGTCAAATATCCAATAGTAGAAGTATAAAACTCACGCTGGCGCTCAGTCTCGTCGAGGCCACGAAGAAACTCCTGGCCTGACATCGGTCCAGCGGGATTGTGTGCATGATCTGATATCTGCATCGCCCTCGTCTTGAATGTCTACGGGAGGTTAGCCAGTAATCAAGTGCCTGGGAAGGGGTGTCGCGGTATCACGACGTACGTGGGAGAGCACGTCGCCCATTTCCTCCTCCTCGAAGAGCTGCAGTATCCTACACCCCAGCCGGTAGAAATGAGGCGCCAGAGCCCGCAGGTCGACCGTCCTGGGATCGGCCTTGAGGGCGTTCATGACCTGCTCTGACAGCGCTTTGGGCAGGTCTAGCGTTACCAGGGGTGATGAGCCCTGACGCGCTCTTGTAGCCAGTCAGTATAAGCCAGAATACATATACCATAACGGAGGCAGACTGACCCGACCGCAAGCATCTCGCCTAGCCAGAGAGGCAGCTCGACCTTGGAGCCGGCTTTTATCTGAGTCCGTTAGCCTGTATATCTACATATACACATTGGAGCAGATAAAGACTTACATCTCCGCCGGCGTTGCCATCGAGAAACCCCAGTTTGGGGACATCCAGCTCGAACGTACACGGGACTTTCTGTTCCAGTCAGTCTCCAATCTCTTCACTTCTCATGTCTAGTTGGTCTCTTCTTCTTGATATCCTGCTCCTGATCCTGTGGTCTCTCTCTATACCTGCGAGGACTTACCTGCGAGTCCGTCAGGATAGCGTCGACGTCGTAGTAAGACATGCTATCTCGTCTCTCGGTCTCTGATCTCTCTCTATCTCTATATCTTCCCTTCCTTTCCGCTCTCTTCTCCGTCTTGAATATCGCTGTCTTCTTCTTCGTCTTCTTCTCTTCTTCTTGATATTCAACTTCGCGTCGTCGCTTTTTCCCAACACGGTCACGTGCCACACTCTATATTAACTTCTTCTCTTCGACTTCATCGACTTTTCAACATCAAAATATCGACTTCTTCTACTCGGTATTGAGGATTCTCCCTGCTGGGTTATTACATGAATATGCCGGGAATGATTCTGTTTCTCGTTTAGCGCAATGGGTGGCTCAGAAGATGAGCAATCATTATCGGCAGATACCCCAGAAGCATATCGAAATAGCTGCTGGCTGGAAGCGTGAGACCTCGGTCATAATCAGGCACGATGAAGTTATGAATACGATAGAAACTTTCTAGACTCTTTATGAAGCGTCTTACGAGGCTACGGGTGTTATTATAGCCTTGTCTGAGCGGCCCTTCAAAGGAATCGCCTGTAACAAAGTCAATGGCCTGAAACTCCACGTCAACAAACAATCCGTCGTTAAGGAGTCCAACAAGTTGCAGAACAAACGGAGTTCTGGTCTATGGAGACCATGGAACTGTAGGCAGATTGGTCAAGGCTATCGACACTCATGACGCATGGGGTGGCAAGGCAAAAGCAGTAGACTTACTGCCAGATTGAGGGCCTATCCTAATGATGCCATTCAGAGAGCAATGAATATTCTTCCCTGCCCTATATAATGCATTGCACTCATACTAACCCCATAAGATACGGAATGCATATTGACCATATACTAAACGGATAGCTTAGGGACTCCCGATAGAAAGTACACCGTGAAGCATAGCCAATAGTACTCTCGTGGTCGAGGGCTCATAGCACGTACTACTGTTATGACTAGTCAAGAGACAACACCTTTAATATATTATTCGGTACAATGCAACTGCTAGACGGGAACAAGCAATCAAGCAACGTTCAGACACATCAGGCATTTGGGGTCGCTGACCCTGTAAAGAGCGCTACACAATTCACGGCCATTGGGTCGTTATCCAGCAAGGCGGACCCTTGCATTCATTGCCTCGAGACCTTCTTGTGGATATGACAAATATATAAAGATATCGACGGTTGGAGCTGTACGGCTGATGGGAATCTAGACTTTCAAACCATGAAAAAAACTTGACAAGCGCGACTTTTCAAAACATCGCAGGAGTGTTTCACCCCCTTCTGTCGGCCGTGGATCAATCGACTACGCCAAAATGGCATCCCTGGTTGGCCATCATTGGGGAGAAGCGAATATTCAAGATGGCGGGGAGATAATGACTAGGTATACGCCAGGATGCTTGCAGAGAGATTCTGGGGACTGTCTCTGCTGGTTTCATGGCTGTCGGCCTTTGACAAGGCACAGCACTGCCTGGGGGTAAAATGTATCGACAGACGGCCATATCGATGCCTACCAAGGGACATCTGTCTATATATCGACCTATCTGCCCTGTATATAAACACGATAGACTTGGCCACGAGCAAGTAACAAGTAACTGGCGCCGCCAGCTGGCACCCGCATCCAACTGTTTACATCCATGCATATAGATCGCTGCAGGCGAGGATGAAACATCTCCACCAGTGGCGAGTCAACTTTTCTCATCAACCGCGTTGGACGCAGCCCAGATACTAACAGGACAGCCAGAAGAACATAGCAGCAAGAGGCAGAGAAGCAGCAGAGGGAGACAGGCGAGGCGGATAATGACACTCGCTCCGTCTGCTCTTCTCTGACTGACAGAGAGTGACTGACCGGGACGCTGACAGACAGACAGACAGACAGACAGACATACTGAGATAGAGACAGAGACACCAGCGGCACAGCTAACGAGCAGCTCAACCACCGCCAGAACACCATGTACAACGCCCTCGCGCAGACAGACCGGCTCGACGCTGCGTCTTCTGCCTCCGACGATGCCTCAGACCGCTCGCCGGCCCTCGGGTCGCCTGTGTTTGCGCCACTGGCGCTCGACTTCGACAACTTTGGCGGCTCAGAGCACAGAGACGCCGCCAGCACCGCGCCAGACTCGCTCCTCCAGACTGCGACGACGGCCATCATGCGCCAGAAAGCCGCCAGCTACGAGCTGGTCGAGGCAGACGAGTACGCCGTGCCCGAGAAAGCCCCTGAAAGGATGCCTGAGACAGAGAACAAGCCTGAGGAGCCGGTGATGCAGACGCCTCGCAGCCGGAGAAATTCAACGCCTCTACGCCATCCAACGCCTGACTTGCAGTCGATCCAGGGGGCCTATATCGGCAACGTGGAAAGACTCGAGAAGTCTGCTGAGCGTATGAGCATGGAGGTCGAGGCCGAGAGGGTCCTGGAGACGCTGAACCGCATGTCGATGCCCCGGTCGAGGGCCACTTCAGGGGCGTCCATCGCCAATTCGAGGGCCTCGCCCGGTTCCCCTGGCGCCTCTGCTGCTGCTGCTACGTCTATTTCAGCGTCCGGATACGGGAGTTTGTCGAGACAATCTTCGCTGAACAGGCCGCGGCTACGGTCTGGCTCGTCTGCGTCTCGACTGGCTCACATCATCGAGCCAGAGAACGAGGGTGCTGCTGAGATGGCTCCTCCGACCATACCGCCTCCCCCTGAGCACCGTCTGGAACAACAGCCATTACAATATGGACAACAGCAAGAGCAGCAATATGGACAGCAGAATGAGCAGCAATATGGGCAGTACGAGCAGCAGAATGAACAGGGAGAAAGACCGGAGAGTGCTGGCTCTGGGGACACCTACCAGCAGTCTACGAACCTGTTCAAGGACTTCGACGGCGTTCACTTTACACCACATATCAGAGAAGTACCTCGTTCCCGCGGAGTCTCTCTCTCGAAACCTCCTCTCGCAGCCGAAGCTGAACACTACAATAACCCTCCTCCCGGCCAGGATGTGGTCTACTACCCGGCCCCCGTGCCCATGATGCTCAACCTGCCCCAACGACTCTCCCGCAAACCTCCAATGTCCGAGCAAGAGAAACGACGCACGCAATTGATCAATTCGATCTCTCCGGAGGCACGCAAGTCGGCCGCCTGGATCACAGACGCCGAACAAGGCTCGAATGTAGGAGACAGGATGAGCAAGCGGCTATCAAATCTCCCACCACAGCTCCGTGCAAGCGCATTCTTTGACGCTCCCAAGACCCAGATCGATGTTCGTATACAAGGAGAATCAGCTGTTGATACGTTGGAGAGTATATTGGATGCTGCAGCACATGCTCCCGTCAGTGCCTTTACAGACCACCCTATAGTCGGCCACCTGGGCGCAGATGTGTACAAGCAGAAACGCGCAAAGAACAAGATCAACAAAAAGAGAAGGTCAGCGAAGCCGGATGGAACCATGACTACTGATCGATCCGTGTCCTCTACCACCAAGCCGGGAAGCCACATACGTACTCCTTCAGACGGACAAATGCTGGACAATGTCGACGAGAGTACCTCCTTGCGGAGTAACTTCGACGAGCACGCCAGCCATGGATATTCCAGAACTCCGTCGCCCTTGAGAGAGGCTGGAGCGCATGAAGAAGATGACGAGGAGGAAGAAGAGGAGGAAGACGAGGAAGAAGAAGACGATGACGAGGGGAAGAACGACGAACCAATCTTTGGACCGCCAACGACCCTGCTTGCTGAGCTGCAGATGCGAAAGCATCAGCAAAAGATGAGAACCCGGACAGCAGCCACGGCGTTCCCCAATGGAATGCACTCGACGCTGCTTGAACTGGATAGCGTTGCACAGCGCCAGCGAGAGAAGCGAGACAAGGGCCGAGTTACACTCGCCTGGGAAGGCCACCAGGGTACAGGCCAGGACGAGCTCGACGACGACGATGTACCGCTGGGAGTCCTTTTCCCCGAGCAGAGCAGACTGCAGGACGAGAACCGACCCCTGGGCCTGATGGAGAAGCTTGTTCTTGAAGAGAGCGAGCCGCTTAGTAGACGACGGGCCAGGATCAGGGGAGAACCGCTCAACACGGCCCGAGCAGCAACGCCTCGCAATCTGGCCGCGAGGGACCCCAGCCCCAATAAGCGGGCTAGTACTGCATACACGCTTGATATTCCAGGTCTCACAGATAACAATGTGACCGGCAACGAAGAGAGCGGAGACGAAGAAGAGACGCTTGCGCAGCGGAAGAACCGTCTGAAGGCCCGTGATTCACGCAGCGATTTCGACGACCTGATATCTAAATTCGGAGACCTCGATGGTGCGGCCGACAAGGACAAGACCAAAGATGCGCCAGCGACATCAGCGTCGGCAGCAGCGGCAGCACAAGCAGCGGCAGAGCCAGAGGAAGAAACATTAGGCCAACGCCGCAAGCGTCTCCAAGCCGAAGCCAAGCTGCAATCCGCCTCTGCATCAGCAACTTCCTCCCCCTTCCAGGCCCGGCGGACAATGGCCAACGTCCTGCAGGCCCATCCAGCTCGTCCCGGCCTCGTCACCGCCCACTCAGAGCTCGACATGCGCTACCGGACGCCGGCAGCCATGGCCTCAACCCACTCCTTGCTCAATCTGCCTCCCACCCGTGCCTCGATGCTAACCAGCACCACGGCACCGTTCTCTATGGCCGGCCATCGTCTGTCTGGCGCACCAATGCTGCCTTACAGTCACGGCCCGCCACCGGGCACTGCTCCGGCCATGCTGAACGGCTCGGGCATGCTGGGCAGCAGCACCGGCGCCGGTGGCTTCGGCTATCCGACGAATGGATTCGTGTATAACCCAGCAAGCATGCATCCCGTCGGTGGGCAGCAGGAGATGATTGATCCTCGACAGCGGGACATGATTGATCGATGGAGACTGAGTGTTCGCCAGTAGCCTTCTGCTGGCTGTTGTCCTATCATGACTTTATTTTTTTTTTATTATCACTATTATCCCCCTTTTTTTGTCTTCTTTTGACTGTTTTACTGCCTTTTTATGCATTTAATCATCTACTTGGTGTAATATAGCATAGCTTGGTGTTGGACTGTTGGTTTCTCCCTTTTTTTTACTGCTGCTACCAAATCTATCTACCAAATCTATCTGCCAAATCTACCAATATCTTCAAATATCTGCCAAATAGCAATAGCAACATCTCCCTCTATCAAAGTCCGCCATCCAAGGGCCACAGCCAGGGTGCATCCCTGCAAGGCTGTGGCTCAACCGGCCAACGAGATCTCCGGGACAGCCAGCAAGCTCGCTCGCTATTTATAACTATTTATTTTTATTTTTTATTTTTATTTACATGCAGACGCATCGGCGCCAGTCATCGTCTCCCGTTAATCTGTTGGAAACGACCTCCTTTTCCTCTGCCATTCTTCTTCTTTGACCGTCCCTTAATCTCTTCTGCTTCTCCTCTTCTCCTCCTGCGACTGTTACTGCTAATACTAATAATATCTTCCCTTGCCTCGTGTTGTCTTCGCCTCCCGCAACCTGGAATCCACAGCGCAAATCCAATTCCACCGCCGCAAACGAAACAGCAACACAAAGAATGGCTGCATCCAACCCATAATCCAGACGCAGATAGACAAAAGACCGTCCGCAGAAGCAGCTCGCAAGCTCCCGATGTTCACCTACGCGCGGAGCGACGACCAGCGCCCGTCCAGCGTCGCCTGCGCCCCTCCGCCAGCCTCATCGCAGCCGCCGCCCCGGCCCAGCAGCGACTCCTTCACGGCCTCCAACTCGACCCTGACAGACGGCATCTTCGAGTCGGGCATCTGGACGGCCGAGCCAGACCTCAACTCGGCCTTCAACAGCGGGAAATGGTTCTCAGACGAGAAGATCTGCTGCTGTCCGGGAAAAACTGTCCCACCGTCGCCCGAGGAGAAAATCGTCGTGACGGAATACGAACTGAGGGACAACTGGCTGGCAAACGACCGCTATCACTCGAATGTCTCGTCCATGTATGGGAGCACGCAGAGCTCCCCGAGCGTGGGCGTGGGCGTAGGTGCTGGCTTTCAGCATCTGCCGCACCCCCAGAACCAGCATCAGGGCCCGGTGGCGGCGCCAGAGAACACGGCCCGCTCCTCGTCGGCCTGGAGATGGACGCTGGGCAAGGGATCGAGCTCGTCCCCCTCGGACAGCTTGAAGGGGAGCATGGGGGACGGGGGATACTCGCCTGGCGCGGTTGCGAGCCGGTCGTCCTCGAAGCCCTCGCCTGATACCAGCTCCAGCGCCTATGCGGGCGAGTCCAGGGGACTCCTGCGAGAGTCAGGCAACGGTCCCTCGAAGAAGAACCAGCAGCATCAGCATCATCATCATCAGCAGCAGCAGCAACAACAACAACAACAACAACAACAACAACACCATGGCCAGGAGGTGGTGGAGGTGCCATCGTCAAAGGGGACAAAGACGAGGCTGAACCTGTTGAATCCCATGGCCTTGCTTGCCAGGAGACGGTCTGCCCAGCCGGCCAGCGCGAGACCAGAGGATATCAGCATCAGCAAGCTCACTGTCCCAGCTCTGCCGGACGACTACGACCCGAGGATCAGAGGCAGTCTGGTCCATGATTTCTCAGTGCCGCGAGCTCGATCAAATATGGTGGATGGCGGCAATGCCCGCTCACGACAGCTCAGAGAGCTCCCTGACAATCCTCCCAGGCCCCAGAAGCCACCGCATCAGGCTCAGCAGATGCAGATCACAGCTCCAACACCGTACAGACAGATTAATAGAGCGTCCGTCGAACTGCCTCCGAAACCACAGGCTGAGAACCAGCAACTTCCCATACAAACGACCCCTAAAGTCGACGTTGATATGCAGCAGCAGCAACCAGCATCACCACCACCACAGCAACAACAACAGCAACAACAGAATGCTCAAGACACATCATCAACTTATACGAGATCTCCTCCGTCTACCTTACGGTACAAGCCCGGGTCAGTCCGGGATCCATCATTTGTTCCCCTAGGACTGCCACGACATTTGACCAGCAGTGCATCGCGGTTTAGCTTCGACCTGGCAGGCGCTGCCTCATCATCCCAGGAGAAGCTAATGGAAGAAAGACACAAGGAGAAAGAGGCTGCGAAGAGAGCCATGGGTACTAATTTAAGGAGTGAATTTGATGACGACTCCGATGAGTTTGACTACGACGCCATGATGGACGACGACGGACTGGAAGAGAAGATACCTGGCATCAACGCCGATGCTGACTCCATAGACGAATCTCATACCGCTGCAAATCCAGCCTTGCAGAATTATATGAAGTCATATGCTCCTACACTCTCTACGGTCATGTCTAGTCCTACAAGCCCTCCAGGGAACGGTTCTTTCGTCCCCATGGCTAATAACGGGGTCTCGATGCCTCCAGGATTTATCATGTCCTCGAATCAGCCTGGTCTGTCCATGTATACAGGGTTCCAGCAGCCCGTTCCACCCGCCATGGTGAGCCCTGAACTGCCTACCACGAACCAGGAAGCCTCCAGGGGTAATAATGGCGAGGATGACTTGTACTATGATGACGGTCTCTTTGGCGAACTGCCCCCTGAGATGCAAGGATCTACCATCGACGAGTCTATCTTTGACGATGAGACGAGCTATCTGTATGATAACAAAAGGCGAGCTGCTCAGCCTCCTCAGGCCTTGTCCGAGGAGTCAACCGCTGCCAGCCACGATAATCCAATGCCAATGCCGCAGAACAGCGTCGTGGAGGCCAGACCTGCTCACAACATGGATAAGTCCCCATCTCAATTCCAGGGACTAACAGAGGGAAACCTGGAAGCATACCATAGCGCCTTGGCCCAGGCAGCCAATGAAGCTGCTCGCAAGGGAAGGTTTGAACGGAACGCAAGTCTAAGTGAAACGTCCCTGCCAGAGGGAGAGTCTCAAACTGATCCATGCTTGACCACAGATGAGAGCAGAATGAGCCAGACAGTTGATACTGATGCGCTAGGCATGGATGACCCGCTAGACGACTTTGACTATTACGATGGAGACGGTCTAGACGATGATCCGATTATTGCCGAAGCCAATGCAGACGTCCTAGAGCATGACGATGAAGGGTTTTATGGCCGAGAATTCGGGTTTTATGCCCATGCCCATGGCAGTAACGACAAGGAGCGTGTGTACGGCGGCTACTTTGGCGCCCCTGGTTCGGAAGGGGTCATTCGAAACCACAGTGGACGGAAGAACTTTCGAGAACCCAGCCTGACACCGATTACCGAGCGGAGTGAATGGAGTACACGCAACTCAATTGTCTCTCTGGCCGCTCATGCCGGCCATTCGAGCCATCAGCAGCAACCTCCGTTGGCCCAGCTCGTTGATATGGAAGTCCCCGATGACGAGATCTCGCTAAGTGCTCTAATGAAGCTACGGCGGGGGGCCTGGGGCGGCAGCAACGGCAGTCTACGCAGCAACACAGGGGGTAGCCAGGGCGCCGCTTCACCTTCAGCGGCCCAACCTCACCGCGGGAACTTGACACACTACTACGACACGGGCTCGCCGGTACAAAGCAGTGGATTGATCAATGGCGGTGGTAACTCGGAAGTGAACAGTCCCACCCATACTGATAGGGAATTTACCCCGGACCCCAGAGCTATCAGAAGACACTCGGATACCATTCGACCCCCGTCTAGCTGGGACCCGGCAAGCAGGCATTCGCTACGCATGGAGGATGAGAAACCCGGTCCGATGTCCCCCGCTACAGGCGAGCGTATCAGCTACGTCCGAAGCAGAGATGAGTCCGGATCTGAGTACTGGGTCCTCGAGAGACGGCGGACAGGAGATGGAGGCGAGTCAGAGGTGTTGGAGCGAGAGACGATGAAACTTCGGATATGAAATGGTATCCAATCAACTAACAACAGAGAAGCAAGTTGAAGCATCTACGAGACTATTAGCGACGGCGTTTGGGGGACAGTTGATGGGTTGGTTGGTCGGTCTTTGATTTTTTTATATACATGCAGGCACTTGCCTTGCTCTGTATTCTATGTGAATATTCCGGTTGTTCTTTGGTCTTCAAATGTTTGAAGCGCTTAAATGTATAATGCTTGATTCAAATAAATAGCCACCCTGTTCTCGATACCCTAGATATATAATTCATTCAGCTTTACCCGTTCATGTCCGTACCATATCATCAATATATATACATACCTACACAACGTCTCTAGAAATCCTCCATCCTAAAAACCTCGTATGAAGGCTCTTCGTATGGATGTGCCCTAGACCATCAGGCAAAGCATTAATACCTTCATTCCTTGATTCACCTTCATCCGGGGGTTCTGATTTACTCACTGCTTCAGCGCAGCAACGGCCTTTTTAACAACCTCTTCACCAACACAGAGCGTCTCGACTTTCGCTTCCTCGACCTGCTCGAGCGTCCCTACGCTGCCGATATGCGGGTTCGCCGAGTTTCCGGGTCGGAACTGGCCTGTTCCAACGGTGGTGAAGCAGCATTCGGTGTAGTTCCCGGGTCCAGGATACTTGCCGGCGCCAGCTGCAAAGATAGCCGCTTTGCAGGCCTCGAGAGCGGTCGTCGGGACGTGGAAGATCAGCTTGAAGCGAGTTGGAGATGCCATCTTGTGCAGATATATCTTTTGCCCTTCTGTTGATCGGTATTTTTGTTCCTTGGATGTTGGTTGATGTTGATATCGATTGATTGACACGGTGGGGCGAAGCTACGACGTCGTGCTATAACTAGTTGTAACCAACTACATATCAGAAGACAAGGCAATCATCATGGCCACTTCAGCCAGCATCACGATGCATGAAAAGGGCTACACAGCCGAGAAGACGGATGGCTGATTGAAGAGACCGAGTTTCTTTGAGCATGTCACCTCAAACATCTGGACTACCATGACCGTCCTGTATCAAAAGACGCAAGGGACCAGCAGCAGCTTCACTACTCCTGCATTGATACCCACCCACTTGCAAGCAAGATCATACTGCCATATCCGAGCGTCGGATCGGCTGCAAGCCAGCCAGACGGGTCAGGAAATACGAAAAGCTCTTGTTTCTTGATACAGCGGTTGCACGACAGCCGCTGATCAATCCAGAGCTCGAATCCGGCGTCGCGTAGGCGTTGATCGGTTGACATGACCCTTTGGCCACTAGCAAGTTACACCAGCATGGCATCTAAAAGATGGGGTTTTCCCGGAGTGAGCAGCTTGTTCTGTTAGATACTCATACACTTACCCTCTTGTTCGATTGGCATACTGCTGTCTTATAGCCAGTTACAACGAATTAATAGCTACTTGTCTGGACAAGATGAAATATTTGGCCAACATCTTGATATCAGGACTTCTAGTTCTTCCTTGTGCTGTGGCTGCTCCCATACCGATCTATGGTGTAAGTTGAACTGTTGATTCTCTTTGGTTAGTGTCTGTATGCATGTGCTGATGGTTGGCTATTTGCAGGCACATATCTATCAAGAAAGACCGTGTGGAGGAGCGCCGGCCCTCGTCCAGGCGGATGGCGGGTGCTACGACTTGCGCTCGCTGAAGTACGTTTCCCCATTGCAGAGATCGTTAACTACGGGCATACTCGTGATCTAATAGTGTGAATAGTGTCAAGTCTATACAGATTGATAGAGTTGCATCCTGCACAGCATACACGTACGTATCCATGTCAAAGAGGGAAAGAAAAACATTCAACTAATTCCATCTAGGAGCCCCTCGTGTGATTCAGCACCCATGGCCCTATCGGGGGAGAAATGCATGGACTACCCTTCCGCTGCGGCTGTTCGATGCGTCTTAAAACAAGGAGTCAAGACATAGGCCCAAGGTACCAATGCGGTTATCTGATATCTAGTTGTATATAAGCAGAAACATTTCAGGAGAACATCTATAATGATAATGAAGATGTATTGACACGAACCAAATTAAAGGATAGGTATGTAGACTGGGATACACTGTCTGATTGAGAGCTGTTTGAAGTTTTATAAAATACTAGTTTAGTTGGACTTATTTACTTCCTCCCTTCCAACAGGCAACAGTAGCACATACATCTCCCTCACATCCACATAAACTAGATGAGATGGTGGTTATCGAATAGAAAAGTCTCCAGGGGTCAAGATTTCCTCCTTTGCATCCGCAATATATCTTAGAACGGATTTAATATGATAGAACGTGAGAGAAAAGGGAGAGGAATACAGTGTAATAGTAAGTAAAAAAAAGAGCAACGGAAAAGCCAGACAGACATGATGAACAGGACAAAACAAAGCAGAATAATCAAGCGAACGGGGGTATTGGGTTTTTTTTATAGACAGCAAAACAAATAACAGGAACAAGCGTGCACGCAGGTAAGTAAGTAGTAGTAGTAGAAGGTGATGAGGTGAGAGTGAGCGGGAACGGGATAAACATATAAGGGACTAATATCAATTTTCCACCGGCTGACAGAAAAGTTGGATTTCACCAACTTGGCCGGAGGCAAGCGAATGCTGATGCTGTTCACGCCATTCCATAAATGCAAGTTGGACGGCCTCGTCGCTATCAATTGTTACAAAATCGCCGTCTTCGTCTCGATATCGTAGTCGGGCGGAGTTGCCACCGATCGACCGGTCTGTGAACCGGGCTAGTTTTGCGTCTACTCTGTCCGTGAGCGAGCGGAAGAGAATGTTGCTCGCGATCACGAGGGTTACATAGTTATCATCGAAGTTGATCTTAGCTTTAAGCTGACTGGGCATCTGAGAGTCGGGGTCGTCGAATGGAGAGGTTTGAGGCATAGAGGTTGGAGGTTGTAGTGGCCGGCCATTGGGGGCGTGAGGTTCGTAATTATAGCCCACTGGTGGTGGGTGGGCGTGACCATGGCGGGAGGGTGGTGGTTGTAAATTGGGTGACTGTGTCCCGGAGCGTATCGGGATTGTGTTTCCAGTGGGTGAGCTGTTTTGGCTCCTGTTTACGGGAGCTCGCATGTTTGCCATGTGGGGGGGTATCGGGGGTACGGGAACATTATCTACAGTTTGCATAGTATGTCCACCGTTCATGTATCGGCGAGAATCTGGAGCGGCGCCATTGTGAATGTCAGGGCTGCTTGCTGATCTCATCCGCGCCTGTGCCTGAGACTGGGATCCGGATTGTCCGTTTTGATTCGATGAGAACGGAGGTAACGAGGGCCGTTGGGCGTTACGAGATCCGTTGTTATAGTATGGGTTATTTCCAGATCCGTCTCGAGAGCCTGACCTGGGCATGGCTGGAGCAGTGTACCGGTTCTGCTCTGCTTCAGTCCATGCATTTGAAGGAGTCCCACCACGTGAGTATGAGAAGGCTGTTGATTGGGAGCTGGATCTTGTTGATGGGGGTGCCTCGCCTGTAGGAGAGAAATAAGATGCACCGTTGCGTTCACCTGGGGATATGGCTCCAGGAGTAAACTGCGTATGTACCGTTAGAGGAGCATTAGGCGTTGGGAACTGCGGTCGACCACCTGAGTGGTGGCCGGAGCCTCCACTGCCATTAGTAGCAGAGCGTCCCCGTAAGCTCGTATTAGATGCATTTCGTGATGTAGAGAATTCTGATAGAGAGGTGTTGGTTGGCTCTCTTGACAACTCTTCTTCGGTACTATACTCCTCCTGGTAAGGATTTGGGGGTTTGGGCGTATTCCTGAGATATGTGAATTCTGTTTCTGAGGTTCCATGGCTTTTGGATGAAGGGCGTTCGTGTGTTTGAAGGGCCCGCTGCTTGTCGATATCCTTATACCATTTGTTCATTGTATCCTCGTCTCGGTAACGGATACCAAAGTTATCGACAACACCTGGGTCGCCTTTCCAGAATATCTGTATCTTATAGGATCCTAATCAAGTTTGTTAGAACCATGATTAGACTTCCATGCCAAAAAGGATAGTAACCAACCTGGTTTTGAAAGTGATAATATTTCGGTAACATTTGTCATATAAATTCTGCCCTTGAGCTGTAGCTTTGGTTTCACTTTGGGGTTCGGGATGACCTTCTCTTTCCCCATGAGCTTGCTCTTCTGCTTGGCTGGGTAGATATCTTTGCAGCAGAGAAGGATCTGCTCGAACAGATATATGTGATACTAAAGAGGGAAAAAAGGAGTTAGTAATATATTCAAACCAATGCTCCAAGGTTCAGTCATAGCCAGGGTGTTGGTGGTTCAGGGGCAGTCCAGGGTAAGAGATTGGATGAAAGCAAACAATACTTATGGAAAGTAGATATCCAGATAGGGTATCATAATTTTATATTTTGAATAGTGACAAGATTCAAGTGTTGGGAAACTTGAATCAATGCTGATATGCTTATGGAAATGGAAACTTGCTGGTCTGGTCGTTTTAATTCATTTTGAGCCACGGCTCAAGATTTCTTTTCTTTTCTCTTTTTCTTCTCCTCTATTCCCGGGTGTACTATATACCTCGACATGTGCGTTTGGTATATAGTTGCGATAGAGGATACCCTTTAACGACCGTCCTCAGACCCAACTCCACTATTTTTTCGAACATGGGCCTTGTTGAGGCGCTGCTGGGGTATGGAAGGGGTGATTGGGGATGACGCATGTTTACTTTTCGAAAGGGAAAAGATAGAAGAAATAGATCGTCTGGACTTGGAAGGAGAAGTATCAAACGAGTCTTGCCTAGGTCTAGGCGGAGGGGTATTGAATTCAAGTGTTTTGGTGCTGGCAGAGTGAGTAGGCGTAAGGAGTTCCAGGGGATGGGCAGCTTGTGTTGGTGTAGGGAAGACAGAAATGTATTTGGGATCCTTGGACTGTTTCCAGCTCCAGCCGCGGTGGCTGTTTGCTGAAAGAAGGTGGATGACTGAACCAGTGAAGGAGCTCCGGCGGCTTCCAAGTAAATAGGATTGTGCAGTTGTGTTGGAGAGAATTATACGAACCTCTCTTTCTGCGTCTTTGCCACTATCGCCTTTCAGGATGGTAAACGTTCCGTATCGCAATAAGTCGCCGAATTGGTCAAGCTTAAGAGCCTTCCAATCCTCTACTCGTTGTGAAAGGTCTTCGACTGCGGAGACGAGGTGCTCTTTATCGATCGCGCGGTTAGCGTTATCTAGAATTATTTGGATCATGTTAATGGCCTCGCCAATGTCAGAAACAAGGCCTGGGTTTTCTGTTTGTTTTCGAAGTTCCTATGGGTAGAAAGTTAGCGACTAAATTTTATAGAGAGGGTAAGAATCAATGCCGTACCATGAGCATGAGAGGGTACTTAGTAAGGCGCTGGAATGGCTTTACAAAGAAGCCATTGAGTGTTGATAACTGGGCAACCATCTGTTGAAGATCCGGGGATCGGGGTGCAGAATGAATCTTATCCCATTCCCTCTGGCAGATCTGATCACAGCGGGGTTGATTGGCGATAAAAGGCTCATACTGAAGGAAGCCATTGTGATGACTCAGGTAGAGGTCACCCCAGTTTTGGGTCTCTTCTGGGAGTGCATTATGCTGTTCCATCCGGATGAGGAACCGTTGAGTAAAGTCGAGGAGGTTGTTGAGGTTGAGGAAGATCTGATGGCTGACATCGCCGGTCAGAGCGCCGGTTTCTTCGAGCTCTTTCTTGAGCGCTTGGAGGTTTTGAAGATGGTGGACGTAGTCTCGTTCGGTTTCGAGCATTTCCTTTAGGATGTGTTCTCTCCGGGTGAGTTTCGTCTTTCCTCCTTCGGAAGGCAAAGATGTCGATGGCGAGACTTTATTGTACAGTTGGCCTTGAAGCTCGAGTATGTCTATTACTCTGTTGACCATTTTTATGACCTGATAAATCGTTAGATCGGACTCACACGGTCCTAGAAGTTAGGAAGAGAGGGGACAGACGTACCTTTACGAAACCAGTGGTGCTGTCACCGTAAAGATCTGTGATGAGAAAGCATTCCTGCTGCGGGAATTTGAGTACCTGCAGACAGGCCTGAAGGAACTTGAAAGTCGCAGCCTTCGGTCTGTTCCGCTCTTGCAGCTTATTCTCATCGATTGAGAGGGGCTCTGACGGGTGGGTGGCATTGTATATCGTCATCAAGGGATACCCTTGCCGTAGACACTTCCATACCGAGGCGACAGGGTCGTTCTCATCGCTGGCTTTATCCAGCTCTTGCATCTCGGCCAAGTGAGGCTCGAAGCCGGGGACCTCAGCCAGTCGTTTCTTTAGGTTGCTGCAGTTCTGGAACAGCGACTCGCCGCCTCGCCGATTGATGATGTTGTCCTCCGCCATGATGTGATTCCCGTTCATTCCCTCCATCTTTACCAGATAATATCAAAACAACCACACCAGTTATATACCCCCGATAGCCAAACTGGAAAGGAAAGGAAAATTATGAAAGGAAAGAAAGAAACAAAAAGTGAAAAGCAGATAGCCTTAGTATTCTTCTGGCCAGAAAGCCTGGTCCGTCGCGAGGACCGAAAGCATGAGTCGCAGAGGACAAGCGCCACCGCTGGCTTTTCGACAGTGGGGTGGCTCGAACAGCTGGAAAATGGAGCTAGGTGGCGCCAGCAAAGCTCCGCAGCTGATCAGGACGTTTGTCGAGCCTGCTTGAACGATAAGCTACCGCTGTTATCTCTCCTCGCAGCTTCGAGCTGGTTGTAGTCCGGGCGTGAGCCCTCTTTGAGGTAAGGCGGTCAAATGGAAGGCTGGCCGGTTTTCTCGGAGATATATCGTGTTCACTGTTCGTGGGAAAGGAGAGTAAAGGGGACAAGAAAGAGGAAAAAGGAGGTAAAGGAGCGAGCTCGTATAGGGCCGTCTTGGTACACGCACGCCGTTGGAGCCGCGCAGACGGACTGCCGAGATCGTCGAAAGCCCGTTTGTTATTATTCGTCCCTCGAGGCGTCCAACACCGACAGCCCGATATATAAAACGGGAGTCTCCCTGGGACGTACCGAGAGGGGAAGAGGGGGCGTAGAGCGAGAGTATGAAGAGGGCGAAGAGTGCGTAGCTGTCCTGGTATGCGCCGCCGTTAGCGATAACGAACGAACGGCGAGTCCCGTTGCGAAGGAGATAAGGAGGGCGAGTGGCCGTCACAAGATCACGCACTGGATGGAGAGCAGCAGCAGGGCTGCAGAAGGGGACCGGACGAGGTTTTATGATCTGCTTGCCGACAGGGCTCCCTGTGTATACGAGCGTCGGGCTGTTTGAGATGCTTGCTGGCCTTCGGATCGTCTGGGTTGCTGCGTCGTCGTCGCTGGTCGTTTCGCTGCTCGTGAAAATGCGGGATTAAGGAGAAAGTCGAAGGTTGGAGGTTTGATGTTTCAGAAGGGGGTTAGCGCGGCTGAGTCATATATTAGTCAGAGGATGAGTAAGAAGTTAGGTAAGTGGCGTGACTAAGCGGGGCACATGACATCAGCCGCCCCGGCCAGGATAAACAGGGCGATGGCGAACGACGGACGACGAACTACATGCAACCAAGCAGCATTGACGACGGCGAGGGAAGACACAGCCACACGCATAAGGGCAGGGCGAGAGACGGACGGGCGACGACGACGACGACGACGACGACAGGGCGAGGCCGACAGTGTGAAACGTCTGGGCAGGATCTGTTAGGTACCACCGCGTGAAGGCCTGGTCCGGCTGATCTTCGCCTGCAACGCTTTCGGCCGGAGGAATCAAAACATCAGCCCGTTAAGAGAGACACAACAGCCAGCGTAGGGCCTCTGCAGACACAGAGACATACTACGATACTCCAAGCGACCTGGTTGCTACTGCTTGGGTGCTCTGTTTTGCTGCTTTGGTCGGCGCCGTGCCAGTTGACTTCCGCCTGAACCGGTTTATCGCAGATACTGTTCCATGGGACGCGAAGCGGGAGCTTCCTTTGGGCTTCAACCAAGGGACTACACTGTTCTCCCCACGAAGAGCTCGTTTAAGATCGACGAGGGTTACTCAGACGAAACGAAGAGCGTGCAGGAAAATGAGAGCGTGCAGGACTCGCTCGAGTTGCCTGCATGGATCCTCGCGCGCAGTGAAGCAGATAGAGCTGGTATCGCCCCAGCCCATTCATTCCTCTACGCCACTCACAAATGATTGTGCGTTTAACTAACGCTGCACAGAACTGGCATACACCCTGCTGAGAACGCTGCGGACCTCCTCCATCACCGGGGTTATCGAACGTCTGACCCCATTACTCCATATGGATCCCGTACGGAAACTCCCGCCGGAGATAACGGCTGAAATATTCTCCTACCTCGATCCTACTACGCTCCTGACGGCATCGCTTGCCTCAAAACCATGGCGCAGCAGGATCCTCGATTCTAGACTATGGCGCGGACTATACATCAAGGAAGGATGGAGACTCAACATGAGCTCGATTCGGGAATTCCATCGCCAGTCAAGTGAGATCGCCAAGCAACAGCAAGGCAGAAAATCCAGGAACAGGCACTCGGAGTCAGAGTCTGGTCAGCCTCAGCTCAAGAGGCGTGCGCTCGCCTGTGACCGTGCCGGGGCTGGTCCTCCTGAGGTGGTTGTCGGCAAGATGCCTACAGACACCGAGGGAGACCATGAAATGCATGATGCAACAACGGTCGAGCCTAACTCGCCCATGGAGATCTCCTCCCCTACACGCTTGGCCGCCCGGCTCGCTGAGAAGTGTAATGTGCCCCACTCTCTTGACCCTTCAATGCACTCTCCGGGCTTTGACTCCCTCTTCACAGATGACCGGTCACCCCTCCCTTACTCCTCGGCCGCTGTATGGTCCCGCAACGGACCTACCTTGAACTGGGCCTACCTGTACAAACAACGTCAGAAGTTAGAAGAAAACTGGCGTCATGGCCGGTTCACTAATTTCCAGCTGCCCCACCCAGATGCACCGTGGGAGTCCCATCGTGAGAGGGTATACGTTATTCAGTTCGCAGGCAAGTGGCTGGTCAGTGGCAGCAGGGATAAGACGGTCAGGGTCTGGGATTTAGAATCACTGCGGCTGAGGGGTCAGCCCCTAGTTGGTCATACCAAATCCGTTCTCTGTCTTCAGTTTGATGCAAGCCCGGAGGAGGATGTTATCATGTCCGGAAGTGGTGATCGCAGCGTTATCATCTGGCGATTCTCCACCGGAGAAAAAATACACGAACTTCCCAACGCCCATCTTGACTCTGTCCTCAACCTGCGCTTCGATAAGCGGTACCTGGTTACTTGTTCGAAGGATAGGACTATCAAAATATTCAACCGGAATGCCCTGCTGCCTACTGACGCAGACTACCCCAGGGTTGCCAAGGGAACCGGCCCCAGATACCCTGACTACATCATAGATACTGCAGCAACCCCACCATCCACACTTGAGGCCCAAATGGCCAACCAGCAGATCAAGCCTCTAGCTCCGTACAGTTTGTTAATAACCTTAGATGGGCACAGAGCCGCTGTCAATGCTATCCAGATTGACAAGGACGAAATCGTTTCCGGGTCTGGTGATCGGCTTATCAAGGTCTGGAGTATCCATAGCGGTACTTGTTTGAAGACAATATTAGGCCATAATAAGGGCATTGCCTGTATCCAATTTGACAATCAACGAATTGTAAGTGGCAGCAATGATGACACAGTCCGCATATACGACCACACGTCAGGGGCAGAGGTTGCCTGTTTGAAGGGTCACTCGGGACTTGTCCGGACAGTCCAGGCCGGCTTTGGGGATCCTCCGGGCTCGGAAGAAACCATGAGACTTGAAGCACTGGCAGTGGACCAGGAATATTTTGAAGCCAGACGCCGTGGAGACATTGATGAGAACCCTGTAACCACCCGCCGCAGCCATAGACCCCCAAATACAGGCTCCAGATTGCCACAGGACGTCATGGCGTTGGGCGCCAAAATCCCCCCTGGAGGAGGTGGAAGCAACTGGGCCAGAATTGTCTCCGGCTCCTATGATGAATCAATTATCATCTGGATGAGGGATAAAGAAGGCAAATGGATTATCGGTCAAAGGTTAAACCAGGCTGAGGCTATCAGGGCCGCTAGAGCGGCTGCAGCTGCGGCCGCCGCTCGCACACAAGCTAATGATCTGGATTCCACCAATGAAATCTTGCAGGCTGGTCCTGCATCAACGGAAGCTATGCAAGGCCCTCACCATGCAAACAACCTGGAAACCGGAGCAGCCGCCTCCGCTGCCCACAACCCTCTCCCGCCCCAGCAGCCGACTGACCAAGCAGCCGATACCAACTTGCCTCCGGCCCCTGTGCTCCAGCATCAGGCCCAAGGGCCCCATGTACCACCAAACCCGGTGCCTGCCAATATTGATGTCGCAGGACATCAAGCCCTCATACCTCCGACGGCAGGAATATTAAAGATCCAATTTGATGCGCGCAAACTAATTTGCGCAAGCCAGGATACCCGCATCATCGGATGGGACTTTGCAGCTGGAGAAAAGAAACTCGAAGAAGCCTGTCAATTCTTCGAAGGATTATAGACAACGATTTACTCCACTGGATGTTGCAATCAGTAGTCTTTCCCCTACCATGTACTGTATTTTGGCGGCGTATATACGGGCTGGGTTAGTTCCGGTTCCATTTTCTGCTACCAATCTATTCCCCCATTTTTATTTTGATTTTCACTGATTTCACTCTTGTTTCCTACGACATATTGCGCCTATTCTTCTTCTTTGCTATATCAACCCGGTCATCATCTTCTTCAAGCAAGCATAAGCGATACCAATTTTAGTTACCTAACTATCTGCCCCCAATCCAACACACACTCTCTCTCCGTAGACCCTCTCCATGACGACTGCATCTACTATCCAGTCAAAGTAGAATTCGACTCGACCCCGCGTAAACATCCATCAATTCTCTTACGTTTGAAACAAACAATCAACATGGATTTACCCGGAGAATTCCTCCTTATTTCACATATATTGGTCAGGGGGCAGAACGGAGGAGGGGAGCCATTACGTTTTATACAGGAAGAGAAACTTGACCGGACCTCGGAGAACCCGTCCGCTTTGACCTAATTGATCGCATATAGGACATGGATTGGGTAGACGAAACATCGTTGATCACCCGCGGTTTAGATTAGCAATCGGCGCCATCTAGAGTTTGGGTTGAGATGCTTGTCGATTGAGCCATGCTCGTTCTAGAAGAAGTGGAAGATAGACATATGGTAAGATAGATAGCTATGGGAGGTTTTTTTTTTTTTTGTTTCTTGCATGTTGCTCGTATATGTGAAACTGAGGCTTTGTTTATTAGTGATTAAATAAATAATAAGTACAGCCGCAGGAATTCAGTGTTCGGGGGATGGAAGGGCTCGTTCGGTACGCTTGATATAGATGTTGCCTGTCGGCTAATGCCAGGGAGATACCCTACACAAGACTGCACAAGACTACTACTCCAAGAAGCAAACTTGATACAACTCCTCCCAGGGTGCTCAAGTGGCATGTCTATCCATTGCTACGCTTGCGGTTGCCTGGTGGGAGGACTCGGCAATGTGTTGCAGCTCTGTACCTCGCTGTCCCTCGTGTTCGTCGTCAGCGCCCAGGAGGCAGCACTTGGTTACGTTTAATGAAACGAGATTCCAGAGCCGTTGTAAACCGCTCTTGGTGGAAGATAGCACACTGGGATTCTCAGTGCTGGACGAGGAGGCGTCATTCCCAGCTGGTGTTGGTGTTGATGCAGGGCGTGAATACTGCATCTGCTCTCTGAGCCGTGGTGGTGTCGTTCGATTTCTTGTACGAGTCGAAGATGGTGCTGGTACGGGGCCAGAAGGAGCGGGTAGATCCCTGTGATCGTCAAGCAGCGATCGATACCGAGAAGGCGGGCTTGGATTACCCATTGATGAGACGCGTAGACCAAACTCATTGCGGGAGTTAGTATGGCTAGACCTTGAACGGACTGGCTGTGGTGGTCTGATATCCGTATCCTTCGTTCTTGCAATGGGTAAGTGATTCTGGTGAAACGGATGGTTCGCTAAGTTCGCAGTGGCTCCAATGCCATGTCCGCTTGCTCGAGCACCAAACCGCCCTCGAATAAGTGTCCCATCATCAGCCCTTGCAAGAACTCCCGGAGGTAGACGTTCAGGAGGCTGGTAGGTGATATAGGAGGTTGTCTCGCGGATAGCTCTCCGGAATCCAATCCCACAACACCCGCATTCATCGTCAGAGCCACTCTCTCTTTCTCCGCCTTCCGGGCTTCCAGTAGCTGGCGGTAGTGATCTGCTGCTGTCCTGGCCTGTTCGTGGGGTTGATCTAGGGAGAGATGATATGTCGTAGTTTAGAGCTTCTGGTGAGCCAAAAGAGGGAACACCAGGAGGAGTACTTGGTCGCTGCGGAGGAGGATGTATAGGTTGTGTAGGTTCAGCTGGAGAAACAATGTAGTTACGCCAGCGAAAGGTGTCAAAGCTTCCCTCTGAAGAGAGTGTACTGCATGAATGGCGGCGTTCACGAGGAGCAAGAGGAGTAAAAGAGAATCTAGGTCGAAGCGAGGGTATGTCGTTGTCGTCGAACGAATAAATCTTTGATCCGTATTGATTCCGCCGTACGGGCAGTGTCCTTGACGAAACGCCTGAGTACGAGGATATTGTGTTCAGTGAGACGCCAACTGATGCACAATGTCTCAGCCCTGAGCGAGACGATGCAGCTCGATGGGTAGATACACTCCTGTTCTCGAATATAGTATCTAACGAAGGCACTGCGAGCTTGTCTCGGCGCCGGGCTCTTTCACTGTCCCAAGAGCGCAGTTCTTGCAAGTGGCTTGCACCGGCCGCCTTCGAACCGTCCTCGTTATCTTTCTTCCCTTTCGATTGCGGTCCGTTGTTATGGTCGGACTCGTAGCTCAACAGCATGGCATCGTAGAGAGAACTATGCTCGCTGGGCAAGGACTCAGATGAATCTAGATGCGGACTCAATGCTCTCGCCGAGACCACTCGCCGAAGGCCACTGGGTCTGTCCACAGCGTACGCTGTCCGCCGTACAGGCAATCGATCAAAGTCCGGATTGACGACGGAGAAGGGCTCTTGTCTCCCTTTGTGGAGAGACATGCTGGCCAGCCAAATGTTCAACGATTGCAGGGCTCACCAATATGTTTTAAAAACGATAGACTGCCCTTGAATGAGCGAAGAGGAGCAAAAGAACCATATTAAAATCTCCTGGATAGCCGAGATGCATTTCTGGGTATTGGTCGTATATATAAAACAAATAATCAAAAGAACAGACGCGCAGCAACTTGCATATAGGAAGGAGCAGATGATATATAGAGGTAGCAAAACAAAAAAGAAGAAACGGAGTTTAAAAAAACGCAGGAACGAGATGGTAAGGGGGAAGGGAAGTATACATGGCAACATGATATCAAAATTGGTCAACCAACTCAAGCCAACGGAAGCAAAGGGATCAATTTGACCAAATCCTCCAAATGAAAGTGTAAAGAAAGTTGGACAGCATACTGCCCCTTTTTGATAACTCCCGGAATAATTTTTTTTTGTTTTTTTGAAGCCTCCAAAATCGTGCCGGAATGGATGCACCATATTCATCATGTCTAGCCTCGCCTCACGCCTAGCTGCCCCAGAAAAGGAAATGAAAAAAGGGTGAATCAACCAAACGCTCAACTCCGGCGGAAATTCTGACAGATTACAGGTAAAGTAGCTGCGAGATATGACTCTCACGAGGCCAGGGTGCTCTGGCTGAGATTCGACTTCTTCAAGCTCTGCTCTCTCTTCATGGCTCTGAGCATGGATTCAAGTCGTCGTCGTTCTTCTTGCTCGGCCTGGATGTTGTCAGTATATATATAAAGTAAAAGGGAAAGGATAACAAAGCCAACTTACCCGTAGAGCCTTGATGCTATCTGCTCTGGTCTCTCTCATCATCTTCTTAAATTCGCTCTTCAGCACAGTAATGGACGTGTTTTCAACAGTCATGCCGTCCCTTATGCCCAGATTCTGGATACGTTCGTCACCAAGCTGGGTCTCAAGAGTATCACATCGGTCTCTGTACGTATCAATCATGTTCTCGAGCTTGTCACGCTCCTTTTCAAACTCGATGCTCTGCTTGGTCAACTCCTCGTAGTCTTCAATGGTCTCCCGCAGCTCCCGTTCAAGAACCTGAATACGTTCATGAGCACCCATGCTCGCTGAATTGGCATTATTCATCTGGACTGATTTCAGCGTTGCTATTTGGCTGGTTAGATCCATGTTTCGTTCTCGCAGGTTGTCTATTTCACGCTGCACGGCCGGGTTGGCAGCTGCTTCGGCGGCGCGTTCAGACCTGCTTCCGTAGGCACTGTCGAGCTCTGCTTTGGCGAAGGTGAGTTCAGTCTGGATTCGAACCATATCACTCTCGAGTTCGGAGAATTCAGTCTGAAGTTTGGCGTGGGCTTGCTCGGCCTCTTCGCGGGACTGATGGGCTTCTTTGATCTGGCTGAACTGGCTGTCCGCCTGGGAGCGTAGTTCCTGGAGAGTAGACTCTAGGTTGCTGATGAGTGAGTCCTTTTCAGCTAGATCCTGCTGGACCTGTTCACGAGTGTGGTGGAGATGAGCATCGGCCTGGGAACGTAGTTCTTGTATGGTGGACTCTAGGTTGGAGATTTGAGTCTCTTTCTCTGCCAGCTCCTGTTCAGCTTTCATCAGTGCTTCCTTCTCGGGGGTTGCCTCAGGTGCTTCCCCGATGCTACGTTTCTGTTCACGAAGCATGGAGTCCTGTCGAGCAGCATCCAGCTGGTCGATGAGCATAGCTATCTCGGCCTTGGAGCTTTCTTCCTCGGCCTGAGACTTGTCCAGCTCCTTGCGTAGCTTGGTCAGATCCTCAGTAAGGTCTGCAATGTATGCATCACGCTCAGCATCAGATTTGGAGTTGAGGTCTCGCTGCTGTTGTATCTGGATGCCGAGGATGGTCTTTTGCTCGACCAGGCTGTCAATCCGCTTCTCAACATCTGTAACAGCAGAGTCAAGGTATTCCAGCTGTTCAGCCATGGATTTCCTGATAGTAGACATGTGTGGGCTGGTAGGCTGTCTGCTGGACCCAGCTGCTGCCAGGGCCTCGTCGAGCCGTCGACTGAAGGCATCCAGCCGATCAATCGTATCATGGTTTGAAGGAGAGTCTTCAGAGGTATGGCTATCCTGACCGCGGGAGGAATGGCTTTGATGCAGCGCAATCGTCTCCAGGCCCTTTTCTAGATAGTCAATCTGTATATTGACTGTGGCCAGGGGATCGGAAGATCCCTCGTTGGTGATTATCTGAGGGATAGGGTCAATCTCCTGGTCGGTGTTCATCTGCGTGAGCATTTCACGCAGCCTGTAGGTCATCTCCTCGAGCTTCGACTGCGTATCCTGCAGCCCACTGAGAGACTCGACATCCGGTTCCAGGCTAGGGACGTCTCTGGGCGGTGCACCGCCATGGTGGTCCAGGTAATCGGCTGTCCGGTAGAGACTCCTATGGTCAAACTCATGTCCACAGCCGTACGGATCCAAGCCGTTCAAATCGTCAGATGTTGACGAGAGGTCGTCTGTCTTTGATCCCTTTTTTTTCTTCAGTCCCTTGTGTGTCATCTGCAGCACTCCGGCCGTGTGTTCGAGTATCCTCGTCCGGATATCACTGGCCCTGCGCTCCAGCTTCGCTATCTCCTGCGCCTGCTCTTCACACTTCCGCCGCGTGATAGCCAGCCCCTCGTCCGAGGTATCCAGATCTCCATGGCCGTGTCCGTGTCCGTGTGCATCCTGGCCCAGATGGCCGTTCACCCTGTCCGAGCCGTTGTCGTAGAGCCTGTTGAGGGACTGAGCAGCCTCCTGCAGTTTCAGCTCCAGCGCTAGTTTTCGTTTCCCGCCGTCGATGCGCGACTGGACCAGTGCGAGCTCTCGTTTCAGCTCCTCGACCTCTTCGAACGAGAGCACTTCGAAGTGCAGGCTGTCTCCAATGGCTGTCTCTGCGAGCAGGTGCATCGACACCGGGTCGTTGGGGTTGAGCAGGACGGAGCCGCGAGAAAGCTGCTACACACGCATATCAGCACACATCAGCACGCCATTGAACTGAGATTGGCCGTATTGACCATCATTTGACTATGATATTAAAGAGATTATAGAGATGGACATACAGGGTTGTACCTCGAGCCCTCACCGTCGTCAGGGTGCATCATGCCGCCGTAGCCATCCAGCGTCTTGGGGAGAGGCGCATTCCCAAGGGAGGACGAAGAGTAGTACCGCGGGTCTCTATAAGAATACTCGCTGGACCGGATGCTCGTTGTATTCATGATCGCAGAGCTGGATCTGTCGTATGAAACAGATCCTTCGCAATCGAGAGAGGCTGAGCTGGGCTTTTCGTTTAAGGGTCTCGCTGGCTAGCAAAGGGGGCGGCTCAACATTTTCACAGCGAGCAACGACAACGACAGCAACAACAGCAGCAAGACAGCCGGCAAAGACGTATTTAATCCCCTTCGGCGACCCGAGAGGAAATCAGGAATCGATATCACCGATCAGACAGGTCTGAAAAAAGAACCGATGAGAGGAAAAAGATCGGGCAGGGCAGACCGCAGAAAAAACAAAGCACCTATTATCTCCGAATACCACGAATCGGCTGGCTCAACGAGATGCGCCACCAAATCGACTGCTCATCCAGCACTGTCCATCCGTCTGATACGAGCCTTATCGATGCTCCCAAGCGAGCCGGAGCAGGGGAAACAAGCTGGCTGCTGTCCTGCGTGGCTCCAGGGGGGGCTAGCAGCCTGCCTGCATCGACGTCGACAGCTACAATCTACAGTTACAATCTACAACGCACAACGACAGCATAAACAAGAGCCTGGGTACCACTCAGATAGTGGGATGGAGCCTCTGCAGGGAAGATTTGGAAGAGCCCACCAGCTCCGTTTCCCCGGATGCAAGTCGAAACAAACGGCGGCCAGCGTTTGCGATCCTGCAGCAGGGCTTTCCTTAGGCCCTGCGCCGTCACATGTGTCGGCCCGGATGCCAGCCAGTTAGTGGGAGGGAGAGGGAGAGACGCCAGGACGCCTTCTGGAACTGCTGGAGCAGCTTCAGGGGGATAGACAGACATCTCCTGGACGGGCTCTGGTTAGGAATCTAACACAGATATATTGGAGGCCGCCCATGACGCCTGGCCTGCCTGTCTGTCTGTCCTGAATGCCGGCTGTGACCATGGACTCTACGGACTATATTCAGGGAGGCTCGCCTCCATCCACGGCAAAGGATGATATTATTGAGGTTGAGACGCTGGACACCAGGACGACGGTGAGGCCGGAGCCTGCGGCGTTCAAGGTCTATAAGAGACGCTTCTTCGGTCTGGGACAGCTGGTCCTGCTGAATATCATCGTCAGCTGGGATGTAAGTGATTCTATATCTGCCTTATCTTTAGTTACCCCAGATTTGTGCCTGACATTGCTGACTTCTCCCAGTGGCTCACCTTCTCAGCCGTATCGAAGACGGCCTCAGAGTACTTCCGGGTCAGCGAGGGGGCCATCAACTGGATGAGCACTGCCTTCCTCTTTGCATTTTGCGTTGCTAGCCCGTAAGTGATGTGGTTCTCCTTGCTAGTCGTGTCCGGCTATCGAACAATGTGCTAATCTCGAGGGGGGCATACAGGATAGTTATATGGACACTCAACAGGGGCGGCCCCAGGTCCTCCATCATTACCGCGTCTGCCCTGCTTCTCGCGGGCAACTGGATTAGATATGCAGGCACCCGCGCGGGCAGCGGCAACTTCGGAGTTGCCATGCTGGGTCAGATTCTGATCGGGTTTTCCCAGCCGTTTGTCCTGACGGCCCCGACGAGATACAGTGACATCTGGTTCACTGGCCAGGGCCGGACAAGCGCAACAGCAGTTGCCAGCCTGGCAAACCCCCTTGGCGGAGCGTTGGGACAGCTGATCGGGCCTTTACTGGCCACGGATCCAGAGCAGATTCCCAATCTCGTGCTTTATGTTTCGATTATTGTAAGCCCCTTATGCCTCTATCCGACGGAAACACATCAGAGGGATATTATACACCCACCCCCGGCTATAGAAACATGATACGATATATTAGGGACCCATAGCCAACTAACCAACTTATCTACCACTGAATAGTCCTCGGTCGCATGCATACCATCATTTTTCGTCCCCAGCCGACCTCCTACACCCCCCAGCGCGGCTTCGGAGACAGTAAAACCACCACTTCTATCGAGTCTCCGCCAACTAGCCACCCGCATTGAATTCTGGCTCATCTTCTTCCCCTTTGGCATCTATGTCGGTCTCTTTAACAGCATCTCCTCGCTGCTCAACCAGATCCTCTATCCACATGGCTACTCTGAGACTGTAGCAGGGATAACAGGTGCCCTTCTGATCGTGGTCGGCCTTGTCTCCGCCGCCATCATGTCCCCCATCATTGACCGCCTAAAACACTACCTGGGCACCATGAAAATCCTCGTCCCCATCCTCGCAGCAACTTACATCGCCTTCATCTTTGCACCTAGCTCAGGCAACGTTGCAGGCCCGTACGTGCTCGCTTCTGTTATGGGCGCAGCTAGTTTCTGCATTCTCCCAGTGGCTCTCGAGTATATGGTTGAAATCACCTACCCCATGTCGCCTGAGATCCCGAGCACGCTATGCTGGACTGGCGGCCAGATCTTCGGAGCGACGTTTATTCTAATCGAGAACGCACTCAAGGCTGGACCAGAAGAAGATCCGCCCCTCCATATGATGCGGGCTCTTATCTTCCAGGCAGTGATTGCTTCTGCCGTGGTGCCGCTGCCACTATGCGTTGGCTTGTTTGGGACGGACGTGCGTAAACGCAGGCTTGAAGCCGAGTGTCAGCGTGTTGGCAGTCTTGAGGAGGCCATTGTCCGGAGGGCGTAAGTACATAATTTGCCTGATGATTTATATACCCTTCTTTGCTTGGTTGTTTGCTTTAGTTCAGATTTAGTTCAGTATAATGTAGCATTGAATACCCGCTGCATAAATGGAGAGTGATATTCTATCATTTTCATCCGTAGACAACATCTAATACCAAAAATAAGGAATAAACTAGCCGTACAAGGTACAATCGGTCGAAACATATATGCAGGCAGATACAAGCCCATCTAATCTCTCCCACATCCCTCATTCCACACTAGTCCATCCTTTCTGTCTGTCTAACGATTCCGCAAAGAAACAAGCAGAGGGTCCAGAACTGTGATTTGGAGTTTTATGTATAGTACAGGTTGTTTGTTCTAATGACACGGACGAAACCGGGACGATGGAGGGGGGGTGTAAGAGAGATGAAAGGACATCAGATCTATTTCAATTCGCGCCAGAGCTTGGGAGCAGCGCACTGGGTAGCGCAGTGTTGGAGGTGGAAGACTAGAAAGTGGTTAGAACATGCCATTGACATCGACATTTTGGCAGTTTGCGATGACTTACATTCTTCAACGCAGTCCTCGTGGGGGCCCTTGAACTCGGGATCTTCGGAGTTGCGAGTGACACGCTCAACGCAGTCGTCGAAATGGTGCTTAGCAGGTGCGCAGGCCTTGGAGTTTGAGCATTCTATCAAAGCAATTGGTTAGTTACTTGCTGCTGAACGCAATCGATATCGACTTCGGCAAAGGCATATATAATATACGGTGCCAATTGTCCAATTGACCACACCAATCCATCAATTGGCCATCTCAACCGATTCATACGACCACCTTCCGCCCTCCGGAAAGCGAAATACACCAGGAACAAACAGGGATGGGCCACACTCACCCTCTACCAACTTGGGCATGATATCCTCTGGCTCCTCCTCTTCCTCTTCTTCCTCCTCGGCCTCTTCCTCGGCATCCTCCGACTTGTCCTCGTCAGGCGTATCTTCACCAGCAGAAGACGAGTCCTCGACCTCCTCGGCCGGGGGGGCTTCGGCCTCAGCGACCTCTCCGAAGCTCAGCGAGCTCACGAACTCAACGAACATGTCGGCGATACCCATTGTAGCGGTGGGAAGAGCGATATGCAGCGGTGCAGGGAGATGCAGGGAGGGGTTGAATCTGTCCGCTCCGAAGAGATGAGATGTGTATCTCGGGAGCTAATGTGGCTGCGGCAGGGCTTGAGTGGCCTTTTGTCGACGTTGTTGGTCTCTTCGTCGTCTTTTTCGTCGATGTTTTGGAGCGAAAAAAGGACGAAGGTTGGTTTAGAAGGGCTGTGATTGGCTGGTTTGTTGAGGCACGTGATTGAGAAAAAAAGATATAGAAGAAATAGAAGAAAAGAAGCACTTTATAAAGACACGAAGAGAATAATAAGAGAAGAGGAGAAAGAGAAGAGAAGAATGCTAACTACGAAGATGGTGATGCTAAGGGTAGACGCTACTGACGGCGGCGGCGGAGTTGGTTCTCCAGCTCGTTGGCGACGCTCTGCTGCTGCACCTCCTCATACCCCGGCGGCGGATCAGTAGGCGTCTCGAACGACGGCCGGCCGGACCTGCTATCCTCGTTTGCAGCTGATGTGGCCGTTGCAGTCGTTGTGGTTGTGGTTGTGGTGGTTGTTGTTTGTGGGGGGAGTGTTCCTGATATATCATGATTATTACCGGTGGTAGAATTGCTCTCGTACGCCGGCAAGTCCTCGAGATGCACATTCGCAAAGTCGACGACGCCAAACGCACCGCCGTCTCGTCCGGAGCCTCCTACCTGCGCCCCGTCCCCGGATATCAGCCCGCTCTCCCTGGCCCGCTCGACGGCTTGTTGCAGACGCTCCTTGATCTGCTCGTAGTTCGAGTGGAAGTCAAACGCCCCTCCATCCTTGAAGGTGAGTTTAAGCTGTATGGCTGCAAAGGAAGCCGGAATCCCACCGCCCGAGACCGGCTGGACGACTGCGTTCCATACATTAGGGCCGAAGAAGGGTGCGGCAACGTGGGTGTCTATGAGATTCAGCAGGGGCGCGGAGAAGGACTGGAACTCTTGTGTGGGTTGCGAGGGGAGGTAGACGATCTATAAACGTAAGATATCTGTGTATAAGTCGAGGTAACGAGGACAAGAGACATACTCTCTGGTTGGTGAGGTGGACATGGCCGGTGCTGGCCTGCCTGGCGAAGGACTGCTTGTCGGGGCCTGGGTGGATGGACTTGAGAGCTATGCTTGTGCGCAGCGGGGAGGTGTATATGATGCGTTCGTTCGGCAGCAGGACCAGCCCCTTGGTCTCATGGACCATAGCCCAACTAAGCATCCAGGCCTTTAGCACCGACTTGCCCATCGTGAGGCCGCAGATAAGGTATTCATCTAGACAGCCATCTGAGAGGGAAGAAGATTGGGACCTACTTTATAGACATGGCGAGCTCGACGGGCCAGACGCAACCTGGCCCTGCGACTGTCGAGTGCTCTGTGCCTCTTTGCAGCCACTAGTCGTCTGGACGCTGTACGCTGTAACCGTAGCCCGCACCTAGGGCCCTTGTCCGAGCCGTCTCGAAGGCGCAACTCGAAAAGTCAAAAAAGAGCGTTAAAACCGGTCTGCCTGTGGGCAACTATGTATGTATGTTAGAATATTCACAACAGGCGCGCCATGCGAAGGGAAAAGAAAAGGCAAAGCGAGAGGAAGAGGTCGACCCCCTGCAGCCGGGCGAGGGAGAGCTTGTACTTGTCTAAAAGAAATATGGATACATGGGGATCACGGGCTCAGGACATGGTCATGACGTACTGGCGCCGGCGGGGTTGGTTGGTGGGAGCCGTTGCAGTCGAGGATCAAGCGTTTGAAGGTCAAGGGGAGACGGCGGAGGATCTGCGAGACCGAGTCGAGATGTGTCGATCGAGTTATGGAAATGAAGCCATCAAAAGGAGTCTTGTTAAGCTGTTAAGTGCAGCCAGCAGCTGGCTGTCTGTTCGCGTTGAATGTGAATAATGTGAATAATAACGCTTTGGAGAGAGACCCCGATATAACGCATAGGCTTATGCTTAGTCATATGCCATACAACGCGGGTGGCTCCTACCGTTAAGGTAAAGAGCAGTTTCCTATAAAAGACAGCCTGGGTAGCGTATCTAAAGACAACAACATCAACAACATCAACAACAACATCAACAACAACATCAACAACATCAATACTATCAACAATCAACACTACCAACTGCTAGGACAACTATCTATCCACTGCTACAACTCGCTGTCTTGATCCATGTTCCCTCGAGAACATAGGGCAGATAGGCCTTTTTGGCCCTGCAGTTCATATTCCGACATTAACACCAGCATCAACGCCATCACCACTATCACCACTACCACGATAACGATATGTCAAAGTCTGCCACTACACTAAAAAGGGGTAAGTCTACACTCATAGTGGGTAGAGCTGAAGTTTTTGACATAATAATAATAACAATAACAGCAACAACAACAACATGGCCCCCCAACTCCCCCTATGGGCCCAATGGGCTTATTTTATTATTACTATTTTTATATTTTTAGAAAAGGCATTTCTTTATATCAGACAGTAAGTAAAATAGATATCCTATATATATCAAAAGGATATACTAATATGATTATTATAGTCACTGCCCATATCGCCTCGTCACAGATGAACAAGGCAATATTCGAGTCAGACGATATCAAGAAAATAATAACAACTGCAACACCACCAAAATCCCCCCCAATTCCCCCAATGGGCCCAATAGGCCCACTTTATTCTTATAATTTTTATATTCTTAGAGAAAGTATTTTATTATCTAAGACGGTAAGTAAAATAGGTATCTTATATATATTAATAGAATATACTAATAATTATTATAGTCACCGCCTATATCATCTTGTCGTGGACGATGACGGTTATCTACACATACAAAAACGTCAGAAAGAAAAAAATAAATACAATAACTCTTTAAGGGGCGGGCGGGTGGGGTCATCGGGTAGGAGGGTGGGACCCCACCCTGGAGTTTCGTATGTTTTTTTGGTGTGTTTTTTTTTTTTTGTTTCTACATGAATAAAGATCATATTTTATCCCTATTTATTTTCCCGAGTTTGAAACAAGGGCATCCGATATAAAGACCCCTCGTCCTAAATGCCCTTTATTGAGCCGGTGATGTTCTCATTATCATCAACGCATTTCAGGAATAGTTACTTACTACATCATCCATTGAATATGGAGTTTGTTAACTAGTTAGTTAAGGATAAATCAAAACCTCAACGTCGAGCTTTATCCACCTGTAACTCGATTATTTCTATTTCCTCAGATAACCCATATTGACAAGAAGATAAAGTTTAGTACGTGGCTGGGCAACGGTGCGGCTCAAAAAGGCGGCTCTGCCTAACCATGGTTGAGCACAAGTCGATGACGAATGTGGTTACTTGTAGCTATCATACAAATTACGTGCAACTCCCTCCTGCTGCCCTCTTCCACTTCTTCTACTAAAAGTGTTAAGAAGATACCTGACGCCTCTACTACCTCAAACGCCCTTACCCTTAGTTTTTCTACATCGACCCGCCAGTCAAAAGACTCAAATATGGCCAACACTAGTCTTCCACCAGCCTACACTGCCGTAGAGAATACTGGCACGCTCGAACGACCTGAAGGTGCGGGCATGTAAGTACCACAATCCTCTAGTAGGGAAGAAATATGCGTTAACCGTATTATTCGCACTCACAGTCGATTGCTCGTGGAATCGAAATATAGTTATTTTTATATCAAATCTAATGGTAAAATGAGATACTGTAGAAGGGAGAAGGGGCGGTAGGTAGCCTTATTCCATGAGTATCTTTTGAGAATACTGGGTTAATTAGTACTAGGACACGAGAGGAAGAGGCTGCAAAATCCAAGCGGCAGAAAGCAAAAATAGCTCAGCTGTGGGCCGAGACGGGTGAGTGGGGACGCGCGAAGCGGACGGTGTGTAAGAGAGAAAAGGAGAGGCGCAAGGAGAGGAAGTTGGAAGTGGAAAGAGAGAAAGATGGAGAGAGAGCGAGAAGGAGGGAGTGGAAGAGCAGACGGGATATGTTGATAGAGAGGGAGCGGAGGAAAGCGAAAGAGAGGGGGCTAGAAGTGGAGAGAGAGAGGGAGAGAGAGCAAGAGGAGGAGAGGGAGCAAGAGCAGGAGAGGGAGCAAGAGAGGGAGAGAGAGCAAGAGGAGGAGAGGGAGCAAGAGGAGGAGAGGGAGCAAGAGGAGAAGAGGGAGAGCGAGGGATGCAACGAGAGTGCTAGAGATACGGCCACAGAGATGGAGAGCTGGAGGACAGGGGACAGCGAGAAAGATGCTATCGTCGCTGCCGCCACCGTTGTTAGGCTGCTTCTCGTCCAGATATACTTGCAGAGTTCTCTACCATCGTGAGTCGTACGAGAAGCTCTGAAACGCAGGCAGCAACTAAGAAGACTGCCGAATACTCGATATATAAGCTAGTAAAACCTAGCTTTCAAAACAACCAGGTGTACATGTATATATCAAATATATGACCTCTGATGTTTCCCGAGATATCTTTAAGTTGAAGAGTCAAGATGACTAGCTCACTAGTTAGTTATTGATGGACCCACCTAAAAAGAAGAAAGTTGAGATTGTTTGATGCTAAAAACAAGAAAAGCTTGTTTCCTGTTAAGTGTATATGGAGTAGCAGCTGGCCATCTGTCGAGTAGAATAATGTGAATAACACTTTGGATAGAGGCCTTGATATAATGCATGGACTCAGGATTCGTCATAAGCCATATTCTTCTTCACATTCACAGGAAAAAAGCAAGGTAGATAACCTCCTTTAAGATAGATGGCTGTCTAAAGGCTGACGTACCTAATTCACCACTGGCTGGGCTAGGCGCTGGCGAGTGCTTCTTCCGTGGATAAGTGAATTAGATGTGTAACCTGTATAGTTAGCGAAGGGAAAGTGCTACTATAACTAATGTGGAGAGTAGTTTCCTAGATTTGAAAATCCGGTGGTATAAAAGACTGCTTGGGTAGCGTATCTGACTATACTCAAGACAACAACATCATCAGCACCACTAGCTACGACAACAACATCATCAGCACCACTAGCTACGACAACAACATCATCACCACCACTGGCTACTACAATAACAGCAACAAGAAAAACAACAGCAACAACAACAGCCACAGCAGCATCAGCACCAGCAAAATGCCCCTCCAACTCCCCATCTGGGCCCAATGGGTTCAGTTTGTTCTTACAATTTTTATATTCTTAGAAAAGGCCTTTCTTTATATCGGACAGTAAGTAAAATAGGTATCTTATATCTAAGGGATATACTAATTAGATTATTATAGTCACTGCCCATATCGCCTTGCGACGGACGATCAGTGTTACCTTAGAATTAGGCGATAGCAACCTGACAACCAGATGAGATGAGTTTTGGGAGGCCGGGCGGGAGGGATCCCGCCCTTGGAGTTATTGTTTTTTCTCTCTTTCTGAATGAATAAAACATCATATTTTAAAGGAGAGAAACCGTCGAGACAGACGGAGAGCAGGCAGATAAGGAGGCTCATCGAAGCCCCCGAAATAAGGGAAGTTCAGGAGGTTTTGTCAGGATTAGTCATCCTCTTGTGTCTGTAGAACTCGCAGACGGCTCATGTTCCCTTGTGGACATGGGCATAAGGCCTTTTTGTCCCATAGTCCTATGGTCCTATGGTCCTGTGGTCCATGTTCTAACAAGTTTTTTATCAACACTGCTTAGCTAATCATCCACAACCCCTGTCAATATAAGGTTAAGACACAACACGTGACTACTAAGCCTAATATGGTAAGTGCCGTTTGTTCAGACGCACTTCTATTGGTCAAATTTCATTAAGTAAGACGATCTCTCCCCTTTCCGGGCTTATATCGTGTTGTTTCCTGCCCTGACTAGTCATGACGACCAACTTCTCGACCTGGCAGCATCAACTATGCTCTTCTACGTTCTACGCTGCTTAACAAGCTTACGAACAAGGACTATTGATACCAGAAAAAACAACTAAGGAATGACGTGCATGGATTGCTTGGAAATACACCCTAATAATACATCGAAACATGGGTATGCTGTCACCCATACGAATTTGATACCACTCTCCCGGGCTCGTTTAATGCCCTGCCGATTATTTGCCAAATTGCTGCTTCAGGTCGTCCATCAGCTTATTGATTTCCGTGGCGTTGCTGGTACCCTCCCGATAGGCTGACCAGGGATCAGAGCATGCAGAACTATTAATATACTGCTGCAGCTGGCTGCCGTCTGCGGAATTACGGCCGCCCGAAGACGAGGATGGGATAAAAGAGCTAAGGGAGATCGGATGTCAGTGAATTTTCCGCCAGGTAACCCAGGAGGAAGTGAAGGTTACCTGTTGCGTGGTTTGGAGTTTGAGGTCTGTGCAGAGTTGGATTGATGAGGCATGCTACAAGGAGACGTAGCAGAAGAAGTTGCTGAATTATATGGTAGACTCGATGGACGACGGTGGATGGTTGATAAAACTGCTTTGCTGTGTTCAAAATTCTGTGTTTTTTTCTGTCCCTGCTGCTGAAGGGGAGATACTGGTCCCTTTTATCTCTAGAGCACCATCACGGCAGACGATGTTCCTTGGGTAAGTAGTTTCCAGCATCCCGCCGTGGGAAGACTTGGTGGTGCGTCAACGTTACCAACGCTTGTTCCGTGGAACGAGTTATCCCCGTCGGTATCATTTGGGTTTGGGCAGATTGGACAGAGAGGCCGCAGTACCTGGAAAGTTACGAGCTGCAGTGTTCGCGATCTCTGGGCTTCGGTAAGGGGGAGAGAACGATTTCCACTACGTGCAGGTGTCAATATGGCTTGATTCATCTTAGCAACCGCATTCTTTTTTCTCAACTGGATCCTGCTGTGCTGCCCTGCTGGTCGCCTGGCCCGCGCCGTATGCATGGAAGAAGGTCACTTTTCCGCCTAGATGGTTACTCATTGGGATCACTGAAGACCAGGATCAGAGGGAAACAGTGCCAGCTGGTTAATTGATCGACGGCTCCAAGGCGCCGCTCACAGGCTTTCAGGCATGCTACCACACACCGGGCAAGACTAATTGCTTAATCTATCCGTCTCCGTTTCAGCAAGCGTTCGAGCAGAAGAAACAAACACTGCTGACCGTGTTGATTAGCAGAGTATAGCCACAGCTTCTTCTTTTCTCTTCGTCTGATTGTTCCGCTTGCGGCCGTTTACCAGGTTTATACGGCCATAAAGGGCCATGTTTCCTGCATCTAAAGGAATGCTAACCATTCCGATTAATCAATTATGCAACCAAGGACTTGGCTTGGCCTGTATCTTGCAGGGTTATTGGGTTGTTGCTCTCTGCAAGCAAAGGTGGCAAGGATGCATCACTGCATGAGCATCTTCGGAAACAATTGGGCGCATGCATGGCCGGCTAACTAGGCGAGTAATGATATTGCATGCAATCAAGATAATCCGGGTGTGGCATTCGCCCGAACAAGACAGGATGGTGGCTAGGGGCATGCAGCAGTGCCCGTGAGGGTCTGCCAGGCAGCAAGAGTATCACCCTAAGGACCGACCTGTCAACGAGTGACTGATTATCGATAGCGTGGCGAAGATAATACATGCATACAATATCACCCCTTACATTAAGGAACCAGCTAACTGGCACCTATCAGGCCGCAAGCCGCAATAAGGATGCGGAGGAATCCGACTCAGGCAAGAACAAGGAAAATGGAGAATTCTTCCTTGGAGGTACACGGTTTCTCCTAGTAACTATTCATCTAGGCACCTGGCTATCAGTTTAACTATCTGGAAACCATCGAGGCAGACAAAAAACAGGCAGTCAAGGACAGCACATTCACTGGATCATCAGACACACTGTCTCAAAGGCCCTCCGTGTATTCAGCTGTGTCTTTCGCTGGCAGGATACTCATTTCCCATGCCCAAATCGCATCATGTCACATCTAACTACGGAGAACAGGTGTTTTCTCATTTGCAAGGTACATCAGGCAGCGCTTTTCTTGCTGCAGACCCAAGCCGTGTTTCATTTGACAGGGACACAAGCTGCCAACCGGCGTGCTGTTACAGCCTTCCAGATGCATTCTGATGTCATACGGATACGGCTCACAACGCCCAATCTTGCCAAGGGGTAGGGTTGTTGATGCCCGCCATTCAGGGGAGCGAGAAACAGCCACTTTTGCTGGAGCATCGACAGTCCCCGCGAGCCCTTCGTATTGCGGCGAGGAGGCTGAAAAAAAACAAAGTGATGGCCACTTTTTTTTATCTTGGTTGCCTTGACATGGACCGTGGAGCCGTTGTCGGGCCATTCCGCAGTTACTTAAGAGCGTTGTGGGCGAGAGCTGAGATATCAAATTAAACAACTAACCAGCTAACCAACCAACCTTCGAAACGGCCCTCCTTGTCCCATCGTCAGCTACGGACAGGACGGGTGAGCTGTTCGTTGCTGTTAATCCGTTTCACCAACGCATTAGTTACGAGAGTCAGGCGAGCTGCCACCGCTGAGCTCCTGGAGGGCAGTACCGCTGGGCTAACTGCTGCATTTGACCATTGTCTTTCGTTTACTGCCTGCTACCGGGAAGAAGCCCCTATTGATACCCTGAGTGAATGGCCATGGAGCCGCAGGACCAACCGTACCAGCAGAGCCTTGCTCAGTCACAGGCGGGCGGCGGTGGGGTATCTGTCCGCAGCAGGTCGTCCAGCGTCGTCTCGACCAGGACGGGAGTGACCATCACCACCCTACAGGAAGACACCAGGAGCATTCGCAGCATGGAGCTCGTCGTGGGAGGCCGCATCTTCAGGATCAACCGGGACGGCTCCAGGATAACGGAGCATCCAGGCCTGCCGCCATACACTGCTGCGCCCCCCGAGTACTCCAGCCTGGACACGAACCTGGCTACAGGGAGCAACAACGAGCTGCCGGCCCCTAATATCCCGGACTACCAAACCATAGCATGGCCGCTCAACGAGCGTGACTATCACCCTTTGATGAGGCAGCGTGTTCCATCCGTCAGCCTGACACAGGATAGGTCTGAAGAGCATGCCGGTGCTGGCACTGACGCTCCCGGACCACAGGACAACGATCTACTTACGGCCGAGCTGCCGGGGACGCCAGTTGAGCGCGAGAGAAGAGGGTCAGCATCGGGATCGAGTTCAGGACTTGTTTCTCGAGCTCACTCGTTCGTCCCAGGGCCTGAGAAGATCACCGTGGTAGCGAAACGACGCTCAGTATCAGAAAGCAATATCCAGGCCAACCTCCGTCCTAACGCCCATCATACCAATGCTAACAACACCAACCATAACATCCACAGACACAACCACAACTTCTTACGACGCCGGAATGGAATCCGTCTCCCCCAGCTGGACACAGGCATGTCCTTTGAGTCTCTACGCAACGCCTTCTCCATCAACCCAGCCCCTGCATCCAGCCCTCGCATGACCCATTCTGCTGGCCCCAGCATAGGAAGATCCAGCGACATCTTCCACCCTTCTCCGACCTACAACAGCAATATTAACAGCAACACTACTAGTACGGCCGACCACTGGCAGTCCCACTCCACTGTCTCCCGCGGCCGCTCACCTCCCACTACACCCCGAGTAACCCGCAGCCCCATGCTGGCCGTCCCCCAGGGCCCTCCCACCGTCGAAGAAGGCTATGCGGACACAGACGAGCCGCCAGCCATGGACACCGAGAACGAAATCAGCATCCACTTCTCCCGCATGATCCGCAGCATTGACCGTGAACACCGGCGTGTGCTTCATCAGAAGTGTCGTGAGCTAGCCGAATTGCGCGAGCGCCTGAATGAAGTCGACCAGGTCTACCGCAAGGAGCTGAGGTCGCGCGACTTCATCATCGACGAGCTCCGACATACGATCAACTTGCTGGAGTTCCAGACGGAGGCGAAGATCGAGCGGGCCCGGAACGAGGTCGAGGATATCTGGGAGCAGCGCTGGAAGGACCAGGAGAAGCTCTTGCTGGATATGCAGCGGAGAGTAAGCCAGGCGGACCTCAGCAGGCTTGTGGGACGCAGGAGAGGAGGGAAGGTGACTTCTACTGCTCATGGTGAGGAGGAGTATCATTAGCTGTTGGTTAGGAGGTCTTCAGGGGGGACTAGAACTTCGGGGTTGCTTTAGGGCCGGCTATGGCATTCTACATACAACATCTACACCATCTGCTAGCTAGCGTTTTCATATCAACACATCCAGCGGCGGAGTTGTTGGGACAAGAGCGGATATCTACTAGCTGGTCTATGTATCTCGGCTTCAATGTATTCTTTTCATTCTTTTCTTCACTTCTTCTTCATCATCCTGTCTGTCCATCTCGCAAGGTGGTAGAAGTTGCATCACTGTGCATCCCCATCCTCGACCTCTGCTCAATCAGCATATCCCCATGTTCAGACACGAATATCTCAATGCGCCATGCAAGAAACCCGTCGCTCGAGCCAGATCCATGCATGCACGGAGGAGCTGCTGGCCCCTTTTCTCGCTTCGTATCCTGTTTTTCGCCTCCTTCGGCTAACTCGCTCCCATTTTGACCGCAGCAGCAAACAAACAAACATCCAGCATATAAATAACTAACTGCTCGAAGCCTGGCCGCTCGTCGCAGCGCTCTTAATTAAATCCCCGTCCTGCCAGCTTCCCTGCTGCTAATCCCAGGATTCTCACAGCTATTGGCCCTCCTCCGTGTCTCAGGCCAGCGAACAGAGAAGAAGGAAAAAGAACATCCGGGCGGGACGGTGTTTATATTTAACAACCTGCTAAAAAGCCCTGCAGATAAACACCCGGGCAAGATATGCAGATTTCCCCCCGCCGCCAGCACAGCCAGATACCACCGCCTGCCGCCGACCTCATCGGATAAGAAGAAGAAGAAGAAGAAGAAGAAGAAGAAGAAGAAGAGAAGGACCGAGAGAAGAGACGGCGTTGCGTTGTGCGTCGATACAGCTGGTTGCATACGTTGCAGCGACCTGCCGGCTGCTCATGGTTGCAGAGCTGTCACCCCAAGGGACAGTCGCTGTCTGCTCGAACAACCCATAACCGGCCTGGATACGCCTGATTGCATTCGACTACCTGGTCCAAGATGGCTTCCGGGGACAAGGAGTACCGGCCGATGGTCACTTGGATGTACGACCTGATCCTGTGGTTCCTCTCGCTGCTGGTCGACCTGTTCTTCCGCGAAGTGCACCCCCGCGGCTCATGGAAAGTCCCCAAGCGAGGGCCGGTGATTCTCGTCGCTGCTCCCCATGCCAATCAAGTACGTCCTTTACTTTGTTCTGTTATTCTATGCTGTTGTGTTGTGCTGTTATGCTGCATTGCATGCGTTGGTACTAATAATGTCTGCACAGTTCGTGGACTCCCTCATCCTGATGCGGGTAATGCGCATGGAACTTCACCGTCGAATCGCCTTCCTGATCGCCCAGAAATCATTCAAACGCCGTTTTGTAGGCTTGCTCGCTCGCTTCACGGGCTCAGTCCCTGTTACGCGAGCAATGGACAACCTGAAGCCGGGCAAGGGAACTATCTATCTACCGGACCCCATCAACAACCCGACCTTGCTACGCGGCCACGGCACAGACTTTACTTCTTCGGCATTTGAAGTTGGCGGGACTATCTCGTTGCCCTCGGTTGGTGGACGGTCAAGCAGTACGGATATCGGCGAGATCAAGGGACCCGAGGAAATCATATTGAAGAAGCCGTTCAAGACCCAGCAGGCCCTGCAGCAGTTGACGGGGCGCGACGACGTGGATGAAGACGGCAACTTTACGGGGGGTGCGGACGTTAAGAGTCCAGCTGAGTTTCAGGGCTCGAAGTTCAAGGTTGCGCCGCACGTTGACCAGACGCAGGTGTATAATGCTGTCTTTGATACGCTCAATCAGGGAGGCTGTATTGGCATCTTCCCGGAGGGCGGAAGTCATGATCGTCCGGATCTCTTGCCATTGAAAGGTATGTCCTTGTTAACTTACTATTGATTTGTTGGATATAGTGCTAATGTTTGTAGCTGGCGTTGCGTTGATGGCCCTTGGAGCTGTGGCTGCCAACCCTGACTGCGATGTGACCATTATACCCTGTGGAATGAACTATTTCCATGCCCACAAGTTCCGGTCTCGGGCGGTCATTGAATTTGGAAACCCGGTCAAGGTGCCGCCGGAGCTGGTCAAGATGTACAAGGAGGGCCAGAAGCGAGAGTCTGTAGGCACCCTGTTGGACACGATATACCAGGCCCTAGTCACCGTTACCGTCACATCTCCTGACTACGAATCTCTTATGGTATGTTGAACCAATTTTATTACTACTGTGTGCCTAAACTAAAACAGGTATCTAGGTCATCCAAGCTGCGAGACGGCTGTACAATCCTACAGGGAAGAAACTACCGCTGCCAATGGTTGTCGAGCTCAACCGTCGTCTGGCCAAAGGGTACGCCCACTACAAGGACGACCCCCGGATTATCAGCCTGAAAAAATCAGTGCTGGACTACAACAAGCAGCTCCGCATCCTGGGCATCCGAGACCACCAGGTCCAGTATGCCAAATTCTCCTTCTTCAAAGTGGTGGCCACTCTCATCTACCGCCTGGGCAAGCTGGCAGTCATGGCCATCGGCACTCTTCCCGGCTTCGTCCTCTTCCTGCCCGTCTTCGTGGCCACCAAGATCATCTCTATCAGAAAGTCGCGAGAGGCACTGGCAGCGTCCAGCGTCAAGATCCAGGGCCGCGACGTAATGGCTACCTGGAAGCTGCTCGTGGCCCTCGCCTTTGCACCGCTGCTCTATACCTTCTACACCGTCCTGCTCACCTACTGGACCTACAGCCACCGGGTCTGGGGTTACGTCCCTGACTGGGTGCCCCTCTGGACCATCATCCCCTTCGGCTTCTGGATCTTCCCATCCATCACCTTTGCCGCTCTCCGCATCGGAGAAATAGGCATGGACATTCTCAAATCGCTCCGTCCACTGGTCCTATCTCTCAACCCCAGCTCAGCAAACACCCTCGTCAGGCTCCGAGAACGCCGAGCCGAGCTCTCCATCCAAGTAACCGACCTTATCAACACCCTGGGACCCGAGATGTTCCCTGACTTCGACTCCTCGCGTGTGGTCTCCAACCCCTTCAAGGACACCATTTTCCGCGAGAGCCTGCCCTCTTCTTCCCTGGAGTCTCTCGAAGAAAACGAGACAGACGAACCGCTCGACGACTACGGCCGTCCACGCATCATCCACCGCTCCCACACCGAATCCTCCATGCAGGACCAGCTGCCTCGCAATGAATCCTTCCACGACCTCGCCAGCTTCGGCTTCTTCTCTACTCGCCCGTCCAGTCGCAGTCGCAGCCGTAGCAGCTCCAACGGCGGCCTGATCGGCTCCTCTGGCTTCCCGCTCAAGGAGTTCAGCACACTGGACTCGAAGGAGAGCTTCGACGAGGTGAGCAAGCGGATCCGGGGCGCCATGCGGGAGCGAGGTCGTCAGCGCCGCCGCAAGAGCGAGGACTCGAACATGTGGGAGGCTTCGGACTCTGAGTCCCAGACTCCAGAGAACCGCAAGGACGTCTAGTCTCTCTCTCTCTCTCTCTCTCTCTCTCTCTCGCCTATAACCAGCCGTCTATATGAGCAGACTAAAAGCAAAAGGGGTGGTCTTTCAGTGTTTGGATGATCTTACGACGATGTTCAGGGTCCAGCAGGCGTTCTGTATCTATCTATATCATTTACTCTTCTTCTCTATTCTCTATTTACTCTTCCTCTACTCTGTCTTCTACTGTCTTCTGCTGCCTATGTATGTACAAGGTCAGGGGCGCTTCGAGTCTTTCGCTCTTCCGAGACAAAAACAAACAAAAACAGGCTTAAAAGGCAAAAAAGCGGCAAAGCCACGAAGTCTGACTCTCGCGTCTACGTCACTCTCTCGTCTTCGTTTTTTTTTTTTTTTTTTTCTTAAAGCAAAACAAAAGGCATTCTATTTATCCTACGTTTATTTTAATACTTTGCAATAGTTGAATATTCTCGTCCATCGTTTGACTCTCGTCCTTTTTACCTAATTATCGCTGCGCTGGTGGGCAGCATCGCAGAGAAGAAAGAAACCACCCGGGGCTTCCGGCCACCTTGTCTACGCTCTTTTACTCCTTTTACGCCCTACGAAATATCTCCGCGATGGCTTCGTCGATGCATCTGTCGAGGATACGGAAATGGCTGGCTTCGTCTCCGCCCGTCGAGGGTGCTATATACTACCTGCGAGAGCTGTTGATCGGCGCGCTGCGACAGGGCCCTATTCCACAGCATGTCGCCTTCGTGATGGACGGGAACAGGCGGTTTGCCCGCAACCAGGGCATCGAGCGGGTGGAGGGACACAATCTGGGCTTCGAGGCGCTGGCAAAGGTATTCTTTTGCTCTTTACTCGTTATTTAATTGTAAAGAGTGCATGGCTAACGGGCGCAGATTCTAGAAGTGTGCTATAGCTCCGGCATCAAGGTGGTGACGATATACGCCTTCAGCATCGAGAACTTCAAGCGGTCCAAGTACGAGGTCGATGCGCTGATGGAGATGGCGAAGCTGAAGCTGCTGCAGCTGTCGGAGCACGGCGAGCTGCTGGAGAGATACGGAGCGAGCGTGCGGGTGCTGGGCCGACGAGACCAGATACGCCCGGATGTGCTGGAAGCCGTGGACAGGACGGTCGAGCTGACCAGCGGCAACGGAGACGCCATTCTCAACATCTGTTTCCCCTACACCTCGAGAGACGAGATTACCTCTGCGGTCCGCAACACGGTGATGGAGTACAGCACGCCGCTGGACAGGACCCAGCTTCCGGCAGTCAATTCGCCGCGTCGACCGTTCTCTGAGAAGCGGATTGTCGAGAATATACGTGAGCATACGCCCAGTGCAGACCCGCGCGAGTCGCTGTCCAACGGAAGCAATAGTCCCGTCACTACGTCTTCGGCCAACGAGACGGCATCAGACTCCAACTCGTCTCTGTCCTCGGCCACGACGCTGCACCATGTAGCCTGCGGAGAGACGAACGGGAGCAGCGGGACAGGCAAACAGCAGCAGCAGCAGCACAACCATGAACGTCAACATCGGCATCACCACCATCATCATCAGCATGCCACTGCGTCGCCGGAGCTGTATACCTCGTATCCGCCCAACAGCGACCAGCTGCTGTTTCACTCGCCCGAGACGATCACCACGCAGACGCTCAGCGACCATATGCTCACCGCTGGCTGTCCGCCGCTGGACATCCTGATCCGCACCTCGGGCGTCGAGCGTCTCAGCGACTTCATGCTCTGGCAGTGCCACCAGGACACCCAGATTGTGTTTCTGGACACGCTGTGGCCGGCCTTTAGCCTGTGGGAGTTCCTGCCGGTGATCTGGGACTGGCAGCGCAGGATCAGGAAGACCGGCTCGAGACGAGAGCTCGAGTTCGACTTTCCCAGCGCATACAACTCGGATTCAGAGCGGATGAACGCTGACAGTCCGTGGCTGACGGAGGACGATGATATCAAATTCAAGTCTCTATAGATTCTTCCACCCTGCATATACCCCTGCGTCTACCTTGTACCTTCTACCTCCTGACCTCTGCCTATACCTATACCTATATCTACGCCTTCTTCTCCTTCTCTACCTACTGTCTCTTACTGTATAATAGTAATGAAATCCGCATAGACGAGTTCGTACAGCCACCGCAACACCAGTAGACCCGAGCCAGTTGGGCAGCAAGATCTTCATCCGCCTCGAGTAATAGGCCATATCAAACAACAAGCAGCAGCAGCATCATCATCATCAGCAGAAGAAGAAGAAGAAGAAGCAAAGATGAAGCCGGCCTTTGACCGACTAAATGACTTGCTTGCTGACTAACTCGTAGTTACAAAAGAGACATAAAACTGCACAAAGTCGATTCTTCGTCTTCGACTTTTCGACTTCTTCTTCCTCTCCATCACCGCTTCTGCTGCTTCACCACCGTCTGTCTCCGTCATAAACAGCCTGTCGATACCATGTCTTCCTCAATTGAAGGTCGTAAAGTGCTTCTGTATGTCTCTCCTGCGGCCTCCTCCCTGCTGCCCCTCCGTTATCGGTAGCTAGCTTGACTGACTCACGATAACAGGCTTGGAAGCGGCTTCGGTTAGTCGAGCGGCCTCAGATACAACGACAAGAGAGAGCGTCTGGACGGATGAATTGGCTGATATTCTTACCTTTGTTTGACAGTCACTAAGCCTACCATTGACGAGCTAAGCAAGGCCGGCGTCCTCCTGACTGTTGGTGGGTGATATCTTCCCCCGCGGTGCCTCTATATAAAATATACACGACTCAAGACCACCAGCTAACGACGGGATGAAACAGCCTGCCGTACCCTCGAGAGCGCCCAGCAGCTCTGCAAGGGCATCAAGAACACCAACGCCATCTCCCTGGACGTCAATGACTCTGCTGCCCTGGACGCCGAGCTGGCCAAGGTCGAGCTGGTCATCTCCCTCATCCCATACATCCATCACGCTACCGTCATCAAGGGAGCTATCCGCACCAAGAAAAATGTAGTCACTACCTCTTACGTCTCACCAGCCATGATGGAGCTGCAGGAGGATGCTAAGAAGGCCGGCATCACAGTCATGAACGAGATCGGTCTTGATCCTGTATGTCTAGCATATTCACTCCATATACCCTATAGATCCTGATATTAACCTACGTCCAGGGAATTGATCACTTGTATGCCGTCAAGACCATCTCAGAGGTACGTCTACCCAAAGTACTCATGCATAAACAACATCCAACTGACCTGCCGTAGGTCCATGAAGCCGGTGGCAAGGTCACATCCTTCCTGTCCTACTGTGGTGGTCTGCCCGCCCCAGAATGCTCCGACAACCCACTCGGCTACAAATTCTCCTGGTCCAGCAGAGGCATGCTTCTCGCCCTCCGCAATGATGCAAAGTACTATGAAGACGGCAAGATCGTCTCCATCCCCGGTCCCGAGCTCATGGGCACAGCAAAGCCATACTTCATCTACCCGGGTTTCGCCTTCGTTGCTTACGCCAACCGCGACTCAACCCCTTACAAGGAACGCTACCAGATGCCCGAGGCCCAGACCATTGTCCGTGGCACTCTTCGCTTCCAGGGCTTCCCGCAGATGATCCGCACCCTGGTTGATCTAGGTTTCCTCAAGGAGGACGAGAAGGAGTTCATGAAGACGCCTATTCCATGGAAGGAGGCCATGAAGCAGCTTCTCGGCGCCACTTCGTCGGACGAGAAGGATCTGCAGTGGGCCATCTCCTCCAAGACCAAGTTCGCGGATAACGAGGAGAAGGACCGTATCATGGCTGCGCTGCGATGGATTGGTGTTTTCTCCGATGAGAAGATCACGCCTCGCAATAACCCGCTTGATACCCTTTGTGCTACCCTCGAGCAGAAGATGCAGTACGGTCCCGGCGAGAGGGATATGGTCATGTTGCAGCATCGATTCGAGATCGAGAACAAGGATGGTTCCAAGGAGACTCGTACCAGCACCTTGTGCGACTATGGTGATCCAAACGGTTACTCGGCCATGGCTAAGCTCGTCGGTATCCCTTGTGCCGTTGCTGTCAGACAGGTTCTTGACGGCACTCTTAGCGAGAAGGTATGTCGCTTATCCTAACCCCCTAACTTCAATCTTTTTGTGAGCCATTCTAACCTTTGAATAGGGTATCCTTGCTCCCATGAACATGAAGATCTGCGGGCCCTTGATCAAGGCTTTGAAGGAGGAGTACGGTATCGAGATGATCGAGAAGACTCTCTAAGTCAATCTCTCATCTACCTTAGTTAATGACTACGGCTTTTGTTGTTTTTTTCTTAATGAAAAAGAGCATGTTTATACGGCATGGAAACGGAAATGGTTTGGGAGGTTCCTAACTAAAAGTACATTCGATCGCTCCATATGCTCATAACTTACGGAGATACATGCATGTTATCCTAAACTCCATCGATAATAGAAGATCAATCATGATACTTCCATATCACTTTCTCCTTTCTCTGTAAACTCCCCTGGGCCCATGGGGTCTCTCTCAATCAAATGTCTCTCTCCTCCATGGGCCATCAACCCTCAAATCGAGTCTTGGGTTTATTCCCACCCACCCGCCAACCCAAGACTCTTCTCTCCAGCCTAACTCTCTAAATCCCTGAAGCCCTCCTATCCTCTCAACCCTCAATCCTTTGTCCCTGGGAGCCCATCGACGAGTCAATCGAGTTCGGTATCGGTTCGTAATCGTTTCCTCGCAGACCGCCCTCTGCCTCTTTCCAAGCCAATCCATATCAGCCATCCTCCATGTCAATCACTCCAACTCAACCATCAACCATCAGCTATCAATCATGTAAATCGCCCATGTCAATTCCCCCAATGATCCAATACCAGCCATCTCATACCAATCACACATCCGTCACCTCATGTCAAGCCTCCATGTCAATCATTCCAAGACAATCACCATGGGTCAAAACCCCCTGTCACCAAGTTCAATCAACCATCAACTTCATGTCTCATGCCAATGCTCTCTCCTTGACCTTGCCCAAGTCTCATTCAGTCACCAGCGAATCCTCAGAATGCTCCAGCACCATATATTCAATCCTCCATGGGGTACGTCCTTTCCAAATCCGCCTCCACGCAGCTGTCCCTTGACCCCCTTTCCAAGATGCTGCCCCGTCTTCCAAGGCCATAGCTTTCTTTCAGCTCCAGTTCACTCCTCAAATCAACCATCAACCTAGTTCCGATTTTTTCCCTTAGTAACCAGCCAGTCCCAATCCAACCCTTTCAAGCCCCCATTCCAACTCTCATCCCATACCCAAAGTCCAATCCAATCCAGTCCAGTCCAGTCCCTTTCCAACCACTTTCCAACTGCACCCCAGCCCACCCCAGTAACCTTCCAACCAACCCCCCAAATCTAGCTAAGTCTTCTCTCCAATTGAGTTCCCATTTTCTCTTCCAATCACTCTCAATGCTCGTTGCCTTTATCCAAATAGCAACCATCAGACACAGGGTATCAATCACCAATCTTTACGAAAGCTCCAGTCTCTCACCTCACTATCCTATCTATCCAATCTTTTTTTTTTTTTTTTTTTTTCCTTTTTTTTTTTTCAAAGGGGTTTTCTTTTTCTTTTATTTTTTTCTTTTTTCTTCTTTTTTTCCTTCACATCTTTATTTTATGATTTTGCAACTTGTTCTTTGCCTTTTTGGGTTTTGACTGTTGGATTTCCATTTTGATTTTGGATTTATATTTTTTTCTTTTTTCTTTTCTTTTCTTTTCTTTTCTTTCTTTTTTTTTTTCCGGGTTGGCGGGGGTTGGTTGGTTGGTTGGTTTCCAGTCACCACTCTCCAATCTTCAATCATCAAATATCAATCACCAATCTTCACTCAGTCCTCAGTCACCAGTCTCTCTGCCATCTCTCACCTCTTCACCATATCTATCTAATCACTTCTTTTTGGTCTTTTCTGACCTTTGTTTTTTGAATTTTTTTTTGTCTTTTTTAACCTTTTTTTGGTCTTTGTTGTTTGTTTCTTGTATTGGTGTTTGTTTTTGTTTTTGTTTCTGGATTTTGGATTTTGGGTTTTGGTTTTTTGGTTTGTTTGGTTTGGTTTTGTCTTTTTTTTGATTTTGATTTTGATTTTGATTTTGACTTTGACTTTGACTTTTTTTTCTTTTCCTTTCTTTCTTTTTTTTTTTTTTTTTTAGGTTGTTGTTGTTGACCTTTGCAAAGCTTTGATGGATGCTTTGTATGGCTTATTAGCAGATTGTTGGCTTGTGGTTTGAGGTATCAACTTCAACATCAAGTCGTCGTTCAGTAAGCCTCAGCCAGGTCGTATTTTCACATCTCTTTATCAACTCGTTTCTCTTCAGTGCCCTTTGTCCTCATCCTCCTTTCCGCCGCACCCCCGTCTTTCTCACCACCAGGTAATCGTATTCGTCGTCGTATCGTATGCGGTTGGACTCGTCGATGGGCTCCTTTCACTCTTCCATCCCAAGCACCAAACACTCTCCCCCTGAACCACTTTTTTCATCACGGAGCCCCTAAAGCACCTTCAACACCACTTTGCCCCTGACACGTCGGCTTTCCACTTTGTCTGTAGCCTCCTGAAATTGCTCCAATGGGTAGACGCTGTCCATCAAGAAAGAACATTTACCTTGCTCCACCAACTCCGTAACCTTCTGCAACTGATCACCCCTGGGCTCCATGATGAAAAAGTGGCTCTTCACGTCCTTCACCTCAAGCCCAGCTGGCTTCTCCTGTTCCGGATATCCAACCATGCTGATCAGCACACCACCATCCTTGACACAGCCCCAAGCATCGGCCAGGCTCTTTCCTCCAAAGCAGTCGATTACCAAATCAGCCTTTCGTCCTTGTTTCTCTGCTGCCCACGCGGTCAATGAGGTTGTCTTGTAGTTGACGGCGTCCGTGGCTCCCATTGACTTGACAAAGTCTTCGTTTCCATCACCACACGTTCCAATTACAGCGTCGAACCCGGCAATCCTTGCAAATTGCAAAATCCACATCCCGACTGCCCCCGACGCCGCGGTGACAGCAACTCTCTTCCCTTTCACTCTCTCGTCCTCTGGCCCCTCCCACAAGCCAGATTGGTCGAAAAGTGCCTGCCAGGCGGTAAGGGCGGACAGAGGCACGGTGGCGGCTTCTTCCCAGGTCAGATTCTTTGGTTTGCGTGCCAATTCGGAGGTAAGTGCGATTGTGTGGTCCCTCGCACCTCCCGCACGCGAATAAGGAATGCGGCAGTAAACATCATCACCTGGCTTGAATGGCGAGGAAGGAGGAGCCAACACGACCGTGCCTGCCACGTCTGGTCCGGGCACCGTTTCCTCCTTGGTAAAAGTGACATAGGTGTGCCAGTAAAGCTCGCCTGCACACAGCGCGGTGGCGTGCACGCGGATGAGATGCTCGCCCTCGTCGAAGTTGGGGGCGGGCGTTGGACGCGTCTGCAGCGTCAGCGTCGTTGCCGGCACGTCCTGGTTGACTGAGCGTCCAGTCTTGGGAACAGAGGTAACTGAAGCCATATCTTGGGTATATTGGTATTTTTTTTCTGGCTTTTCTTCGTAGGGTATCAGTGCTGGTTGTCGGTTCTGTCGTAGAAGCGTAGAGGAAAACCTGTGAGGAGATGAGTTAACAGATGAAACTGAACAATGAAAGATGGGGGGGGAGGAGAGAGGAGGCAAGAAGGCCTTTTTATAGTCACTGTCTGCTCTTCTAGCAGCCCCTGTCGTCTCGCTAAGCGGATGGGGGAATACGAGCTCCAAGCTCTGCGCGTGCGTGGTGGTGTTGGCTGTGAGAGGAGGAGGAGGAGGACAAGGGCGTGGCTGGCGAGGAATCTAGATATCTGATGTCCGTGCTTGCTTTTTTTAAGTTTAAAGTTAAAAAAAAGAAGGTTCGACTCTCGGACCAACAGGATATTACATAATCATAATCCCGAGTCCGGCGAGTCGGAGTTTAATAGAGCGCGGCTAACTACCTAGCTTTTGGCTGTAGATCGGGATGTCGGGGTTGAGGGAGGATGTGTAGAATAGGATATTGATTTGATAAAAGGCTATCTATCGCCAGGTGTCTCTCTTAATCGCTCCCGAGACGCCGCAGGTCTGAGGTACAGTGTACTTCCGATTCGGATCCTGCTCCCACACCACCTCTCCTCCTCTCTTGCGGATGAACTTGTACTCGAAAGCCACGGCAGTCGGAAGCTCAATGTCAACATACCATTGGTGACAGTTGTCTGCATATATGTCGGCGTTGAGCGGAACAGCCTTCTTGACGTCCCACGAGCCTAGCTCTGGGATAGATCCAACCAGGAAGACGTCTTCGCCCACCTGTGTCGTAGCGAGCAGTCTGAAGCGGACATTATTCTTTGTCGGCAAAGCCGTAGGGCAAGGCGACGGCTGAGCAGTGGGGGTGAGGTTCGGTGGCCAATGGGTTATAGTAGCCGTTTGGTATGGCCCGGTTGCCGATGATGGCACACAAGTAGATGGGATATCTCGGGCGTTCTTCTCTCCCCAGGAAGCCGGAACGACGGAGTTGCGTCGGGCCATTACGGTTAGATACGATGCATATGACCAGGTGAGATCCGCCACAGACAATGGTGTTCCATTATCTCTGGAAAACTGCTCTGACAGCATTCCTGTGCACGGGGTGTATTTTTTCTAGGATAGGGTCAGCCAACGCCCGCGGAATACCCAGTTCTGGAATAGCAACTTACTGCAACCTCAATATACCCCTCTGCATAAGCCTTCACTGCGGCAATGATATTGCCGAACTCCGGGCTGGAAGACTCGTGTGTCCCTGTCTGCACTTCGGGATATATATCCTTGAAGAAAGGCATGGAAACATCAGTCACCGTGATTTTTCCTATCTTGTTCCATTGATACATGGCATCGTATAGTTGTTCTGCAGCAGCATAAGTAGCTAGATACCATGGGTTTCCATTAAAGTATACGTCTTCGGGATACCTGCCGACGGCCACGGCCTCGCCCTGCTTGATACCACCGTTAATCTTATAGATGGACCGGAAGGAATCTGTGACTGCCTTGTGGTTTGCTAGTGCTCGCGCAGAGCAAGGTTGGAAGGTGGTGTCGTCACATTCTCCTTCGGGGTCAAATGTGTGGATAGAGCCTAGAATAGAGGCTACATCAAGCCCGGAGCGACCTTGACCATAGTTCGACCGGACGGCGGTTCCAGTCCAGTACGATTGCAAGTAGCAGAGTGCTTGGGGTGCCTGAGATTCGCAATGAGGGCAGGTTTCGTCCAATGCACGCGCTATGTTTATACCTTCCACCAAAGCCCGGTGTTGGACGATAGTGGTGAAAAAGGATGGACTATTTACTTCCTCCCATAGATCTGTTGATTGATATCAGCATACATACATACATATACATAAACATATATATAGAGGAATTGAGATGAACGTACCAAAGGCCGTAGTGTTCCAGTGTTCGCTAACATATGAAAGGTCATTTTTGACAACCGGCCAAACAATCGATTTAGCTACATCATAGTAGTCATTTTCCTATGATGGGACGGTGAGAAATAGGCTATCAGTAATAGCAGGAAGTTTGATATCCTTACAAGAAGCCATCTTGCGTATGCAATCAAGGCAGTAGCTCTTAGCGCAGGTCCATCAGCCTGAGGTCGGCCCCAGTCCTCATTATACGGGGTTTCGTCCACTCGATATTTCGGTTCTCCGAGCCCTCCGCTTGACAAACCACCAGAGCGAGTGTTTAACAACTGGATGCGAGCTTGAGATGAGATGTATTCGTGGATTGTCTCCTGTAGAGCGGTATTTCCAGCTGCAAAGGCGTCGGTAATGCACTTAAGCACTAGAGCCGAGTCTCTCGTCCAGGTAAAGAAATCTATTCACATATAGTTATCGAATGTCAGCTGCTATACACCAACTCATGAGAAGCCAAAGGGCAAGGGCATACAGTTTGGATCCTTTTTGCTAGGACTAGCTATAACCAACCCCGGCCTCGTATCCCAGGCATTCGAGCCGTTCAACCCGATGTTATCGAGCAAGCTCTGCAGTGTACCATCGTCCACGGTGTCGAGAGCAGTATCCTCGGATGGCTTAAACCGAACCTGAAAGCCCACAGCAGCCGGTATAACCAGGGAAGACCATAGCAGACTGGTTACCCGCATCGCGAATGTGTTGTTGAAGATGGGATCGAGGTAGACGGCAGCTGTTTTGTCTCTCCCGCCTAACGAATACGTTTGTGCTCCCTCACTACTGCTCAGGCGGGACAGAGCGAGAAACGAAGGTATTCGAGTTCGTGCGAGGTCAAGCAAGAGCTGGCTCGTTTTATAATGCAAGCCGTGCGAGGCGGCAAAGAAGCTCCTGGCAGGCCTGATCCCAACCCGGGATCAGCTTGTCCTGGGTATTATTGTATTATTATCGACAACGACAGCAATGTCCATCACGAGAGCGGGAGCAGAGCGCATGCCACCGGGCCAGTCGCCACTATGGCTGCATCAGAGACATCCAAGGAAGAGACGAAAACAAGGTTGAATCCATGGGCTCAGTTCATGCAGTGCAACATTCACGCATAAACTGATCTGGGGATTCCGTCGAGCATTCACATGCTGGAGCCAGGGTTAGGGCTTGGGCCTGCAGTGCAAAGGGCGTGTTTATGCTGAGAATATATTCGGCTGATACATGGGTTATAGTATTAAGGGCATGCATAGTTATTTGGCTGTGACATATACTGTATGTATTTGATCGGAGTCCTAGTTTACGCTATAGAAATTCGGTTAACGGCGGCCTAAATATAGGTATGCTTGTTTATTTGGAGATGACCCGGTGGGCCAATGCTAAGTTTATCACTAATTAAAAGGACTGGAGAAACTGGAGACTGTGTCTCTATGCATGTATTTCTAGCATCAAACTCATGGGCAACGTGACAACTATACGACTATCAATTAAGCACAACAGGTCATCATAGGATGGTGCCGAACCTGGAAGCCGATCAGTATTATATTCCCCCATGATACCATGCAAAAGAAGTGACTTACCCAAAAGTCTGTTTGATGCTGCGGACGTAATATCCGTCCCAGTTATGCTTAACGACATCTTCCTGTCCAACAGGGACACCATCCCACCTCACGTTCAAAACAGTGACTCCGTCAACATCGTTCTGAACAAATTTAATCTCTTGGGTGCTGTAGTGACCAGCAGGCCACTGAGCCAGTCGCCATTTCTGGACGATAAGGCTGGGTTCCTCAAGTTTAACATATTCACCGTCCACGTTTCCGTCGAATATGCTAAACTGTCCACCAACTTTAGCACCGTCAAACCGACGAGGAGCTCCACGAGTGAAAGCAGCAAGGCGATCAGGGTTGGTAAAGGTGGTGTAAAGCTGCTCGGCGGTAGTACGGAACTCGTCGGAGGCGTTCACGGAGACCGTGTTGACGGCTGATTTTCCGGTAGTGGTAGTGGTGGTCGTGGTGGTCGTGGTGGCAGCGGCCTTTGGTGGCTGGGGAGTGGAAGATTTAAGAGTCGTGGGAGTAGCGAAGCCGCTGGACGGGTTAGAGCCAGGAGCGTGCTGAATGTCCTTTCCGTGCTCATTGATCAGAGCAGGACCAAGCTTGACAAGAGCAGCGCGCAGCTGGGGCACTATTTTTGCGCGAACAAGGTCCTTAACGGGCTGCTTCTTCGCGGTCTCGGAATATATGCTCGTATCAAACTGTTGGAGAAACGGTTGGCTTCCGTTACAAGAACCGGCTATTTTACAACAGGGGGAGGGAATTGCTCGTCCAAACAAAGGGATTCACATACTACGAACTCATCTTCCTCGGTGTCATGGGCGACCTCGGGGATTTTAATCGAACCAGTGACATCCTCATTTTCACTCGTGGTTCCTGAATCAAAGAAAAGATAAACGTTTAGCCAGAGCTCAACCTTGACAAACGGTCGAATTGAATGTATGCATTGCTATCTGAAAAAGCAAGACATGATGGGTAGGTAGGCAGGCATATCCACAAACCTTCATAGTCAAGCTGTAATTTGACATCGAAGAGGGTTATGACTTTTCCTTTCCGCTGGCTGACGTCCACGTCGCCATCCATGCTGACCAGTTTATTTATCTTAGCAGTCACTCCATTCTCCTCAGCGGAAATTCCGACCAAGTTTTCCTCTAGATAGGTTCTGGCCCAGCTAGAGACATCCTTATTCACCCAGTGCCAGTTATTCGGGTTGTGGAGGACCATTTTGAAAATCTTATTGAAACTGTAGAGAGTGTTAGTCCGAGAGAAGTGTACGTCTCCAGATGCTAGTTCTCTTTTTAAGAGTTCTTCTATCTGTAAAAGGCCATGCAATTGTTAGCCAAACGATCCAATGCTGACGATATCAAAGCGGTAATATAAAACGGGATTGAAAGGTCTTCAGATGGGCTTTTTTTTCTAGCCCGGTTAAGCATTCCGCAGCAAACAGAGTACAAATCTTTCTAGGACTGGTGCCAGCTCATGGGTATCATCATAAAACAAGCGATGAATTGGTGGTAGAGATATCACAGGAGGGGCTGGACAACTTACATCAAGCGAACAGCCAAAGAGCCGCAGTCACTGCGCGATGTTATAGCGGTCAGCCAGCTCGAGAAATCAAGAGAGGGAGAGAAAACAGGAGCGAGATTATCACTACGTTGGAGGAGCTAGAAAGCTGTTCTCTTCTTCTCCTTTTATTTTCTTCCAAGTGGATGTTGCTTTGTAGAAAGCTCTAGAAAGAGCAGAAACTAAAGTTGAGATTTTCTTCAGGTTTTATTTTCTGGGTAGGAGAACGATCACGTGATATAGCTTGACCTAGGCAGAGTGGAGGCTTTTTGATAGCAAGGAGTTGATTGATAGGGATGAACTGACGGACGATGATGCATCATAATAATAATAATAATATAGATGAGGAATGAGAGGAGATGGAAGATAGAATGTGACGAGAGGTTGGATACTATGTCTTTTTCAGGAAATTCGGACGGAAGGGGGACTACCAAGCTACCCCTTTCAAACGGGTTATGCAGGAACACCAACTAGGGATCAACCGAGCAAACGGAAAAAGGAGTATAGTGATATTATCCATTCTATATCGTGAAAAAAAAAAAAAAAAGGCCTGCAATAGGTCATAAACGCCATTTTCATACTCATTAGTGCCTCCTTCATACCAAGTAATTACTCGGAGACGGTAAAAAAGTCAAAATATACAAACGAACGTAGATGGGTATCAAGCAGTATATTAGAATAGGAACAGATATGTGAAGGAAGAAACGATATAAAAATAAAACATGGAAGCCCCATCTCCACACATACCATACCCCGGTATGGTGAGACAGGGGGAAGAAGGAAAAGAGGAGGCGAGAAGGGGTATAAAAGCTTGTGGAAAAGTATCAAGTTTGTTCCATCTGCTCCATTTCCTCCCATCCTCCCTCTCTGGCAAGGCGGTGACGGACACGTTCTTTGACATTTTCTAATTGCTGGCCCAGAGCTTCAGTCCATTGGCCTTCAACCATGCCGACTTTCTCCTTTAGGTCGAGGGTGAGGATCCTTTCTTCCTCAGAACGAGACTCTTGCATCTCACGGCGGACGTCTTCCTCTGGCTCGCCAGATATAATCCGTTGTACTTCCATGAACTTGCAGTTCGCATTCATCAAGCCGAATTTGATCTCATGAAGCAGGCAGAGGAGATTGGTCTGGGACTCAATGAACTGATATGTTGATTTACCGGCATGAGTGACCAGTGAGTATAAATATTGCAGCGGGAACTGGTAGTAGCTTGGGTTCTCGTCATATTCCTTCTGCGGAATGCGGACGGAGAATCCTTCAAGGCTCTGTGGTATGTCTTGCAGGATCGTCACGATGGAGGGAGCAATGTCCCAGAACGCCGACAGTTGAGTCTCAACTCCCCGACTCACGTTTGCTTCGATTACGTCCATGAAGCTCTCAAACCGTTTAAGAGTCCCAGCGACGAAGGCGAGTTTTCGATCCTGAGCGTCACGAACGAAGAAGTTATCGGTCTCGGTGAGCTTTTCTGGGTTTTTGGCCTGGCGGTAGGGGAGAGATACGACGGCCCTGAAAAGCTCGTTGCGCTCGCTAAGGATATCGTACTCTTCGCGGAACAGGTTCTCACGGCCGTCGAATAACCATTTAAGCTGTGTCAGTTTCTCTACTAGTTCAGGCTCTTCATCACCCTCTTCCTGGGTCTGATCTGGTGTTTGACGCTGTGCTGAGTCGAAGAGTTTGCCTCTCAGTTCATCAATGCAGGCTGTTGCGATTTTGATCCTATCTTTCAGGATACTCTGCATCGGCTCCAAAACTTCGACCTGATACATGTCGAACTCCACTTGAACGATCTCACGCTCTTTTTCGTTTGCTTGCGCCCGTCGACCGGCCTCTGCATCAGCCGCATCCGCATAAGATATGCTGCCACTTTCGATTCCCTGGTTCATCCGCGCTCTGAACCCACGGAGTTCTTCTTGGGCCTCCTTCTGGTGCTTTTCACGGAGAGACTTGATCTTCTTTTCAAAACTCGCTTTGGTTGCGTGCACCTCAGACAAGTCGCTAATAGTTCGAACAGTCGTTCGATAAAACGCCATGTCTGGGTGATTGTTATTCACACCTGGATAATGCCTTGGGTATGGGGGAGGCAAGGTAACCAATCTTGAAATATCCAACTTGCGTGCTTCACGGTTGATGGCTGATAATGTCCGTGATGGTCCTGGGGGCTGGGGAACATCAAGGTCATTCCAGCCTACCTTTTCTGGAGGATACTCATTCGGCCCATAATTGGCATAAGGGTTTTGGTCCCCAGAGTATTGCTGATCATAAGCAGCTTGTGTCGGTGTCAGATGGTCCATTTGCATCGCCTCGCGCATCTCTCGCGGCAGACCCATATATTTCGTCTCCCGTTTAGTGCGTGAGACTTTACCGCCAACATCCCCGTTATCACTGCCAGTTTGCGATTCCCACCAACGACTAGGTGCGCGACCCCGAGAGCTTTCTTCGTTGCTCATACTCATGCTTGCAATGGGTGATAAGGCAGGTTTGTAGCCATTCCCCAAACCAGATTCAATCACAGAAGTGCGCCTTTTGGGGGTGACCCTATCAGGAGTCTGTGGAGGTTCGGATGGACCAATAGAGCTATCCCTAGGCCTAGCTTCAACCTTTAGCGGATTACTCGAGAGTTCAAATAACTTATCAACAACGGTCTTAGGATCAAAATTCACGTCACTCCATTGCGAGCCATACTGTTGGCGACGGATGCCTGACTCGGCAATTATAAAATTGCAAAAGGCCTGCAATGCATCCGTAGCATTGGTCGCTTCTGATTCTTTCCTTAGATGTTCATGATACCGACATTCCGCATCTTGAATAAATTTACCATCTATAGGTGCGTATGGGGAGGGTTTGGGTGAGGCACGCCGGGAGGGAGCCTTGACCGGGACCAGGGGCTGTGCTTCTAGAGGGGACACGTCAACTGGAAGATGTAAAAGGTGCGAAAGTGGCCTGTCTGAACCGGCGCTACGCGGCTCTAGTCCAAGCAAAGCCGCATCCTGCTGTTGTGCTGGGGGTGGTGTTGGCAGAGCCTTGGGAGGTAAATGCAGCGATTCGGATGCCATGGTTGGCGATTTCTGCTCTCTCCCTGGAGAAAATGGAGGGGTCTGGCCTCTGTTTGCCAACGGCTCGTGCGGAAATGTCTGTAACCTGGGAGTGGCAGAATATGGAGAGGTGATGGCATTCATTTTATTACTGAAGGGTGAAGTAGCCGATCTGGCGCTGTGCAGGGGCTCCTCTCCTGGATTGCTACGAGCACTGCGTGGCGTGGCTCTGGTAAGAGTACGTCGACGTACAAGTCCGCCAGATACAGGCGAGCTAAGAACCAGGTCTGTCGGCCATGACATGTCATTGTTCTCATCTTTGGATTCCTGTCCATGAGCGCTGTTTTCAGTTCTGTTATTCCTGCTTTGAATACGGCGCTCACGGATCCCCTTTTGGCTTTGAGTCCTGATAGAAGACGGAGTAGGCTGGCTTGAAGCGTCATGATGGTTGTTTGCTGCAGCATTAGACGGGCTTGGTGATGCGGAAACCGACCGATTTTGGTCGTGGGGAGATGCTGATGCCCGTCGGGGAGTTATTGGGGCGTTAACCTGGTCAGCTACCCATCCAAGCGGAGTTGCTGGGATAGTAGGAAGACTAGGTTCTATTGACGATGAACCCGAGCCAGACCGTAGCCTTTCTTCTCTGTTCTGAGGTAAGTTGTTTCTCTCTACCGCCGACTGTGATGAAAAAGAAGTCCTTCTTGGAGCACTCGCTGGAGGCGGCCCTGGAGGCGGCGGTGGAAGTGGCATTCCAGGCTCCCATCTACCATTCCTAGAAGACAATTGACTATCCACCTGAGTACTGGCCCTATTTGAGGTTCTGCCGTGAGGTAAGTCACCGGTCGACACAGCTCTCCTTGATGCTGGGGGTACAGATTGTAAAACGGTCTGGGACGACCCGGAAGAAGTTGGTTCGGTACGACCAAGGCCAGAACCAGCTCCGTAATGACTTTGAAGGCGAGAAGAACCATCATTCACTGAAGCTTGCGGGTGAGTTGAATGAGAAGGTATGAAAGATGTCCTATGATCGGGACGTTGCGGCTGTTCAAGCTCATGACTACCTACTGATGGTGACGGACCGGGGCGCGGGACAGAATAATGATACCCTGGAGACTCTCTCTGGCGAGACTGCGAAGGAGCCGTACTTTGCTGAATCGGTGCAGAAATAGGACTAGGACTGCTAGCCACTGGGTAGCCGACCTGTGGAGATTGAGCGCGCTGCCCTCGAAACGTTGCTCGAGGGGGTGAGTACGGAGGCGGCGGAGGCGAAGCTGTGCATATGCCCTTTTTGTTAATGCTTGATACTTTCAATACACCTCTATATAAGGCTAAATATACCTGTCACTGAGGTCGAAGAGGGCGCTGCCTGATGTACCATTCCCGTTGACGCAACGGGTGACGTGCCACCAGAGATGGGCCCCCATTCCTGTGGATTATACCGCGAATTGAAAGACCTTGGTCGTGCACCCGCAGACATAGGCGATGTGGTAGCCGTCACACCGCTCAACATGCCGGATGATAGGTAGGGAGAAGTCATTGATACTGGGGTGAACGAGAGGCCACCGGCAGAAGGGAGGCCAGGCGGACCTGGAAATTGAAGCCCACTCAACGACGTAGTGAGAGCAGGAGGCTGAACAACATTCTCTCGTCGGCGTGGGGGGTGGATAGGCACAACAAGAGGTGCTGAGTGAGGTGCGGCCGGTAGGTGGTGATGGTGAGAAGACAATGCCTCCAAACTATCCGGCCTGTTATCCAGCGGACTAGTTACAAGCGCGAAGGTGAAGAGACCAGGTCAGCCGACGATGCTCTTAGCTAACGAGGAGCAAATAGCCCGGCGTCTAGAATACGCGGGATAATGAAAAGGCACAATCCCCCAGTTCGCAATGCCACAATCGAACAGAGGAGGGGTGGAGAGGAAAGGAGAGTAGATGGGGGAACAAGACATTGTATGTACTATTAAACGGAGGATTTGCCACACCTGTTCATCTTATACCAAAAGCTCGATACCAGACCAGGTCAGAGACGCGGTTGCAGCACCGTAGTGGGCCAACAAGCACCGGGGTATGTCGTGCGTTGCCCTCGCTGTACAGCAGCCGTTTCTGGTTTCAACAGCCTAAAAGAGACAAATCACACCAACAAAGGCGACGTGGATGCCACCAGCGCGCGGGCCGTCTGCCGGGAACGAATGCATTGGCTAACTTGAAGGCCGTCCGGGTCTGAGACTGCCAGGGAAGCGGGAGCTACTTTTTTTTTGCGCTTTTGGGGGCCAGGACGAAGTTCGGTGGTTGGAGAATGAATCGTTCAGGACGAGCGAATGAACTTGGCCAGACGGCTGCTGGCTGGGCTCTGCGAGTTATTTTTAAATAAATGCCTGATAGTGTTGGTACAATCCCCCGGCCCCTGTCGAGCGGTGCGGTGCTTTGTACACAGCAGGCTGCAGCTAGTGATATTAATAGAAACCTAATTAACGCTAGGAACGTTAATTAATCACGTTCAAAGGGATGCAGAGCTGGGAAAAAGCAAGTAAAAGAGGGAGTAAATTTACTCCATTTTTTCTCTTTGCTTTCCTCAAATATGAGAGAGTTTCCCCATAGTTTTTTGAGCCACCGACCGTTCAGTTTTCTTGGTGGAAAATGATTGACGCCCTGGATACCCGACGGGCGGGATCCCTCCAACACCCTTAATCACATCCTTCCCCTATGTGTACTCGGTTCATTCATGTATACATGAAAGTACTCCGTACCATGTCAGGTTCATTCTCGATACAGCATGTGTAATGCTGCTAGCAAACTTAGCACGTATTGGCGTGAGTGTGCTTGCATGAGAACCTTGCCTCTTCTGCAAGGCGGGCGGTTAACCCTCTTGAAAAAAGCCAACGTGATGTTCTCACTGGCTGCAGCCTTTCTTCTTGGCTGGGATGAACCCGGACACCCAAGAGACTTAACTCCAATAAGATGGGCAGCTAAGAGTTTGGCGTATTACTGATACATAGACCTGGTATGTCTATCTGTGAAGGCCAGAGTAGGACACCCGTGGGACGTGGTGAAGTAGACCATTGAAACTCGTGAGTCATCCTACTGCTTGATCTGTTTGAGATCAGCTTATCGTAATATGTTCAGAGATAGAAGGGGATATCAAACCTGGAGGTTGTTGAAGTGTTGGAGGTTTGAAGTTGAAGTTGAAGATGGAGAGAAAATGTTTTGTATCAACGAAGGTTCGACTTCCCGTTTCGATCGTCATGTGACAGTCCATGTGTGCATCACATCTACGGTGAAATTCAATCAAGGAGAAAGAATAGAATCTGGAATTGGAAGAATAATTGGTTCATATTCATATATTGCTATGGCTCGCACGCTGCGATGCAGTATATCTAATATATACCTACCTAATCGGCGTAGACTTACATGAAACTATCGATTCGTATGTTGGGCTATTATTCATATTCCAACGATCATATTGAGATGGAGAGTGAAATGTGTAAGCCCAAGGACAAATGTTGGCCCCCAGTGAGGATGGTGTTGCACCATACAACTACTGAGTGTAGGACATGAGGGACAATATGATAACCCTACGCTGCATTAAAATTAGCCCAAATTCCTTGGATATAAAAGCAATGCGTAACGAAGGATAAGAATAATGTGTAGTATCAGATCAATGCCCTGTCACGGGCTGTGGTCATCAATGTATAGACTATGTTGACCGTCGTGATAAAAGAATAAATCATCATGGAAGAGGTAGGGTTGAGAACGAGACGAAATAAAAAAAAAAATATTTGGGTCGGTAAATCATACCATTATGCAATTTATCAGCCTGAAACTGTCAGGTACTGAGGCAACTACATGTCTGTGACACACGTTAGCCGCCATCACTATGTATTTTCGACTCGTGTTGCTTCGATAACGAATAGTCAGGAAGGTTGACATTCTCGTCTTCGCTAGCGAGGCTAGCTTGGACATATGCTTGTCTTTGTGTCGTAATTGTCTCATCATTTAAAGGAGGTGCTTGATTTGACAGAGAGGGACCGACGTACAATATATAAATTGTCGCGACCTGCCATAAGCCCAAGTTAGTGTTATGAACTAGGATATGCATTGTGTGTGTGATAAACGATGCTGAAGAGCACAAGTTCAGTTTGGCATGAATGGTTATTTAAATGTTTGTGTCTGCATCGAGAATTCGAATAAGACTCGTCATCAAGATGTCATCACATTGTGGGAATTAAATGTCCGGGGAGAATAGAGTAGATTGTATACTAACCATTTTTAGAAAGGGCTACATCACCTGGCTACATAGTAGCGTGCTCCTGCTATTAATTCCGTCAGCCAGGAGAAAACCAAGCTATGGAAGATAACGTTGGTTGTGTTTAAGCCACAGATCAGTGGGCGAGGTTTTCTAGGCCTGCCACAATGGGGCATGTCTGTCATGACCGGCTTTGCCGTCAGAGCCCAGTGCCATTCATCCTTCTGTGTCCGTCCATGAAGAAAAGGCGTAACGAAGACGGTGATGTCTTACATGAGTGCTAAACCTGAAGAGGCGTGAGATTGTAAGAAAATCTATCAGTTCTTTTCGCAGCAGTTAGCTTAGCATTCACCACGGAGTTTCAAGAGCCAAAGAGACAAAGATCCGAATCAGAAACAGCCATTTATAGTAACGTCAACAACCCGAAGGTCTCAGTCGGTATTTCCAGCGTATATTATAATAAAAATAATCATCATGTAAGGCAGTGAAGGAGAGACGAGGTGGCAGGCTTACCAATTCATTTCTCAGCTTGCTACATGGTAGCATGTTATGGTGACTGTGTCTGACGATTAAAAGCATTAGTATTTCCGAAGAAAAGACTCAAACGCGAGGTCTTCGGCTCGACAGAAAGTAAGTAGTCAAATACAATTCAGACTGACGTGTGCAATTATGGAGTTTCATCTCTTCTGAAGAAGATCAAAGACTCTAGTTTAAGCGGTTGTACAAATCATCACCCAGGACAGGACACAGCACAAAAGAAATCAAACCGAAGCCAATTACCCAAGAAGAACTTACCAGGAGAAGCAGCCATGATACGGGTCCAGAGCTATAACAGTTAGTGAACGAGGCATCTTGATCAGCAGTCCATAATCAGCCCTGCTGTTGTTGTTGATTTTGATATTCTTCATTCGCACAGTGAAAAGGAAGGAAGAAAATTCTTAGCAAATAAAAAGTTGAAGCTTTTTCTAGTTAGCAGCGCCAAGGCCCTTTACTGTAAGAAGATAAATACTCCGACACCACCGCAAAGTTACACCGATCGGATAAACATCCGCTTAGTAATATTCGTGATCGACGCTGCAGTGACTTTTCTTCGTTGCTTTTCGCTTGCAGTTCTTCAGGTACGGACGCTCATCCTATGATTATTGCTGATGTCGATGCAGTGGTTACTTTAATATTTTGGGTTGTAATTTTCCATCATGCAATTAGACCGCAAATTCACCTTGGCGGCTGGCCCCCTGAGCCAGCAATTAGGTTCCGGCCATGCGAATTCAAAGGGGAGCAGGGTCACGTTGACACGCAGAAAACCCGCGCGAAAATAAGCCGGGAGGGGCAGCCAGGCAGTTCAAGGGGCAGCGCGGAGGTCGCAGTGACTTCCTTTGCCCGCAAAATTTGTGTGGGCGGAGAAGTATCGGCGACCTCGCCCGCGGCGGCTGTTCACGGGCAACTCCCGCGGGTCCAGTGACCGCTGGCTAGTTCGTGACGTTGTTGGTAGAAGAAGACGGGGAGTTGGAGACAGGACGCAGATATAATTCTTCTTTTCCTTTCTTCTTCTCCTCCGTCTTCTTCTCTCCCCCCTGTTGAACCAAGCCAAGTTGCATTCTGTTGTCTTGTTCTGCTGAATTGCTCTTCCTCTCTCTCCTCGTCTTCTTCCTACACACAGATATCCAGAATGGCTGATGCTACCAACGGCAACGGCGCTGGTGCCGTTGGCAACGAGAACATCAACACTGATATCATCACCCTCACCCGGTTCCTGACTGAAGAGCAGTCCAAACACCCAGAGGCTACCGGTGACTTCACGTATGACTTGCTATCTGCCCCAATTGCAGCGTGATGCCGTTGTATAGATTGTTGTGTACTAATGGCTTTGGTAGTCTTCTTTGCCATGCCCTCCAATTCTCCTTCAAGTCCATCGCATACTACATCCGTCGTGCCACTCTGATCAATCTCACCGGCCTGGCTGGCTCCTCCAACACCACCGGAGATGACCAAAAGAAGCTTGACGTGATTGGCAATGATGTCTTCGTTGCCGCCATGCGGGGATCAGGCAAGTGCCGTCTCCTTGTCTCCGAGGAGGAAGACCAGGCTATTATTTTCGATGAGAGCCCCAATGCCCGATATGCTGTCGTCTGCGACCCCATTGACGGCTCCTCAAACCTTGATGCCGGTGTCTCTGTCGGCACAATCTTCGGTATCTTCCAGCTCCCTGACGAGATCCTCGGAGCCGGCAAGACAGTCACGGCCAAGGACATCCTCCTGCCTGGAACCCAGCAGGTTGCCTCTGGTTTCACCATGTACGGCGCCTCTGCACAGCTTGTTATGACTGTGAAGACAGGAACAGTCAACGGCTTCACTCTTGACAACGCTCTTGGTGAATTCATCCTTACCCACCCCAACATGCGCATCCCACCCAGCCGCTCTATCTATTCCGTCAACGAAGGAAACTCAATGTACTGGCCTGAGTGGGTCAAGAAGTACTTTGAGGAACTCAAATACCCCGAGACCGGCAAGAAGCCCTACAGCTCCCGATACATTGGTAGCATGGTTGCTGATGCTTACCGAACCCTGCTGTACGGTGGTATCTTTGCTTATCCGGCTGATTCTAAGAGTCCAAAAGGCAAGCTCCGTATCCTTTACGAGTGTGCTCCCATGGCTCTCATCTTTGAAAATGCTGGTGGTCTAGCTATCAACTCCAAGATGGAGAGATTGCTGGAAATAGTGCCAGAGCATATCCACGACAGAAGCGGAATCTTCCTCGGCAGCAAGAACGAGGTAGAGAAGGTCATGGGAATTAACAAGCGATTCGAAGCTGCTGGCTCTAGCTAGATGAGCATGTAAATAAGTGAGCTATAACCAAAAAGAATTACATTACAGCGAGGAGTTTTCAATTATTATCATCCGTTTATTACCAAGCTCGTTAAGAAGAAATAAAATGTCATTTGAATATATACATCTGATTATTGTAATTCATGCTGCTCTAATAGTAATATCGTCCGGCGCAGTGCCATGCTATGCTGAAAATAACTCGTTGCCTCGCCAAACAAGCCTTTTTAACTCCGTGATATCCCCGACAGTCAAACCTCCAACACCCTGTATATGCATAACTTGACCCAAACGAAGAGATGAGAAATAGTCCGAAAATGACATTAAATAACCTGATCTGCCGAAGTAGGAGGTCGAACAGCATCTGAACAAGGAGAAACAACATTCACGCTCCCCCTAGCCACCGATTCTTGAATAACTGGCAGCTTCTTAGGCGGTAGCAAAGTGGTATGGATCGGTCTAACGGACCTTGGGACGTGAGATGAGCAATGGCGAGGAACAGACTCCGATCGCAGAGCTTGTGTCCTCTGAGGACGGGTGTGTAGGCGTGAAAGAAGGTATTTATACTGTAGTTGGGCGCTAGCGGACTGGAATGGCTCTGGCGGAGTGTACGTTGGCTTGTTGGTAGGGTTTGCAGTGGCGCTTGGCTTGGTGATCGTTGATTGAATTACGGGTGGTGAATTGCTGGTGTTGACATTGGTGTTGATTCGTAGTGCTGGGTGAAGGAGCTCCTTGTCTAAGGATAGTGCTGGTGACGTAGTTCTTGTAGTTGGAACTGGGGATGCTTCTGGGAAATGTTAGTACATACATACATCAACTCTCTATTAGTGTTATGTGTATTAACGTACCAATGTCCCGTGGAGTAGATGCTTTCTTCTCCTTATACCGTACAATAAGAATGCGGTATAGAACGACCAGCAGACCCAGGAGAATTAGAAAGCTCAATACCTCAGCTACTATTATGAGTAGCACAGTCGTTTGTGAAGAGAGCATGATGATAAAATAGTAATAATCGTAGCAGTCAATAATACAGAAGTACTAATGTTATTGGAGAGTATTGAAGTAGGATGATACTTAGAGCTGATGTCAATTGCCTACCCTACCAACGAGGAATTGGTACCTCTTTTATCTATACACTCATCTGCAAGTTCATGGCGATGAGCCCCCTCGAGCTACTATCAATAACACATCGACCCATGGCAGCTCTTCAAGCTAGCCAGTATACGCCTCTATGCATAGCGTCCGCCAGGGTCCGGAGTAACCCCTCCTCTGCCGAACTAATGTACGTGTGTAAACAAAATGAGGGGAACTCAGTAAGATAAATCCACCTTGATGCATTATTCACACTGCATCAACCAGGGTATCTTGGGGCCGTAGCCAGTGACATCGTATCCTGCGTCTACAACCTGCGTCGTGTTGTCCTATTTTTACCTTTCGGCCCATGCCGCTGCGGGTGGCAGTGCGACCAGTAACTAAAGAGAAAAACCACCAGGGGTTGCCGCGAGCTGTTCTATTTTCGCCGTGACGGCCCCCTTGACCCCGGGTCGACTTTGCAGAAGCGATGCTGAGTAACGCGCTAAGGATGACCTGAATATACAGCTATTACTGAAGATAAAAGACATCAGATAAAAGACATCTCAAGAGTCCGGAGCAAGTATTTAGTTGATGTGTTATTATTTTGAGGTTGCAGAGTTTCTGCTTAGTCAGGTGCAAATGGCAAACTAGCGCCAAGACCTCGGGACGACGTCGTCTATCAAGATGGCTTCCTCATCGTCGAATTCCTACGCTTCAGCGTCCCACAGACGACGTTATGCCCCTTGTGTCCTGGAGAAGAGTTTGTCCGACTGACGAGAACCATGGCCGCGACGGGTCCGGCGCCTTCTACTGTCGCGGACAGCACTAGTGCTAGCATAGCACCCAGCGCGGGTGTGGCAAAGCCATGCCACAATTGCAGACGCCGAAGACTCAGGTGTGACCGTTCTTTGCCCTCCTGTCAAAAATGCATTAAGAAGGGCGAGAAGTGTCTAGGCTATGGTAAACTGCTCGTCTGGAACAGAGGCGTGGCAAGCCGTGGAAAGATGATGGGAAAGTCCTTCCATGTCCCCGATCAAGCGGCGGCTTCCACTGCGGCGTCCGGGAACCAGGAACTTTGCCTACCCCGGAAGTACCGTTTTGTCCCTAGCAATATGCCTGATGGTGAGGCTGAGGCTGAAGCAGAAGCGGAGGCCTCTGACGATGAAGGGGAAGCCTCCGTATCAATTAATCCGTGCCTGGTGGACCCGCTGTTCCAAGATCTCGACCGTGCATCTCGGTTCTACATCTCGCACTGTAATCAATAGCCTTGCTTTATTTGTTATGTGTGCATAAAAATTGAATTTCCAACAGAAATAGCTAACTACGAGTTTTAGTTACGGACCAGATGTGCCGTGATCTTGTAACATATGACGTTCCTAGGCACAACCCTTATCGTGGCATTGTTCCACTGATAAGGGACCATGCACTCCTGCTGCATGTCATCGTTGCCAATTCTGCAATTCATATATCAAATGTGATGACAAAGGGCCCCGGTCTATTGAATGGAGTTCCTGGCCAATATCCTCATCATGATGCACTGATGGCAAAGCAGAAGACTCTCCAGCTTCTTAACCAGGCCATGAACGACATAGATGCTGTTGATCTGGAAGTTGTGCTTACGGCTATCCTGCTCTCTATTAATTATGAGCTTGTGAGCTCTGGAAAGGATGATTGGAAGGTACATGTCGAAGGTGCCCAGAAACTTATCGACTACTTCGGCCTATCAAAACGCTCTGACCTATCGTCTGCTATGAGTGCGTTGCGCGACCATGTCGTTTCTGACTGCCTCATGTAAGTCAATGGTTATCTCCCTTTCCCAAAAGTGCTTACCTTTACCCTATTACGGAACATCAAAAAAGAAATCGAAAGCTTAATGTTTTGACAACTAGCTACTACATCCTTGGTTCGACCTTTTCCGCTCGACAACCAAATATGGGCTCAACAACAAGCCGCTACCCCTTTCTGGATGTGCTGCCATTGCTCGAGCGTGCAGAGGCCAACAGCTACATGTCATGTCCTGCATTTCTTTTACAAATAATGCTCTCGGCATCCCATCTATCTAATCTTGACGTGATTACCGGTTTTGAAGAAGAGCAAGCCCGCTACTTGATGGAGCGAGCTAGAACATTCAATATTGATGCTTGGGCGGCTTCCGTACAAGGCATCTCCTCCCACAATGATTTTGAAAGCCGTGTCCATGTAGCCTCGGCTCATAAGTCCGCAGTCTGTCTCTACATCCATCAAGCCGTCCCATCCGCAAACTTGATGGATGACGACAGCAGAAAGCGCATTGTCGAAGATATTATTGGCCACCTCTCTTTCATCCTTCCCGGAAACTTGCTATTGAAAGGCACTTCTTGGCCCACTTTCATAGCCGGTGCCGAAAGTCGAGACCCAGCACAGCGGGCCTGGATAGTGGCTCGTCTCAATGACCTATGGGAAATGCTGCCTTGGGGCTATGTCCATACCGCTATCGAGATGCTGAAGGCAATATGGGCTATGGAGGACACGGCTGTCGAAACAACCTGCGGATGGCTTAAGAAGCTGAAGGGCCTTGGAAATGACTGGATTGTCGTTTGATATCTCCTCTTTGCCTTGTCTCTTCCCGCCGTCGATGTTGTTGCTCTTATATTCGCACAGCTTGAGACAAGTGGTCAAGCCAAGCTTTATATCCAATGTACCTCTTGGCATTATTTCCTAATCAGGAAGCTTGGCGGCACTTTATGCATTGGTTGGAGGTTACCTTATTTTCAGGACTCAAGCTCGAGACGATTTTGCTCGTCATATTTAAGCAAAGCAAATAAGCCAGTTACCTGAGTACTAGCTGCAGATGGAGGGTTGTATCAGTACCCTTTTTTTGTTCGCTATCAGCTCGCAGCAGCCATGGGAGAGGCCCAGTCGATGAATCACGGGCAGCGTCAAGCTCAATGCACCTTATCACAGCCGGCTCATAGTCTTCCATATGAAGTTGTCATCAAGGAGATAGGCTCCGACGCGGAGAATGGTTTGAACAGCTCGGAAGCCCAGAGACGATCAGAACAGTATGGGAGAAATGACCTTGGGAACACGGAATCTGTCCAGCCTGCCAAAATGTTACTCCGGCAGATTGCAAATGCTATGACATTGGTAGGGCCTAACTCTACCCTTGGGAGTATACATAGAATGACTCTGACTAACACGATAAATAGATTTTGACCATGGCTATGGCCGTGAGCTTTGGTATTAATGCGTGGATTGAAGGAGGTGTGCTAGCAGCAGTCATCATCATCAATATCAGCATTGGTTTTGTCCAGGAATACCAGGCAGAGAAGACCATGGGCTCACTTCGATCATTGAGTTCCCCAACAGCATGTGTGGTACGGGATGGGCGTCAAATCATTATTGCGACTGCAGAAATTGTACCCGGTGACATAGTAGAGATGAAGACTGGTGACACTGTCCCAGCAGATGTAAGGTAATTACTGTGCTATCTGTGGTGTAGAAATATGCTATACTAACTTTGTGAAGGCTCATAGAATCGGTCAACCTGGAGACAGATGAGGCTCTGCTCACTGGCGAATCCCTGCCGGTACGGAAAGATGCCGACGCAACTTTCAGCGATGATACTGGACCCGGTGATCGTCTTAATGTCTGTTTTAGCTCATCTATTGTCACCAAAGGTCGCGCAAGAGCCATCGTCTTTTCAATAGGTATACATACGGAAATCGGATCCATTGCAGCTGCACTTCGGGCAAAGGGTACGCGGCATAGGCATGTAAAGCGTAACCCAGACGGATCTGCTAGTTTTTATCGCTATATTCAAGCTGGCTCTTTAACCGTTTATGATGCTATTGGTGAGATTCTGGGACTAAATGTCGGTACGCCGTTGCAGAGAAAACTTTCCAAGCTTGCGCTCATGTTACTCGGAACTGCAGTCATCTGTGCTATTATCGTTCTTGCTGCAAATAAATTCAGCAACCACCAGGAAGTTATTGTTTATGCAGTAGCCACTGGTCTAAGTATGATACCGTCTTCCTTGGTGGTAGTCTTGACCATTACCATGACTGTTGGAACGAAACGGATGGTAAAGAGACATGTCATTGTGCGAAATTTGAACTCTTTAGAAGCTCTTGGATCAGTTACCGGTAAGTAAGCCTTTGCCTCTTAGGTACACCGATAGAAGCTAACATTTGGAAGACATATGTTCCGACAAAACTGGTACTCTTACTCAGGGGAAAATGGTGGCGCACAAAGCATGGGTACCTGCACGAGGTACCTACGCAGTCGGTCAATCAAGCCAGCCGTTCAACCCTAGGGCTGGTAAGCTGTACCTTGAACACAATCAGCCACACAAAATAGATCATACAAGGAGCAAAGATACTTCTGAGTGTGAATATACCAAAATAGAGAACGATCGTCCACTTGATGAGTTCCTCAAAGTTGCATCCCTGGCCAATCTTGCAGTTGTTCGTGAAGCTGCCACTGGAGACTGGGAAACACATGGGGACCCTACGGAAATCGCCATTCAGGTCTTTGCTACTCGCTTCAACTGGAACCGTGCTCAACTAATTTCTGGAGACAAACCGGCATGGACTCAACTTGCTGAGTTTCCATTTGACTCGGATGTCAAGAAAATGTCCACTGTTTTTAAATCATCGACTGGTGATGTGTTTGTATTTACTAAAGGAGCTGTTGAACGAGTGTTGTCATCATGTTCAGCAATTGAATGCGTTGACGGTTCGGAGTTGGAAGCAATAAGCCCCGAGATCAAGGATGACATTTTGGCTAACATGGAAGCCTTTGCTGCACAAGGCCTTCGTGTTCTTGCTCTTGCTAGCAAACCACTCTCAGCCATGAGCTGCAACAACCTAGACCTAGATCGCAAAGAGGTCGAGCATGACTTGGTTTTCCGTGGTTTGATTGGACTCTACGATCCTCCCCGCCCAGAATCCGCGCCTTCAGTGCGTCGCTGCCATGAAGCCGGTATTTCTGTCCACATGTTAACAGGCGATCATCCCAGCACAGCGAGGGCAATTGCCACAGAAGTAGGAATTCTTCCATCTCATACTGATATGCTGAGTAAAGGCACCCTTGATTCCATGGTTATGACTGCTCAGCAGTTTGATAAGCTATCAGATACCGAGATTGATACCCTCCCTGAGCTCCCCCTGGTAGTGGCACGATGTGCACCCAATACCAAGGTTAGAATGATTAATGCACTACATAGACGAAACAAATTTGCAGCCATGGTAACACAACCCCCAATCTGCTTACCTATATATCACAAATAAGCTAACTGTACCAGACGGGTGACGGAGTTAATGATTCGCCTTCTCTTAAGAACGCTGATGTTGGTATAGCGATGGGTTTAGCCGGATCTGACGTTGCGAAAGATGCGTCAGATATTATCTTGACTGATGATAACTTTGCTTCAATTCTCAATGCCATCGAGGAAGGCCGGCGTATATTTGATAATATACAGAAGTTCATATTACACGTTCTTTCCCAGAATTTCGCACAGGCCATAGTTCTACTTCTTGGCCTTGTGTTCAAGGATGCGGATAATTTATCTGTTTTCCCATTGAGCCCTGTTGAGATTATTTGGCTTGTTATGATTACTTCGGGACTTCCAGACATGGGGCTCGGTTTTGAGCAGGCGACGATGGATATTATGCAGAGGCCTCCACATAGGGTAAGTCTAGAAACTCATCATATCTCTCTTTATTCTAGTATGCGGCGGTTTCAAGTCTAGTTATTAACTCTGCAACTAGCGTGGCATTTTTACTTGGGAGGTGATGTTAGACATGGTTGTCTACGGCACCTGGGTTGCTGCGTTGTGTTTAGGAGCCTTTACACTAGTAATCTACGGCTTTGGAGATGGTTACCTTGGAACAAACTGTAACAAGGTCTACGATGGGTGTGAACTAGTCTTCCGAGCACGAGCGACTACCTTCGCATGCTTGACATGGTTCGTCCTCTTCCTAGCCTGGGAGATGGTTGATATGCGCCGCTCATTCTTCAACATGAGGCCCTCATCTTCATCATCTGGTATCACTCCACAGTGGTGCCGCGACATTTGGCAGAATCAGTTCTTGTTCTGGGCAAATATCTCCGGATTTGTCATCGTTGTTCCACTCTTATACATTCCCGTTATAAATAGGAAGGTTTTCCGTCATACAGGCATAACGTGGGAATGGGGAATTGTCCTGGTAGGTACGGTCTTGTTTTTCGCTGGGGCAGAAACCTGGAAACTGGCGAAGAGGGTATATTTCAGGCGGAAGGCGCGTTTGGTTCTTGGGGTTGGTAAACAAACACCTGACATTGAGAGCAGTATGTCAGTATACCAAGAGAAGTAGAGTGGGCGGTATATTATAGATTGCACATACACATAGAATTCTTGTTAATGATAAAAATGCATAAAAGCGATTCATTATATATACTCATGCTTCTATGGGTATACGTAGTATAAGGAGGTCATGTCTACTTCTACTTCCCGCTTCTTATGTCTATCTAACAGTACACTGGCTGTTGTAGTAAGTATATTCAAGTGCGTTAAGAAGGCCAACAAAATGTATACACATCCCCAGCGCTACCATAGAATGGAAGATAGTGTGGGAATGCCCCCAGATGTCGAATTTCCCAGGAAACCATCGTTCGGGAATTTGTCTCTGTTTGATATCTCGTCAGTTCAAGAACACACATGAACCACGGATGCTTTGACAAGAAAGCTGAGGCCAATCTCAGCCTATAGGAATGGGAAAGGTTGGAGAGCATGGAAATTTCTCACCTCATATATGAATGCCGAGAAAGCGATTATGGCACCTTCGGTGAGATAATAAGGCAGGCCAACATTCATGCTTCGCTTTAGTCCGTGGAGGAATAGAGCGTGAGTAATAGGCGCAAATGCAGAGAGGCCAGTGCAAACAAACACGGCAACACGAAATCCTCTCCACTTTCGGTCTTGGAATTTTGACGACAGCAATATGGTTGCTGTCAACGAGCCAAGGACAACAATCTGTAATTCTCGGTTGTTAGCTGATGTATCCAGCTGGGTATATATTATTTCTACTTTGGTAGACACACCATAGTCCAGTATAATCGCTGAAGGTGAGGCTCGCAGTAGAATCCAAAATAGATTCCACTGATAAAGCAGCCTTGTATGAGAGTGATGATTCCCATGTAGTCACATAATAGCCATCGTTTAGCTATTGGCGCGGAATGGTTCAAGAAGGTATGGTATAGTGAAGAAGCTCCCAGACATAAGACGACGGTTGAAAGGAAAAGGGAGAGAATGAGTCCGTCGCCTTTAGCCAGAGTGTTATATCTGGACGGAAGATAGATGTTGACGAGATACCAGTGCAGAGCAATGTAGGCCACTGCTGGCAACAGGTGAGAGTAGATGTTGCAGGATTCGTTGTGGAGATAAGTCCAGCTGTGCAAGCAGCGAATGGCTGATCGAGACTCATGGCGATAGCCCGTTAGAATGAACTGGTTCCCTTCGAACCAGCTTGGAGTTTCGTCAAATTTCAGAAGACGTCCAAGCGGCGGTTGGATCGGTGGTGAATCGAGCCGTGGGGGTGTTAAGGCCGAGTCGGCCAATTTTTGTTGCGGCATGAGGAAGAACACTCGGGCAGCCGTAAATGATGGTATATACAGTTACTCGAGCGAGAGAAACATGAACTTCGATGGTATGTTATACACGACAGCCGAAGATATCAAGTCTTCTGCCTTTTCCACGTTCAAGCGGGGAGCGGGATTTGAGCTTCAAAAGGGGGTAACTAACTAGTTAGTTAGTTAGGTAACCACCGCGCTAATCCAGGCGCTTTCACAATCGCATTCACACTTGGCCTGCAAGTTCCCCTAGCAGCTGCTGGATGTTACACATGGAGATTCAAAGGAATGGAAAACGGTGCTGATGCCAGGAGGTTTATAGCTGGCCCAGCCACTGCGCCGACTTTCATCCATTTCAACCTATTCCATACATCCTCTTTCATTTTTTTTTACCACGTGGAGCTTGACCCTGAATTGAGTCCAGGTACGGCGGAACAAAGGTTAGACGACAGCCTCTCACGAGCAACAGATTTCAAGGAGCCCAGGTTCTTGTGGAGACTGCAGTGTCCATCCATCAACCTTGGTACCGAATAGCCCTTTGTGGATAAGCAACCATTAGCTTCTCGTTGTCGTCTGCGGGGACCAAGGCTGGCTACTGCACACCACACGGGCTGAAAATACATCCTTATCGTCTAACAGACACTGTGCTTTGGAGGAAAAGTGCTGTCGAACTTGTAAGTCTTTTCTTCGGAGATTTGAAGGCTGAAAAACGCATGAACAGCTGATGACATAATACAGATTTATATTGATTTTTAGACTAAATACTTTAGTTATTGCTTGATTATTGGCTAAAGTCACCGCATTCTCCACTTCAAGCTCTATAATGCGCAAATATCCCCTGACTAAGCAGACGACCCCCTTCTTCCGCTGCTCCGTCCGCTTCTGATGCCGACGGTTGTATCAGCCGGAGTGTCGCCACATTTCGTCTCCCGGCCTTGATCGCTAACAGGAGGAAGAGTTTTCTCGAGATGTCGACCCAAACGAGCAGATCAGCAGACTCCCCCGCCCCGCAAAAACCCATATCACCTTCTGGGGTAGCAGCTGTGAAAGGGACCGCTGGAGAGATTATTACTCCGCTGTGATATCAGCCTATTCAAAGGGCTTAACAACAAAAACAAACCAACACCTGGCAATGGGGGGAGCACCTGGAGCTGAAGAACTGGATAGGGGCCCTTATGAGAGCAATGTCTTTCGGCGTAAGTTAGAGAAGTAAAATTGACGCGCAGGAACTAGTAGCTGACTTTCCACAGCGGAATCAAAACTTGCGTCATATATACCAGGGGGATACTCTCCTTCGCGATGCATGAAACTCAGTGGCATGCCAATGGTGTATGCCATTTATGCATACGCCGGTTGTGCAATTATGTTTTTTGGCTATGACACGGCTGTTATGTCCCAGGTCAATATAAACCCTGACTATTTGCGAACAATGGGTGTTGCTGGCGGTACAGATCGCGATGCTGCAGCGATTGGAGGACTTGTTAGCTTGTGGTTTGGTGGCTTTGCCATTGGTATGTCCATTATACCCTACCATTAATGAATAATACTGCTCGTATTTAGTTACAAGTTGAAACTAATTTTAAAGTAACTGAGCAGGAGCAATGATGGTTGGATACACAGCAGACAGAGTAGGTCGGCTCAAAACAATCCAGATTGGATGCATCTGGGGAATCCTCGGAGCTGTGCTCCTTGCCACGGCCCAAAACATTTCTTGGTTTGCCTGTGCTCGGGTTATCAGCGGTATTGGGTGCGGTTACTTAAACACCATAGTTCCAGTATGGACTTCAGAGCTTGCTCCGGCTAACATGAGAGGTGCATTTGTTGCTGTTCAATTTACACTTGCTATGGTTGGATCTGCCTTGTATGAAAGCTCATCTCTCCGCCCTTTCGCCAAGTATCTACTAACAGAAGCTTCAGAGTGTATTGGTTAGAATACGCATGCGTTAAGACCCGGTCGCTTTCTTTTGCCTGGAGGTTTCCAAACGCTTTTCAAATCATTTTCCTTCTCGTTCTTCTCGCCTTCGGACCATTCTATCCAGAATCTCCCCGCTACTTGGCTAAAACAGGGAAAATCGATCATGCAAAATCCATCCTACAAAAATGTCGCACTGACCCTAATGAAGAGAATATTGATAACGAAATGGAAGAAATTCTTGATGCCATTCGACTCGAGGCATCAGACTCCAACCCCAGCTTCTATAATATGCTTTTCACTTCGGACAATCTCCATACTCGCCGTCGGGTGTTCCTAGGCGCTGGGGTACAAATAATGCAGAAGTTCACTGGAATTGACTTCATTGCTGTCTATGCTCCTAATATTTTTGCTTTCTCAGGGTTTAAGGGGGATACCCCTGCTTTACTTGCTGGAGGGAACTGGTTTGGATATATCCTTGCACTTGCACTGTCTATCTACCTGTGCGATCATGTTGGCCGTCGGAAGATGATGCTGTCTGGTTGTACTCTCATGGGAATCGTACTCATAATTGGAGGGATCTTATCCCAACAAACACTGAAATATGCCGAACTCGACCCAGGGAAGGCAAACAAGTTCGGAGCTGGTGTTGCCGCCATTCTATATGTGTACACCTTCATCTACGGTTCAACTTGGTTAACTACATGGTGAGTTTATCTTTCGCATACTTGTGAAATACAGCTAATGACTCTATACTAGCTGGGTTTATCCAACGGAGGTATTTCCACTAGCAACAAGAAGCAAAGGCACCGCACTTGCTACGTTCGCCTTTTCAGTGGCTGGAGGTACCATCAATATGATTATTCCATATTTGATAAGTGCAATCGGCTTCTGGGTTTTTATCCTATTTGCTCTTATTAACCTTGTGATGTTGGTACCAATTTACCTTTTCTATATTGGTAAGCCTTTTATACTACTACTCCACCTGTTGGGATAATGATACTAATTTTATTTACAGAGACAGCAAATAGGCACTTGGAGGATCTAGATCTATTGTTTGCAAGCAAAAGCAGCTTCGTTTGGCGCGCAGAACAGGAATTCGCCGACGCCAAAGGTTCTCAAGGGGGTAGCCACGGTGCAACCAATTAATTTCTCTAATATCTATACAATCTTTGAACTCAACTTTTTAACTAGCATCATAGATAGATATAGAATATCCATCATGCTAGAATAAGACAGCCTTTCATCAAGAGACTCCCATCTTCCACTGTTGTCGAAGTTTGTTGGCCCAGTACTTGTTATGGATGCATAAATAAAACCAAAAAGAATGGCTTGAGATCATGCATGGGTGCTTCTCGCCGAAAATGAAGCTCTATCCAGGAACGCAGTTTTCGCTGTTCCCAAGGCAAGGGCTTCTAAGAAGCGAGTGGCACCTTCATTGACAAAGGGAGGGAGGTTGTTGGCTGCGGTAAATTGGCATGTGGTTACTTTATGGGTTCTCCTTGTCCTTAGTTGGGTATTTCATATGTTAAGCATAGATAACCCACATTACCCGAAGAGGTGTCTAGACGTTCGATAAATAGATAGCTTCAAGCAGTTGAAATATATTTAAGGGGGATATATAGTGTGGCAGACGTGTATATAGTACATCGCACTGTAGGGATCGCAAGGAAAATGCTAGTTCTTCCAAAAGAAAGACGTGATTATAGATAGCTGGCAATATGTTGAAGACAAGAAAACCGGAAATAAGATACAAAATGAAAGGACAAGAATACACGACATTAGTCTACCGGATCCTCTTGCAGAATAGCTTCGAAGCTGAAAGGTGTGAATGGTATACCGTCACCAATGAAATGTTTGCTCATTGCTTCGACCCAGTGGAGACGGAGGGAGTGAAGCATAGCACTGGTTCCTTCCATCACACAGAGAATGGAGATAGTAAGCACGAACCAAAGGTAGAACGTAATGACAGTCATGATCACTCGGAGGGTTGGCGAGGTTTGGAGGAAAGCGTTGCCGAGAGTCATGCTCCAAAGGACGGAGGAAAGCTGTTGATGGGCAAGAGAAAGAGCCCAGAGACGGAGGTAGGAGGCAGTGTGAGATACACAGTTAAGACAGAATTCTAATATTATCAGGTCAGCAGCTGCCTCGCAATATGGAAAGTGCAGCCAAATTGGTAAACAGAAATGTGAGGGAAGTACATACCAATGGTATGGATGACTTGATGAATCATCTCTTCTGAAAATTCGAACTCATGATGTTCTTCACCTTCACCCATGTCCTGAGTAACCATTCCAATACCTTCTTCTCCATCACCCATGCTGTCGCGTTGACCAGAGATCAGATTTTGATGTTCATCATCATCATCCACAGCACTAGTGTGAGCAGCTTCGTTCAAGCCCCTATAGCCAAGGGCACGGGCACGGTTGTGTTCCCAGCGGAGATAAAGAGGCTTGAGAAGGAGGAGTATTGGGACTTGGATAAGAGCTACAAAGAGTAGAATCTTTTGAACAGTAGCCTGGCCAGGGTAGAGCTCATCATCAACACGGCCAGGCTGTAGGAACATGAAAATAAGCATGTTCAAAAGTCCGGGAGCTGGCAGACCGAGGCCATTCCAGTCAACAGACCACTTGTAAATGATGGTAAAGACAAGGTATCCAAAGATGGACTGGAAGAAAATCATTCCAGGAACGAAATTTCCCCAGATCTCAATGGGTTTCTTGAAGTGGCGGGCATTGACAAAGGACTGGCAGAGGGAGTATGTCATCTGATAATAGCGTTAGAAACTTCGAAACAGCTGCAAGAAGGAAACAGAGACGACACTTACATGTGACCAACCGAGAATGATACTCAGTTTCATCTTGTAACTGTTGGTGAAGAGCAGGTTGTTGTCTGCACCGTGCCATCCCCAATCCAAGCCAAATGGATATCTGTAAGAGCCTTTGAGCTCAGCAAAAACCGTTTCATTCTCGTTAAAGTCCTCTGGCCAAGACCAGGCACTCTGGAAGAGGTCCATTGACTTGGAAAATATATCGTTGTAAATCAATCCAGTGTACATAGCAAAGATTCCCATCATCAACATGATATATCTGCCAGAGAATGCCATGGAGCTCAGCTCATCAAGTTTGGTCTTTCCGAGCTTTCTCTCGAACAGAATTAGGGTGATAGCGAGCATTGTCATAAGCATAGCATGGCCGAAGTCACCAAACATAACGGCGAAGAAGAATGGGAAAGTGACGATAGTAGGGAGACCAGGGTTGACTTCTTGATACTTGGAGGTACCGTATGCATCGACGATAAGTTGGAACGACTGAGTAAACTTGTTGGTCTTCATGTAAGTGGGTGGCGTCTTATTGGTACGGATCTGGTTGACAATGGTGGGAACTGAGAGGCCAGCACGGTCGTTGACGTCCTGTAGAGTTGACTTGATGAGGCCAAGCGAGTTTGTCGGGCACCATGCTTCCGCAATCAATGTTTTACGAGCTTGATCGTAGGAGAACTTGTTGAGTGCGTGGTACACTGCCTTCTCCTTCTTGACGATAATCATCCAAGCAGCAAGAGAGCGAGCGATTTGTGTCAACTCAGCATCGAGTGCATTCTTGGTGTTGCGTAGGACGTTGCCAACGTCCGTCAAGCGAGTGTTGACATCATGGATCTGATCCCTTCGAAGTTCACTATTTTCATCCACGGCATGCAAGTTGGCGCCTAGAGATTCCGAAATCTTTCTAATCTTAGAGATGATTTCCTTTCCGTGAGCGAAGATAACGAAGACGTTCTTATGGATTTCCTCGTTGGTGGCTGGGTCGACGATGGGATCTGGGATTTCAGATTGGTTCATGTAGAGGTTGCCACGGAGAGTACGCCAGAGAATCCTCTCAAAGGCTCCAATACGATCCCGAGGGATAACACCAGCAACAAAGCCAATATCCATGACAGAGAACGATGACTGGTGAGCATCACCATTCTGACCTCTGGGTGGCTGCTGTTCAATGTCTCTCAAGAGGGGAGCTTCATCGTTATCGAAGGACTGTCTAATTTCGTCGGTTTGTCCATGTGCCTATATAATTGATTAGTATATCATAACCATGAAGTAGAGAATCTGTATATCAAGGTAAATACCCGATCGAAGAATCCGCCTGCTTCTCTGAGCACCCAACGTCGCTCAATGAGCTCAACCTCACGCCTCTTCAAAGCTTCATAACTCTCATTCAGCGATGAAACACGCTGTTCAAGGCTCTCACTTCTCTCAGCAAGCTCATCAATCTCGGAGGCCATGGGAGCAGCTAGATTGTTGGAGAACTCCTCAGATGGACGCATTTCGATGTCGGCCTTCTCCATCTGCGCATGGAAGTATCCTAGCGAAAGTCTATTGTTAGAGGCCTTGTACGTATATGCTGACCACCACAAAGATCACACGTACGAAGCTGTCTTTCCACATTGTCCAATCGTCGAATCTCGTTGGTAAAGGTCTTTTGGAATGCGGTGGTCTCTTCGTTCAGCTATCCACAATCCACCCACGTCAGCACCACCATACCATCAAAATATACCAGAATAACAAAGGTTTTGCATCCTCACATCTCGGAACTGAACCTGCCCAAGCTCACCCAGAGCGCTGACGACTTCACGGCCGATTTCATTGGCGATATAGAGCTGGGTCAAGCTCATATCCGCCGAGCGGAAGAGGGTGTCCTGAGTCGGGCTCATCGTGACGGCCAGCGGGGGGCTCTACGCCCTGTCCAGTAGCTTAGCCCAAGTTATTAAACAGTGCTTCTCTACAGAAGCAAAGACAAAAGAGCGTAATGCAAGTAGAGATGGATGGATGACTTCAAAACAACCCGGCTTGTCGCTGTTTGCGAGCTAAACGTTCTGCCTACCAGATTTGGATATCACGTGTATGATGACTATAACATGACTAAGTAATGATTAGATAATGCTTTAAAGTTAAGCTTTGAAAGTCAAATTATTGTTCGAAAAATACGAAAATCGCCTTTGGTCGATTGGCAGCGCGAGGCCGGATGGCATGGAAGCCCTCCGTGCTGTGGTGTTGAATAAACATGGTGAGGGGTGCGTGTATATATACCCCCTCCCCAGCCCTGTCAAGGGCAGCATGGCCGTCGAGAATCCTAGTTGTGCACACTAAAGGAAGATAACGAGCATCTCATCATGTCTGTTCTCAGCGTCTCTGCCTCGGGAAGCCATGATTTCTCTAAATCGACTGTACCGAACATCACCCTAGTTGAAAATGTGGGAGTCAAGGGTGATGCACACTCCGGTGCACACGTACAACATCTTTCTAGGCTTCATATCAATCCCCCACCACAGAACCTGCGCCAGGTCCATCTTATGCCATATGAGGTGCTCAAAGCTGTCAGTGTCAACCCAGGTCAGCTTGGTGAAAACATTACTACGGAGGGAATAGACCTTCTAGCTCTCAGCAAGGGAACAAAGCTCCGTTTCGTGGACCAGAAATCACCGGCTGTGGATTGTCCAGTGGTTACAGTGACTGGGCTGAGAAATCCGTGTCCGCAAATTGACAAGTTCAGAAGTGGATTGAAGGAGCATTTCATTGTCCGAGACGCTAACCGAACTATTGTTGAACGCAAGGCTGGAATAATGGGAGTCGTGGAGGCTGGCGGTGACATTCGACCTGGAATGACAATTGTCGTGGAGCAACCAGCGGTTTTCGAGCGGATGGAATGTGTTTAATTTGGTTGAAGGTACGATACACATACCTAGCATGAAGTACTAGGAGTTAATGCTTGTAATAACTCTTAGACCGTGTCGTGCCGGCAGTCAAGCTGCGAGAGATTTACTCAAGTGGTTGACGAAATGGGAGATCACTTAACTGGATTATGCTCAAGGTACTTTTTTACTTTATTGTAGGTTTTGTATGGATATACAACAGTTAATCATTGCCCAACATCACCATCCCATGACTCATAGACATCCAGATCCATGCGTAAAGCAATCAATACAAGGTTCAATCCCTTCTTTCCCACCTAGTAGAACAAGAAACACAATTGCAAGAGTGTTCCACCCTTGGCCTCTTTCGGCAGTAAGATTTTTTTACCTTAAGCAAAATAACTTTTCCACAACACTCCAGCCAAATCTTCAATCTGGTCTGGTTTAAAGGACTAACAATCAAAACC